TCGTTCTATTATACTGTTTTAAATACTCGCTATATAGTTCATTTCACAAATGATCGAGTCAATTTTGTAATGAAGAGCGTACATTGCAAGCGACGAGTGTAGGCTGGATATTCGCATACAGCGTATCTCTGCGCAATATCGAGTTAGTTCCATATCTTCGAGTCGCTGGTTTTTCGTTCAAACCTGATCTGACCGCCATCAGCCATATACAACGCTGACTGTGTCACTGACGGCTTGTAACGTAAAATTCAGTTTGTCTTAACTTAGTTTACGTTCTGCGTAATCCTACTAACATAATGTTTAAAGTCTAAAAGTCCCAAGAGAAATTCAGCATCGATCTAGGAAACGGATGTTAATCCTGAATCCTAGTAATGAAATCATTGATCTTGTATGATCGTGACTTACTAGCGATTTCCAATTCATAAGAAACGAATGCACTAGCCTTGTGCTGTCTGCGATTCAAACCATTGCTTGAACATCATTTTATGAAATGAACTGTACGTAACTGGTTATTGTACTCTGAAGGTAAGACATGACGAAGTGACTTACGATTACTAGTAAGTTTACGTATAAGTTTTCAGACTCGACATTGAAGGTTCTATTTTCACTTCTTCGTAACAATGGGAGGCCGTCACACGAAATACCCACACCAAAATACGCAACTTAAGGGCTCGCAGTGAATGGGTTATTTTGCATGTTTAAAAGTTTATAAGAGAAACGTGACCCATGGCCTGTTGGTTGTTTAGGTTAAGTTATCTAGCTTTACGTGGCGCTAAATGCCGTGGTATTAAAAATATCACTTGTCTACGAGGAACTTGCTCTGGAAATCACTACGGAATACTCGCCATCATCATTATCATCGCCCAACAGCACCCAAGACAACGATAGTAACTATTTCTTTTTATATAACTTATTCATGATATTTGGCATCATAAGATGCTATGGTTTTAGTTTGCTTCCAAATAGAGACCGTTTACCAACCGCAACTTGTTACCGCATGAAATTTGTCTTTGTCAAGAAACTTCTGGACATGTATGAACTTCTAGCAAACAGTGGTGCTAATCAGATTTTGTGCTTATTTAAAATGTTTTAAGACAATAACGTCTACGGGGATAACGAAGGATTCATACCAGTCTCCTCGTGGCTGCAATTAGGAACGTCGATTTATAAGTTTGCTGGACCTTTTAACTAACATTTAGACTTGGCGAATAGTTAGCGTAGAAGATTTCTGCTTTGAGGACAAGTTCTTTCAATCACAAAGAGGACCTATTCAAAATGTTGCATAGTAAATATTTGTTTCTTTAGTAGAAGTAGTTAAGTAGCTATTATAGTAAAGGTTAGCAAACAGTAAGGTACGTATTATTCATTTACAAATAACTGGTATAGGAATCGCGTAATAGACATCACAGCTGCACCGAGTGAAGGTGGGTGGTTAACAATGGACAACAAGATAGCGATTTCCTTCTGCTAACCGCCAGATGATGATTGTTGTTGATTGCCGATTACCACTTCTAGTTGTTTTGGCGGCAAAAAAAGACGCCACTCGTATATGTATGCCTTAACTACGTGTAGGTTTTTCTGGGGCCTTGGGTTCCTACCGATGCAAGTTTATAAGAAATGTAGCAAGGCAATACTTATCCATGGATCGTATTTTTGTGTTTCAAAGCTCGTCGTCACTTTTGCGGTTTCAATTTGATCATTCCGACAATCTCAATGATTAAATACAGCTACGTAATGCCCATATAGGTAATGTGGTTTAATTGAACACAATTCAGGGGCATATTCGGCGTCTATATTTATCATCATTTAGGAATTTCTTTGCCTTTAACTGTAAATAGCTGTACAGTGTTCTTTCTTTGTACTGTTTTGCTTATCAACGCCATCGTTCTAGCCACCATCATGTTGAGATCAAACTGCTCTTTCACAGCGAACACCGATAACTACCACTCGGCCTATTCACGCGTTCTTCTGAGGCAATCGGTCGTGGCTATCTACCGACAGCGTCAATGATATTATACGTATAACACCTGATAGCGAATGTAGCACTGAATGTCATAAGCAATATCTCAGATATAGGGAAAATCCGATAGCTAGTTATAGAAACCAAAGAAACGTTCAACCTAACTCACCTATTTTTGGCACTTTGTACTTTTATTCATTGAACTCAAGCTACAACCAACACGAAACGCGGTGACGTTGTTTCCACCTGAAGGAAGTCAGGAACGATAGCTTTACTGCGTTTGCTGTTTTTCCAGCCAACTTTTGGATATTTATATTGCTAATTTCTTTGAGATATATTTTCAGAGCTTCGACAAGCTCAGTTTAATTCAGTAAACATATGTAAATAAAGATGAAAGTCCTTTGAGCGCTACGTTATAAATTACTTGGAGATATTTTATAAAAATTGTTGGGAGTATGAAAAAAATTGAGAAAAAAATTTAGACTCGATAAAAATTAAACCCTTTATATTTAAATGCCGAAATAGACTATTAAGGCTATAAGTGCCTTTTGACAGTCCATTCCTATTTTGGCTTACATCTGCTTGTCGTTCATTACTAAAGCATAAAAGCGTCAGCCACGTTAAATAATCTGCCAGATTAACCGACCAGCTGACTTGATCTGAATCCATGATGCCAACTGAACAAAGATACATAGTCGTGGTTCATATCACTATCACTGCATTCCCTGCTGGCGGGGAGAAGGCTCTAACAACAGGGCAATGAATTTAGCCACCTGCCTTAGCACCTATCATATATTGTTATAACTGCAGCAAAAACAACCCATACAATAAAAACATGTACTTAAAAATACATTAGTTAAAAGGTTTGTTGTTGTACTAGAACTACGCCTATTGTCTAGAAAAACGCAGTACATAATATATATATATATATATATATATATATTTAACGGTTGGTCCAACGATTAATGGACGCAGCTGAGATGTGTTGCTTAAACGCAAGATAAGATTATACAGGATTTTCATTGTTTTAATTCAGGGTCAATGATAACATCACTATAACACCGAATCAGTACATACTAGTTGTAATATTTTTCCAGAATAATCCTGGTGCAAAACTGAGCGTTTTGCTTATAGGACACAAAATGACTCTGACTTGGAAAGAATTTACAATATTTCTTTATTCTTGAAACTTAGAACCAATTCGTGTTCTCGCTTGGTATTAGTAAAGTGATGAACAAAACCCAATAATAGAGCGATTATACTGAATTTATCATAGCCTGTAGAAAAACCTTGATGCGAGAGGTTAGGATAATCTATAGTGATGAAAAATATGTTCCCCACATATAAATCCATGACGGCACTGCGTATCCTTCTGAACAGGCAAACTACACCGAGCAACTCCGCTAGGGCCGTTGGGAGAATGCCCCAACAGTGGGTTTCCGCCGAGCTGGAGATATAAATATATAAGTAATGATATTCCTGCCCTGAGCTTATGCCGTATTACAAGCTTAAATCCGTTCTCTTTCCACCCATTGTTTTTATTAATTAGCCAAATTATTGTATACCTGCCACGACTCTTGTAGTCGAAATTTGGTTCCATTAAAGACAGATCATTTTCTTACACATCGGGGCAATTCTATTTTCATCTAATGGTTTGTTTTCTGATTTTATTTTAGATGGCACCTTTTCGATAGATTTTACTTGATGTGCCTTTTAATTATAGACACAGTTGTTAGGACATACAGGATTATCAAATCCTGTATGACCTAAAAGCTTTAATAGATTCTAATTAACGTATTAAAAATTATTAGAGTATGATAATTGTAAGACATTCCTCGACCGTTAGATATGCCCAAACTGTAGCCACACACAGTAACATAAGACTTCTTATGTATTATGCGTGTGCCGGACACGCAGTTATTATTACTGAAATAGATTTTTTTCAGTTTCTTATGCTACTATATTCCACGTACACGGCCATTATTTTTTGATGCTAGAAAATTAACAAACGGATATATTTTTCCATTTTTATTTATTTCATATTTGTCATTTATATAGGGTACTTTAGTTTTTCTTACATAAATCCTTTCAACTCGTTGTCGTTTTCAGCCAGTTAGGTCCACTTGTCTGGCCGTGCCACAGCTCCAATGTCAACCGGCTAGCAATGAACCGTTATCTATGTCAGGTCATGAGGCCCAAGAGGGATGGCAATCCTGGTTTTGCGTAACCGCATCTAATTGGCGGATCGACAGCGATATTCATGCTTACCGACCTCCCAGTTGTGGGTGCTCTAACTGGCAGGAGCTGCACAATTGTCTATGACTACAATTTCCGAGCCACTTTCCTAAAACGTTCCGGAGCAGAAGCTTTCTGCTCCCAGCTATGCGTGACCGGCGCGCCTGACTAAGAAGCCGAGTTCAATAATGTCCTGGTGCACCCCGAACAGTACAATAAACTATTGTACTATTTGCTTGACGGGCAAGGATCATTGTTGCCTTTCTAACCGAACAGTAGATAGTACATAATCGTTTTTTGAAAGGAAAGCATTGTCAATAATATAAACACTAGCCGGTGCTGTTCTATTGAACACTGTGGGTTGGGTTAATGGGATTCAGGGGTTAAAACTCCGGGGCCTCTATGTCCACCAGGTCCGTATAGGGACGACTGGAAAGTTAACACTACCTACCTAACAAATCCATTTATTTGCGCCGAACGAAATCAATTGTTATGACATATTTAGAAATGTGCCCTTGTCATATAAATAGTTATCGTATCAATGTATTAACCATGTTAGGTATATTCTTATATAAGGGAATTCAAGTTCAAGCTTCGTCAAGAGCTTTCTTTTTCGTCAGTACTTCGACCTAGATAGCTAGTACATAGGATATAGATATTATTATTACATAGATATTATATTAGATAGTACGTAGTAGATACAGGTGTGAGATGTGCTTCATTGTAGGTAGCTATTGTTAAATATTTGCTATTGGTAGAATCTAATAGTCATCAGTTGCGCGTTTTTGCCCTTTCGCCATTTCAGCAGTGTCACAGAATGGATACAACTCAGACAATACAGCGAACGATGCGGCGAAGGTCAACAGGCTCCTTTTTTAAGGTGAACTGACAACAAATCACATTTTTTTTTTTAAAACTATAACTGCCAGCTATAACAATGTAACAAGCAGCATGATCCTATAATTGAATCGGCAATAAGGAGAACTTGCGTTGTTAATCTCAATTCTAGTATAATGTATCATGCTATTCGGATATCGATCTATTTGCTTCTCTTGAAAAATTTAGGTCAATTTTTAGTTAGTGATCAAAAGTTAGTGATTAAAAAAAATAGCTTACGTTTTACGGAATGGCTACAATCGATTCCACTAGCAAACACCATTCATAATTTATTTCTGAGTCTTACTTTTCTTAGGGAAAGCAGCACGTACTGCACGAATTATTGCCAACTTCGTGGGTGTCAACTGTGAGAGACTTTATCTTTTACAACATACGGGTTGCAGGTCTAATAATCTTAAAGTAATAAGTACAGCTCTGTTGTAAATTTTGTGTATAGTCACTTTTTGTAAATTCTGTACGTTATATTACCAGCATTGTAAAAGCAGACTCGTGGGTACTTAGTGCCGTTTTACAGTCACCGTCGATGATCCTGCATTGCCCTAAGCTTTATATGTTATGCAATTAATGAACTATTAGGTTATAGCATGCGCACGGTGGCCCCAAGTTGCCTTTAGGCAGTACACCTCAGTGATACCCGGATAGGTTACAACCAACAGCTGAGCCAGTGCGGTACAACTATTCATCGAAAGGTTCCCTATCATCGCTACGACGCTCGAATTAGATTGCCCTTCTTGGTCTATCCATATCACACCGTCCTTAGGCATTGATAATAACGAACACATAATAAATGCACCATTTTTTTTGCAGTACAACTGATACCCAGCACCTAGATGAATCGCTTACGTCAACTATGGCATACGCACTACATAATTTACATTTATCTAGCTCCTCAATAAACCACAATTGAACACGACTAGTTCATTTTTAATTGATGTATAATGAGTAAAATTCAGTACTTAACCGGTGAGAGTATAAACACGAAATCTTAGCCTTTCTGGTTTTTGTCTACAGGTTATTCTAAGCTGTTTTTGTAAAACAACCTTCGCATCACTGTCCAGCATCACTACGAGGACTGGGCAGGACAGATCGCCTAATAGACTAGGGGGCTTTGTGACTGGCAATATGTATCTTTTGTGTTAATATGTACGCATACACGATTCATGTTGCTAGTTTGAATATACTAAGCATCTGCTGTACGTGAGAAAGACACAGATCGATTTGTTAATGATGGTGATATTGGCACTCTAGCAAGCTTTTCAAGCTTCGTTTAATACTGGTTAGAAATCTGTCAGAAAAGAAAACGGATTCTAAAAATAAAAACGTGACAAGTCACATCCTAGGCACGCCCATTATAAAGGCGCAGCCATATCACAGTGGGTAACGTGAAACACAAGTGAATCGCTACGTGTAATCAAAAAACCAACCAAATTTTCAGGAGCTTTGCATTGATTGCAACAACCTTCTAAGTCAATGCCTATGCAACACAGACGATGTTCGTAAACTGGGCGTTCTAGTCAAACAGGTAAGTAGGCCCCGCTTCTGCGCATGGGATCCTAACGTTAGGCCAACCTCGACACTGAAACTAAGGGTGGAAAAAGTCATACGTGGCTAAACGGGCAGGAACCCATATGAATCGGCCGATGAATATAATGCCTTCTGCCATAGTGTATGTACAATAATATTTCACTAGACAAGGTTTACCATTACTTACCGATATTTTTTGCTTAAAATACAAAAATAACAAAATAGACGAAGTATCTACTTCAGTGAGTATGAAGTATTTGTGCAATTTCTTTGGAATTAATATCTCAGCATTTGAGAGTAGAGAACTCATAAATCTACAATCGTTTTTGATAGTATTATCCATGTTTGCTCGAGTATTTATGGCACTAACTTGGATATATATATATATGATACACGTGTATATTTGTTATAACGCCTACAAAGCTTAACGCGTTTTACTAATGAGGATGTGTATCCTGATTTTTTTTCAAACGGATGCCATAAGCGCCTGAGCAAGCACCGACAAGCTTGTCGGCGGAATAAAGCGTTATGAATTTTCTACAGTACTACAAGGATTATTTTATAAATGAGCCATAAGTATTTTCTGTGGGTACGAACTCAGTCTCTTTTCTTGTTGCCTTTAAAGTTCAGATCGTGACTGTTGGTATTCGTATCGTTCTCTAAATTTCAACTGGCACAGGACTTGGCTTACTTTGGACAGCGTATCCTTCGAACCCCTTCGTCGAAGGATTTACACAGTGTTTGTGGCCGCGATAAAGACTGCTCGAAACTACACATATGCTCAATTACGGAGGCTCCGCCCTTTTTGACAAGTAACAGGTTTGTAAATGTGTATTTCATGCACAAACCATAAAATAGCTTCACAACAAAATAAGCAGTGCAGCTATGTAACATCAATTGAAAGTTAAACTATTTTTTAGATCGTTAGGCAAAATGGAGTATGCACTTACAGTTTGCGAAAGTTCAGTGAAACTGATTAGACTATTCCGCAAATCATTGTTCCGTTGCCTATACGTGGTACTTCTATTATCTGATAGGCAATGTACTAATTTGCCATGGAAACTTCCGCGCTAATCTGAACCCTTGTTAACGCTTTTCATGTTTGAGCAAACACACATTTTCATACTAAATACCCTGAAATACTGCAAATACTCGACTGAATATGACATAGACCGGATAAAAACCTATTACACGATTGCCGAGATCGCTCCAGCTGGTTATAGAATAGTGAATAGGCAACAGTTAAAAGAGTCCTTCAATGAAGTTGCTCTGAATATTTTCGCTTATGCAAATTCTTCTTTCTTCAATAATCGTTGCCACATTTCCCCCATTCGGTAGACATATTTTTTAACATAGTACGCTATATATAGGTGACGACATGCCTTTTCCCTATGAAGCTTCTACTTACAGATGATTAATTAACATAAGTTGCTATTCTAAGGGAAGAGGCTGTGTTTTCACTAACAAACAATAGAGTTATTCAAATTCAAAAAGTTAGTGGTTTATTGTTTGGTCGCGGTTCCAGTGTCATTAATAACGCGAAATAGTTCGATTAGCTCCTCAATTTCTACCAAGTAGGAACAATGACATGTGGATGTATTTTTTTTTTTCTTATGAATAGCATTTTAGTATTTCAAAAACAATACCCAACTTTCTTGATTCTTGTTGCCTCCAATTCAGTTATATTACTCATGGATATCGAACGTTTAAGTCGAAGGAACGTTGCATAAAAGGCATTCTTCTATGGACAAATGAAACAGTTAACATATGGACCCATCTGGGTTCGTTCTTTGTTGTGCTCGCCCTTTACGTACAGGTGAGCACCGCTAGTAAGCAAATGGTTATTTAGATTTCTCGAGGATAACAATAGGATGACGAGTCATACTAAAGCTATTTATAAACGTTAAGCAATTTACAAACTTTTTGCTTGGGCGTATTTCTGTAGAATTAAACGTCTACTGAAAAGCGAATCAAGGTAGAACCAAAGCGAATGTTATTGCCCATGCGTAGAATCCCTGATCCTTGAAATATCAGATAGTAGAAAGATCTTGCAAAAGCAATGTCCTGATGCATGCATAGGTATTCGCTTACCCTCGGATCAATAACTGTATTGTGAAATGAACTATCGCTAAACTATATATAATATATGATAACATGATCAATAGCGAGTTCACATTTGAAGCATGACAATTACAAGAACAGGCTAATATAAACGCGTTATACACTTTAAATTGATATTCGACAGACAGGGGAATTAAGAGCTGTTTTAGATTATCCGAACCATCGGCGTTGTTTAGGAATCAGATGTGAAAGCCATAGTGGTAAATAGTTTACCATACGATCTCTGTGGTGCGGTAGTTGATAACATCAAGTTAATATCTTGTCCTATGTCCTCTCTTTCTGTTTTCATTTATTCTTCTGATATCATCGATCTTACGATGTAAATCAATTATCTGGTCGGAAACATACACCCTTTAACAGGACGTCATAACAAACTATGACGTCGAAGGTTTTGCCGAATTTGACCGTCGCCTAAGTGGCCTGATGCTTGCCAGCTATCTAATTATGTTGGGCCTATCGAGTGTTTATCACATCTTTAATTGCTGCTGTTCACCGTGCTATCGATATTGGTAAGCGATGCTCTGTCTTCCCTTCTGTATATATACATACTATGAAGTGCACGCACAAAGAGATCGAAACGACTACAAGGGTAATCTCTCTAAAATTTTTTGTTTGATCCCAGAAATGGGGTACTTACCCTTGGAGCGATCATTTCTTTATAGCTCTAGTCTATGATTCTGTTTAATCGAATATGCAAGCTGAACAAATTAAACATCAATTACTGTATTCTGTTTTAGTGCCCTAGGCCGTTTCAGGATAAAATCAGAATAAATGGCTTTATCTGTTATAACATAGCAGATGCCACATGCATTATGTACACAGTGGGGCAGTCTTCTTCTTCTTATGAGTCTTTTGACTACACTAGAAGTTTCAATTTTGACCGTTATGTTCAGCCGTCATTCACTGTATCTATATACTCATTTTCAAGATACCTATTTGTGGCTCCTCAAATATATTTTTAGTTGTCGTACGTCAACCGCTAGTGGTAGGTGTACACGTGTTTAAATGTCGCTTGAATTTACTGCGTACAAAAATTCAAAGTGTGATTAAATTTTGGGCTGATAGCCAGCCAAAAATCCCGTAAATACAGGGAGGATTCACAACGGCTAAGAAATCCAAAAAGTTAAAAATGTTGGACTAAACGTTGGAACTTAGTGTGAAGTTATAATTAGTAGTGTGAAGTTATAATTAGTACTAAATATTTTGTTTTCAAAACGCGCTTCAATCCTGCATAATATACCCAGGCGTGTCAAAAATTTATTTTTAGGGTATTTTGTTGGATGTTTGGACATTTTAAATGTAAACGCTATTAAAAATCGATTAGTTTGTTTCTTGAAGTTTTGAAAACGATGCACGGTTTTGGTTATGGAAAGAACTGATTTTCTATATATATATTACAATGTATTCTGAATGTTTGCATTCAGGTATGGCTGGGACTTTGTGGGCGTATGTGCCTCGATTTATGGATACGGATGTGGCTTTCTGTTTCTACAGTTCCGGGATGAGCCACTTTGGATCGCATTCTATGGTACCATTAAGACTGTGATCGCCGGCGTTCCCATATGTATGACCTTCTCTACAAAGTACTTCCAGGAGAGGTATATTTATCCATAAACAGCTTCCGCTGACTAGCAGCAGGGTTCTGTACATGTGCCTGTTTCAAGCTGAAAAAAGCATGTCTTTACTTAATTTTTTACTTGTTTAAACTTAAATATTTCAATAATTGAAATATTTAGGTTTAAACAAGCCGCTTATATTCATCTTCTAATGCTATCTGCACAGATCGTAAGTACAACATTTACAGAGTACGAATTTATACTCTGCGCGATCGGGAAGTTCTAAACTACAGTGCAAATGTATGGAACTACTAAACAGTAGAGCTTTCTTTTTACCGATGCGTTTGCCTTGTTGGGCCTTTTGTTTGACAGTAAAATACCGTTATCCCATATATTCTTTCGTATAATAGTAAATGAGGATCTAAGGAGAGGCTTTTTTGCATACTCGCATACACAGAAGAACATTAAGGTTTCCTAAAACAATGCCGCCGTTATAATAGTTACTTTGCTTCTTTCTATTCCGCCGAAGAGTGAAAGTTGTCAAGTAGTACGAAGCGTGAAAGCGGCGTGACTACTCAAGTCACGCCGATAATAATAAGAATAATGCGAGTTACGTAGAGACAACGACATGAGCTTGAAACATGTCGATAATCCTCAAATGGGAAAAAAACCCATCTTTTCGTTTTAGCACAGCTTTTCTTTGAATATGCATATGATATTGTAACTATTAGATTAAACATTGGATACAATAGGAGTCTAGTGTATAATCTCCTGCTCATGAAAACATGACTGATTCTGAACTGTTATTATGAATATTAACTTACGTATGATATCAACTATTATAAATAATTAGATGAAAAAAAAATATACTGCTACCCATATGTATATGAAACCATGTTATTTTTTACAAGTTTCCGCATGATAGATTCGTGTCGCGTCAGAAGAAATCATCTGAAAAACAGCTACTAGACAAAAAAAAATGACATTGATGTGTGAATAATCTACTCTCAATGGTTATATTTGGCGTCAATTTTGCCCGCAAACCATGCCCGTACGACCTGCTGTGCCTTCCTTTTTAAGTCATCCATCATTTCAGCTTTAATCTTCTCTTAATAACCGTATATTTATATGGCTAACTGAATTGATAGCTTAGAATAATCGATTAATACTGATTGATAATTTTCGACCAAAGTTAACTGTCGTAAACTATAAGTTCTGCGGTATCACAGCAAATCTTTTTGATATCTGTTCAATTCTCTGGTTATAGGTACGACGACTCGCGTTCGGTGTGGATCGGCGGATTTGTAGCGTTCAACGTTTTGCCTATTGTACACTCGATCCTAATGCGAGATGACGGACTTGGCAACATTGTCGTGCAATATACGCTACCGACCCATCTTATTGTGATGTTTTTGCTTGTCGGTAGTTACATCATATACTGTGTTCAGTTTCCGGAAAGGTACGGAGAAACAAACTCATCGAAGAATACGAACCATGAAAGATAAAAACTAAGCATAATAATAGTATAAACGCTAACAATAGTGGTAATAACAAATAAAAATAGGTGCCATCCTTCACCATGCGGCGATCTATAAATGTAATGAATCGTCTGGGTACAGAGGCCTCGATAATCGTGAGAGATTTAGTAGACCGCATATATTCCGATATTTATGGCGATCTTTTCTATGTTTGTAATTGTCATTCTTGCAGCGTTGTCTCTTACGATAATTCTAAGAATATGAAGATAAATTGCAATAGTAACTGGTAAATTTTTATGTTAGCCGGCAGAAAAAAACAGACGTTTGTAACCGAATCGTTCGCTTCATGCAACAGACTTTTTCCCGGACGAGTGAATTTCATCGGCAACAGCCATCAGGTGTGGCATGTTGGCACAGCGACTGCAGTTTTGTGCGCCCGTCATCTTTATTTCCAGTACATTCGGGCATTCAAGTTTCAAAGAGAGGAGGCGTTCGGACAACCCGTGCTATCCGCAAGCTGATGTTCGTGCGCTACTACGGACTCCTACTGTGTATAGTCAACAACGAAATCTCATCAGCGCCATGCCTATCGTTTGATTCTAGTAAACAATGTCTCTTCAACCGTTTCATTGGCACTTATTATCATAAAATAAAAATGTCGTATATGGCAAACGCATGATACAAAAAGAAGAAAAGGAGGAGGGCAGACAGGCGTACACATAGTTTAAGATATCAGCTGCAAACGGTGCCGAAAGTGCGGCGAGCGTAAGGCGGAGACAGCGATGACCTATGTGGCAAAGATTCTGATAAGATAGACACTTAGCAACAACTACTCTTCTGTGCATTGTATTGTATGTTTATAGGGATTGGACACATTGTCAAATCGTCGGTAAACTTACTTGATTACATCACATGCGCAGTAAACTATCGAATCCGTTGTGGCGAGTAACTATTCGGCGCCCGACGAGCTCGACGCGTGAATAGCTCAACTTCGATTTTAGCGATCAATGTAGATTACCACCTTAAACTTCATTTCGTAGGGAACTTTCACGTGCAGCGAATGAACTGCAACAGAGCGGACTAATCGTCTTGTAACATAGATTTTTGAACTAAAGGTCCAAGTCCGCCCAGATCGACAGGCACCCCTAGGCGGCACGTAACTGACTGATTCCAAAGGCGTGAAGTTAAATTAATATTCATCGTCTCTCATACGTTTGTTTTGCTGCCTTAATATTAGTAGTTACTGGGTAGGTTTGTTAGCAATCCAGCGCCTGCGCGAATCAAAAAATAGCAATGCTAACCAAACGTTCATTTATCACTAGAGGACAGGTAAGTTATTAGTAAGATTGTAACTTACTACTTGTGCTAATAGTTCAAAATCTAATTTTCTCGCCTACGTATCTATACGTCATCTCTGTAACAAGCATATAGATACGAGTACGTGTATTGAATGGATATTGATATGTAGCCGTAAACAAACATATGCACAACTTCTGTGTGAGAGATATCGGTCAGTTAACTACTGTTGTTAATGCTGCCGTTGTACAACACTACAAGCAAGTATTATCAAAATGCGCATTTACTTATATCCTATTTTTTTTGACGGTTCTTCCCCTGTATAACGGAGACGACGTTTCGCATATCGTCTGCTACGGTTGCATAATAGTCGTGTTTCCTCCTTTATGTTCCATTTATCTTTAACATTAAGTGTCTTTCTATATCTACGATGCTTCGCCTTCTCGGTGTTCTTGCCCTAACGCAAGATTTCACTTTGAGTGTGACGAGGGGTGGCTGATAGGGTTAAAGCTTTCAAAGCACGAAACGCTGCGGCCAGTTAAGTTTCTTAATCAGTTTCTTTGCTATATGTAGTCAACGTACCGCCGGCCATTAATCAAACGCGTTTCGAACTTTGACTTGTGTCAGTTTTGTTGTACAGACGAATAACGATCATCTCTAATGTAAAGAGCTAGCAGCGTGTAAGCTTGCGAGATATCCTAAAATTTCCAATGAATATAAAGCTCAGCACGATAGTCCGCCGGTGAACAAGTATATGGCCAATGTTGATCGGAGCAACATCCTGTTTCCTATTGTAAATAAACTCTATTTCAAGTACAGCTAATGATGATTGACAGTGATCCGGTTCTTACCTAAGTAGATAATTTATGCTTAGGCTCAAGACCCCGTATATTACTTCTCTCGGTAGAGAGTCATGTTCACTTCGTCAGCATGATGCGCTTTCTACGTAAGTTAACAATAACGCGTTATTGTTATATATATATATATAAGCACAATATAAGACAAGCAAAACGCATGTCTTTCGTTTTGATAGTCAGTTGTGTAATAATCGTAAGACGATACTCGAGCGATTTGTCAACATGGTGTAAGGCTCTAAAAACTTCACTAGGTCAGCAATTGTAAATACAGTCATTGGTTACAAGCAAATAGCAGTAGGTCATTGGCCGCCATACAAATATGGCCGACGCACATATAATTGGATATGGTAAATTTTGCACAAATGTTGTAATTGTACGTACTTTATAACCGCGGAACGTTCGTGGTTTCATACCATAATAGAGGTTTTTGGCAACCTGGCAACAATAAGATCGGACCTCAAAATAAGGAGTAATTTAGCAAGTGCCATTTACTAATCATCGACTAATATTCTCAATGTACGCCAGTCACAGATCGTTTTCAAACTTTTATTTTATCACAAAACTCCAACATTATTTACGCCTTTAAAATTATAGGGATAGTGTGATCATCTAGTATTTGGCTTCATAGCTGGTACACAGCAGCTACCTTACAATTATTCGACGTCTAGTCGCCGCGAATTTTCAGCTCCTGTGAAGTATAACAAACAGGCACGAAGCAAAATACTATATTGCCAGCTATTAAATATTGTTGTGCATCCCGTCCGCGTCGGTGTCAGGTACCTTGCGAGGAAAACCCCATGACTTCATTTTTTCCCGTCAACGCCTGACCTCGCTCCGGCTGGCATAACTTTCTCTTCAATCGTGAATATCATTTACTAAACATCGCCGTCCGAAATGAACGACTTACGTCTAAGCTGCTAAATTTACGTAGGCGTTTTCAGTCATACATAAATGATATATTTTCCATGTTCTGTATGTGATCGATTTAAAAGGCCAGCAAATTAATACGATTTTCGCGTAATTCCTGTTGCCGTAACCTCTGGAAGCCCTGAGCGTAGCGGCAAATGGTCGTTTTTAATAAAAATAATGATTTTCTGTGTTCGTAAGCGAACAAACACTTATCGATTCCGAATAACATATCTTTTCCATTAATATGTCGCTTGGCAATGTTTCTGCTTGATCGTTCGAAGACTCCATTGTTTATATAGAATGCTGAAAAAACGAAAATGTAGCCTCAGCCTAAAGAAATGTAATGTTATTGTTAGCTGTTATGGTGTGGATACGTAAATGCAATAATCTAAACTAATAAGAGATCAATGGGTGTCTTGTTTTTCTATTTCTGCGGTAATTCCGACACTTAAGGCACATTATTATTGTTATTAATTGTTATTATTAGAATTAAGTTTAAGATATTAGTATCATTTTGTAGCGTTAGCCGCAGTTCGAAATACCTAGTTTTAGCCTTATGTAAGCAGGTAGACTGATATATTTGAGCAGTGAAATTAAATGTTATTTATTTATTATAAACATTTTTCAAGTCAAGAATTATATAATAATTTGGGATTTCATTGCATTTTTACAATGTATAGGCCGGTATGAATTACTTCCTTCTCATGCAATAACAAGCATTGAATACTATAGTGGAGTTCATACTGAATATAATCGGCACGATTTAAGCTACACCTTGAATAATCTGATACTGACTATGGCAAAAAATTAATAGTGAAAAACTTGTATTATACCTGTTAGCTGTGATAAAATGGACTGCACCGCCAAAACAACAAGTACACACCTGTAGAGAAAATTAAAATGAATGCAACTGAATTGGTTAACGAATAAATAATGTATGACATTTTTTTTTATTATTATTATGATTTATCTAAATTCATTTAAAAAATTATTAACCCTCTAGAAAATTGGAGGCCCCGAAAAGGGTCATTTTAGTTCAGATTATTCTTAGTAGACGCTGCGATCTCAGCTATTCTTGCAATATAGTGAAGCCTTCTCGGACCTGTTCAGCAAAATCACTAATTGGGTATTCAATAGGGTACTGCCTTGAATAAAAATGGCATCTGGGAGGAGCTTGTCTGATCTTTCATTATTACAGAAAGCCAATAGCAAAGAGCGAGAAATCACTCTCGTCTCTTGTAGTTTCCACAAGCCTTGTCGGCAAATTCTAGGACCTTAACGGCAAGATACTTGCGCTGAAGACTTGCGAGGTATACAGGGGTGTCGGCTCTGACACGTTCTTTTTTGAAGCAAACGATGCACACGACCTACAGGATTCTGAGTCCTGCACCAGTTGATCGCGACTTAGCTTTGACCTTAGCTTTGCCTCGTTTATTACGACCAGACATTAATAATGATGCTGCTGATGATGATTTACGCGTGTCTGTACAGCTGTACAGTCTCACGAGTTGTAATTAAAAAAAATGCATGTTATTGATGTTTGAGCACGCCACGGACGCTTACCTTTTTCGATAGCCCCTTTCCACAGTAGCGCCGTTAACTCACCACGCAAGTAGTTCATGCACCAAACTTTTCGTTTCGGGATTTAGCCATCTTCTCATCGGGAAAGCGTCATTAAACATCAGTAAGTGCCACCAACAAAACTTTGAACTAACATCGTTTCTCTTTCCTTTTTTAGCTAAACAAAAGTGTCGCACGGTCTCTTCACACGATCAGAATTGTTCTGATGACATCCATCAAAGCCGCCAAAAAGGTTGCAAAGTTTTAAAAGCAAGATCTTCTAAAAAAGATCTTCTAGCAAAAAGAATAGAAGACGTAATAGAAAGGAATCATTTTTAATCTCTACCTACAAAGTACTTACACGAGTTCACGCCAACACCAGTATTGTGTTGAAGGCGATTTCGGTCATAAATTCGTTCGCAAACGATATCTTCAACGTATCACAACGCCTTTTCCGCTACATTATAAAGTCAAGCCTCATATCTCATGAAGTCCAAACAGCTATGAAGCTACTTCTGCCCGGCGAGCTAGCCAAGCATGCGGAGTCCGAGGGCTCAAAGGCTGTGCCGAAGTACACGTCGCCCAGCTAGATTTCGTGTGGTAGATAACAATATAGGATAAATCTAACGGCCCTGAAAAGTGTCGTTTGACTACGGCCCTTTTCAGGACCGCTAGACGACGCAAAATTAAACATTTCGAGCTGAATTCTAAGTAGTTCGTTATCATAGAGTGCTTTTTTTTTTTCACACAAAAATATAGTGTGTACTTTATATTGTTGAAAATGTCCATACCTATTGGATTCTTCTTATCATTACATAACCTTAGCCAGAAGCCTTGCTAATATATAGTAGTGAAAATCAATTCATGAGCCATTCGTCTGAAGCATTAGTCGGAGGAGGTACCACTCAAGTTACACCAATAGTTACATAGATCAATAGAATTAATTAAACACTCCTTATGCCGAACGATGCAAAAGGAGTGTTTAATTAATCGATTGAACACGTTAAGAATGTATCTGGCCGAAAATCATCGTATGTGCGTTTTCTATAAAATTAGTACTCAACAAATTTCGGAGACATATTGAACATCAGCTTCAATGCTATTACGTTTTTGAAAATTGCTCGTGCAAGTCTATATAAGAGAATGTAAATTAAAAATGGCATTTAGCCGAGGCGGGAATCGCATTTGCGATACTCTTCAGTATCGCTATTACTTTAAGGTTGTCAAACCGTGCCATAATAATTTGCTCGTTTCTAAGTATCCTGTCATGTATCGTTTCCAGTATATGCGTAAGTCGTTGGCACGTGTTCACAATTTCAACCTTCTATCGTTTGGCGATAAGTTTGCCGACTTTTTATTCTACCAACTGGACTACAAGACTCTGTTGTCAAGGCATTGTCTTGTTTTGCCTCAGGAAAGGCTGGTTCAGTGAATCCTAATCGTTCGCGAATATAGTCGAGGTTATTTTCTGTTGCCAATCCCGCCACTTGCCGCAGGTTTTCCTCAAGCTTTGTAAAAATGTCGTCGGCTCCGCAGTTTCTGCGGAGCATTGTAAGCGCCACCAACCTAAGCAGACGACTAACACGTATCGCGTTCACAACCGACCGGTATTTCACATATAAAAGCGTGCCATTTACATGTCAGCTTCATTTCACGTCTAGTACACAGAATCACAAACGAACAGATTCCGTCCCTCCCTACTGGTTTTTCAGATCACCTCTGTGTTGACGGAAGATTATACAATTCTCAAATACGTCGGCTGCGAGTTGCAGGGGTGAGCGATACATTGAACAGAAGCTCAACATAATCTAACAGCACAACAAAGTCACGCAAACACGCAAGAACGGCAAAATGCTCAGCACCACAGCAACATTTTATTCAATGTCGATTACTAATTATAACCAACGTTATGTCTGCTAGGACTAAGATCTACCCCAGGCTTAATCAATTATTTAAGGGTATTAAGATTATAATTAACTCCTTTCAGCTATATCGGTCTCTGTTACTCATACATTTAATATTCCATACTATTATCCATCATTAATTCATGTGTACTGAAACGGACAGCGTATGCTTATTTTGCGCATATATATGAAAAAGAGCATGCGTTCCGACAAGCGATACTTACTTTGTCACTGCTTCGCAAGGAGCTCTTAACATCTTCTCTATGTCATAATAGAGGAGCATTAAATGTCATTGATTGCGTCATTTCTTGTGTTTTAAGGATGCCACATAACAAAGATGAATAACTTCTTTTCTATATATAGAAATGCAATTTTCCTTTAAAAAAATTACTTTTTCCTCACCACGCAACGCGTTACTTGGCTGCTATGGCGTAAATGGGCTACATTTGACTGAATACTCTGATGGACAGCGGATAGCGCTGTAACATTTGGTGTTAGGAGGCGTCCCATTGGGCAGTGATTTCAAGTAACTTCTTTTTATCTTCGTACATACAAAGGCACTACGTTTCAAAAACTCACAAAAATGTTATTAATTTTTTTAATTATTATTAATTATTTCTTGATTGCTGCAACTGGTTGATTGATGACAACTATCGGTATCGTTTTGTTTGCTATCATTTTCTGCATTGCAAATTATATCGTTTATATGATGGTGCGTCAACGTCAACCAAAACCTGAACGTTCCTGAACGTTAAACACCGATTCAGACCAGATTGTACGAGTACATTGAGATAAAGCTGTTTCCTACCTCTCATACTAAGCGCACAGAAACAAGTAAAGTATGCTTGTCCAGTACCGTCGTTAAGTACTACCTCAGACGGCTGGTGCCTAGCATGAAAAGAACAATGTGTTTACGTTCGGTTTTGACCCCATACTACATTCATGAATATCCTAAGATATTTCACGCTGAGGTTAATAGGGCGACATAGCTGAATTTGTGTCCAAAAGATTCCAAAGCCCAAAAGATTCCAAAACCGGAAGGATTCCAAAGCTGTGTGGGTTCCGGTGATCAAGCAAAGACCAAAAACTTGCTGCACAGCTGAGCCTGTATCGCTTTGTCATCACAGCTACTGTGATATCAAGATTTAAATTACACGCCAATTTTTCACCTCATTTTGTTGAGTGCTGCTTGTGAAACGAGCCCGGGACAAGCAGACGCTGTATAACGAATCAGAATATAAAGTTAGAGCGAAACGGTGTATCGAAATAGCGCTAAAGCTGTATAAGTAATGGTAGAAGCTAAATAATTAGTAGCAGTAATCTGGATTGCACTACGTCTTTTACTGTAGGATACAACAACTGGTTATTATTTGTAAACGACGGAGCCAGGCTGCCACAACGCATACGTTCATTGACATGCAAGTGAAGCCTGGCTTCCTTTTCTACTGGAACAGGCCCTTAATGTTTTATCGATAAGACTTGTTTCCACAATGAAAATAGCTGAGCAGTAGATACAAAATATAAAATGCACCTGAAATACGTGTACTGCACCGACAAGAAGATAACCTCTACAACAAAAAGTGAGTGAGATGAAGATAGGCGGTGTATATCTACGCTGAGAGGTTATAGAGTAGAGTAAACTCGCTTATCTACACCTTACGGATTCCGGAGTTGCCCGGAGCCTCCAAAGACGAATGTCTTTCAGAGAAGCGTCGATTCGCAAAAGTGTACTGGCCAATGGTTGTTGAACAAATGTCTTTACTATTAAATTACTTATCTGTACCAAGCAGAATGCTTGGTTTTGCATTTTTTTTTTTTTTTTTCTTTTTTTGCATCTTTTTTTTTCTTTTTTTGCATCCCAGGTCTGACACAACGGTCTGCAATCTCAGAATTATTATATTAGCACTACTGTAATGGCTTTTCACTTATAATTGTTTTTAATTATTGATAATTAACAACAATATTACGATTGTTTGATTTCGATCCCATAATTATATTATCGTGCCGTTTAAATCGCAGTACTTTTTAGTACCTATATTCAGATGGTAAATTTTAGAACAATTAGGTACCAAGTCGACGAAATTATTATTAACTTTTATTCGCATTTAAAGGCTAAAGTTTTATAAAACGGCATTTACCTACGGGCAAACAGGCTTACTTTATTAAATTGGTGATTAATCTATATTCAAATTTCATTTTTACATGTAAACAATACATGTTAGATATTATTAAATACTATGTTTAGAGAAAAAACAAATGTTTTGGCGTTTAACGGTAAGATTCACTTACAATCGTACAATAAGAGATACGTCACGGGTTATCCGTGGAATGTTTTTCGTTAGCTGTTAGGTACTTCATAACAGTATTGTCCAACTTCTCGTCATTATGTATGTTCAAATAGATTGGCACAGGTTTCTTCATCTAAACGTTCACTGCTTTCACAATAGGCACAACAACCGGAAACCGATTTCCTTACAGGCGTCAGGTAATGTTTATGATCTTGAACAGTGAAGTGTGTACGTGCATGCAACATAAGGCAACGAGACGATTCGTTCAACTGACAAAACGGATTTTATTCTTACAATAATTCGCACAGACTCTATTCCATGGACAGGCACCATTTTGTGCACTAGATAGACCCTGTGCATAACATAGAGATGAGGTATATGTTTGAATACCGAAACCCTTTTGTAGATCGGTACCTCATTGGTAATACATACTACACGAAAAACTGGCACGGGATGAGCAAGCGGATATGGTTTGAAAATCTTATTAATAACAATCACTCATGTTGATGCTTAGCGTGCATACGACGCCCTGAATGATAATGGTGATCATCATCAGCATGTTGCATGTACTTATGCTGAGTACCATAATTAAGCTTTTGACAATCTTTGAAATGAACGTGGGGTAAACGATGGCAACAGCTGTAACAGGGCAGCAAAATTTTTGGAGTAATAAATAATTACTACCTTGTCTGTGTTGATACTGAAATGAAGCCGTGACAACGAACACTGTGGATAGCCTCCCAATGAGTTATATATGTTAGTATGAGATTCAGGTAAAACTTTTCTATCTGCCGGCTCAGTCCAAACACCCACGCCGTATTACCATTTAACGTAATTTTGATGTCTTCACCGCACGCAGCCAGGCCGGACGACCAGCATTAAATACCTAGAAGATTTGATAGTCACTTTGACGTCCTTTAACTGCTTCAAATAATTGCGATACACATTGCAACAAGCGCATAGACGGGGAGCTCCTGCGGGCGCATTGTCACTGGTAATTTTTTATAAATTTGTAGTGAACCTGGCAAAAGGAACTTTAAAGGTATAGTCTACACAATGCTCAACAGCATTTCTTCGTTAAGCGGAATTGGTAAAAGTTGTAGGGTCGACGAGCATCTCTCTCGACAAATTCAGGCGTCGTTTCTGAAACTGATGACCTCAGCGTTCAAACATTTAACAGGACTCGAGTAATCACGTGTGATTGTACACAAAATGAAGATTTCTAATCCTTAGCACTTCCTCTCACAATAACTCATAGCATTTGGGGAGCTTCATTCTCAATTCTGCTCATGATTGATCTTCTTAAGGTAAAAATCTATTCATGCATGACGTCCAATAAAACAGCGTATCAGCCTATTCAACAATTTTGTGTCCTTATTAATAAACCTCAGAACTGTTCGCTGGGCATCAGGGGCAAAATAGAAAGCGAAAAAAAAAGCCCAGTGAGATATATTATCCTAGGAAGACCTTTTTTTTTAAATAAATGGATAGTATTCTTTTAAAAGAAATCGTTCTCGTACCATTAGAAACTCACCCGATAGTAATTTTTTTTCTTTTTGTAGGCAATAAGAGGAATGAAAAGCTGTAATGTGGTTAATATATTTTCAGGATCGTGTTAACCAAGATATTTAAGTGTCGTTTTTCCCGACACAGCTTCTACAGCTCATCCTGTGTTTACAATGGCTACGTGAATGATGCGTACGTGTCGAGTAACAAAATCTGTGGACCTGGGTTGACTAGCTATTTTTAGCAATGTGTCAGTCCCATAAGATATTCATCTTCGCATACGCCACATTTACTTCATCTTTTTCAATAATCGGGCAACGAGACCGTGTAACCATTATAAATCCAATGTATTAAATGTGTGAAGTTACTTCCGTCTATAGGAAATAGTAATAACAAACGAAAAATTCGTTCGAAAACACGATTCACGGCACAAATTGCAAGTAACGAAATCCTCTAGACTGCTCACGTATTAGTTTGCCACCCCATGTACCTCATAGAGTGCAAAGATTAATATTAGGTATTTCCCTACCGTGTTCGCCGTTCTCAGCTGGAAATTTCATTCGATTTCGCGTACCTTCTACTGGGCTTTTTAGGCAATGGATAAGACAAAAAGGCACAATTCCATTTACATGTGGCTTACTTTGTCTTGCTAACAATTTATAGGGACAGTATGAAAAATTATGGAAAATTTTGCAATCGTAAAAAAAGATGCACAACACAAGCAATTATAACACCCTAACGTTCGTCTTCTGATATCGATCCACCACGTGGTATCGAAGGTTTTCCGGCAGCTTTTCTCTGCTTATGTCGAACTTTTGTTCCGTACCGCTATTTCAAACGGCTGGTTTTCAGCATAAACTGCGTGTGTATTTACGTCCTGTGTTTGCACCTCACGTGCCTGCGGTCAGATAGGGGAACACATTACCAATGTATTATCACCGAGGTATTTGCAGCACGTAGATACGCACCTCGCGAGCGTAAAAACTGATCTCACGATGAATAACATAAACGTTCAAAGAGTGAACAATCCAAGGCACTTTTAGAGCAATTCGTATGTTTTCAGTGTTTGACAGGGTTTACAGTTTTTCGCTGGAATTTCACGCGAAATATAGATTCACAAATTTGGATGTCTAAAATATCGGGATTCTGGGGTAACCCGGTAACCTAAGTAACACGATTCCATCAGACGGTTGGTTCCCAGCACAAAACGTAGCGTGTCTACACCCAAGTTCGAACCTAGACTACTACGCAGGCAAATACGTTATTCACTAAGCTATCACAGAGACTTTTCATCCTAGCGTCAATCTAGGTCATTTTAATCGAGCCTAGCTTGGTTCACATATATCAAAGGTTTAGTGGGCAAACAGATTACTGCTGAACCGTTACCTAGACGTCTACCATAATCCAATTTATCTCACGGAACCTGGCTTTTCTCTTATTTTGAGTATGTTTCCAGTGAATGGTCATCGAAAATAGCTTGTTGTTCTACTGCTTAAGGAGTGCCTTCTTTGTGAGATACGAGGCTGTTAGAAGGGACTCCGCAGTTGTTGAGAATTTTTGAATAACGCGCTTCTAGCAGACGAAATATGGCTGGTGAATACTTGAGTTTTCTAGAAACTACAAGATACTCACCGAAAATGAAACAACGCAGTCTTAAAGAAAGAGTCTAAAGAAACTCGGCGAAAGCGTACAATCTGGTTACTTAATGACAATGCTAGACTACATTGCCATGCTTAGTTACGCACTGGACTAAGCAAATGAATATTTAAGGTTGATTTTGAGTCGCTTATTCTTCTGATCTTAGTACGAGTGATTACGGTGCTTTTTGGACCCTGAAAAGGGTAACTAGTAAGCCAGCATATCCCACTATCAATTTACCTCAAGAAGCCATAGATTAAGAACTTAAATATAAGAACGCGCAAGGTAGGTATATGGCTGGCTAGAAGTTACCAGAAGCGCTAAGGCAGGTGTGCAAAAAATAAAACGGAGTATTTCTAATGCACATTAAACAATCATCAATCTAGTTCAACTATTTCAAAATTATTCGATTTCAAAGTCCGCCGGAGTCATAACAGGTCTAATTTGCTGCCGAATACAATAAACTCTGTTTTAATTATGGCTAAAGCAGCTGCTTCTACTCAAATAGTTAAAATATATATGTGATAAAAGTTTATTTTAATAACAACAACAGTTTCATTCAGATTGAACAACGGGTCTTTTTTATCGGAGCGAAGTTGCCATTCTCACCTGACTTTTATAGTTAGAGCATTTTTATTGTATATTAGCTTGGCCGTCTATTTAGGGATTAATCCTTAGAAAAAGAACATTATTGACGTGTTACTCTTAGCAACTAGGAAAGCAAACTATATGCTAAGGCGTATCTACTTATAAAATTCACCACACATGAAGTATTATTTAGTTTTTTTTTTATTACTATAGCAAAAACTTTGTTGCATTTCTAGGCAAGATCCTTATATGTCACCTGAAATATAGGCAGCACAACGGTATTGTGTTTGTAGGTAGAATAGCAATGTCTGCCACGTAGCGCAGGAATTTAAGATTGAGACTAAATGTTAGCTGCTTCGTTTTGCATTTTTCGCTGATGAAAGAGCAGGTGTTTACTACTTTAGTACAGAGTTATGTAATGACAAGCCGCCCGTCCATACCAAAAAAGTTTCGCTTTGTAGCGAAACAGCTTTTGTATGTATGCAACTGAGCCAAAAACGTATAGAAAACTGATGCTTATTTAATTGAACCCAGTTCGTTTAACTATTATGAAGGGCATTTTTTTAAATTGCTTTCAGTCATCTTTAAAAACGTGAGATTCCGTATACAAAGCAAACTCTCATTTTAAACGCATAGCCATGTGTATACATGTATAGCTTCTTAGATCAACTTGGATTGATAACTTAGCAAAGATATTTTAAAGCTTTAAGTTAGTATAGGAAATTCAGTGCACTTCCTAACTGCGGATTCGGTGTTATTGTTAACGGCAATATCGGTCAAATCATTTCATCGATTGTACTTCGAATTCCGTCTTTTGTGTTTGAATTGCTGCCGCCTTGCGTTGCAGCGCCCCCTAGGGTGTTTATTTACAAACAGTCTCCTCCTTACCCAGTTAGGCTGTCCTGGGATTCAGAAGAAACACATGTTTTAACACATGTTTTGTTATGTTACCTTTTAGCAAGGCTTCCTTATTAGCTGTCAAGTTTATAAACAGTTACGAATTTTCTAAGGTACCCTGTTGTTCCTACTGAGGCTGACAAACATGTGAGAATATAGCACGACGGTCCAGATTGGTTGCCCTTTTGTAAAGTTGAGAATTTTCGGTGCGAAGGGAAATATGAGGAAATGCGGATCTTATGTTTGATTTACTCCAGTCACAAGGATTTGAGGTGCCTTTTTTCTCCGGATCTGTCCTGTAAACCTGCCGGTGAGACCAGCAAACAATGGCAGTTATCGTTTTGATAACAAGGGCGGGCTGATCTTCTAATGATGCTGTGCTCATAGTTATGCAGAAGATGCACCAAAACAGAACGCCGAACGAGAATATCCTTCTGGTATATCAAACATCTTCCGGTGTTCAGATGTCACCTGCAAGTACTATTTGCCTGTTCGCTTTTGTACTTAGGTTGAGCAAGGTTTAAGAAGATTCAAAGCTCACTTAAGTAAACCGAAGTTGAGGCTCTATGCGTTTTTTATTTTTTGACTGCGAGGTATTTCTTCTCCCGTTTAGGCCTTAGATCTATTACACATATGCTATGCAAATATATTAATCAAAAACTTTATGATAGGCGGTGTGATGGTCTGTAAGTACCCTGATGAGCATCAAATCAAACGTGTAATATTTGGTTTTTTTACAAAATGCAGCTTATACCTTTTATCTAGCATCATCATCAAGTGCAGCAATTTGTGGAATCGATGAGTGCCCGTTTTTTTTTTTTATTTCGAAAATATGCAAGATAAGCAAAAAGGAATTAGGTATTTTGTTACTTGATTCGTATAAATTCCAGTCGTTTTCTTAATCTAAACGAAAATGCGCTATTGCCTTCTGTTTGCATTCGATTTTTTTTTTTCATATTTGGTGTGGTCTTACGAATCAGAAGGTGTTTGGAATGAGCAATCGCACCATACGAAGGAAAATTGCTCAAATGAACGAATCTGAGGAAGAGCGAAAAATGCGACTCGAGGCCGATGCCCGACGAAAGCGGCTGCGCCGAGCAAGTGAGACGTTGGCTGAGCGTCAGCAGCGTTTAGCAACGGCTGCGGAACGCCAACGCGCACGTCGTGCTAATGAAACTCCAGAAGAACGCATACGTCGGCTTGCTATGGATGCAGACCGTCAAAGAGAGCGTCGAGCCAACGAATCGCCTATGGACAGGCAACGCCGACTCGCCATGGACGCTGAACGCCAACGGGAGCGTCGTGCAAAAGAGTCCGCCGTCGAGAGGCAACATAGACTAGCGATGGACGCCGAACGGCAGCGCGAGCGTCGAGCAAACGAATCTGTTGCGGAACGTCAGAAAAGGCTTGCTTCCGACTCTGAAAGGCATATGGAACGCCGAGCCAATGAGTCGGTTGAACAACGTCAACAATCACAGCTAGAACATGATCAGCAGCAGCCACAGCAGCAACACCAAAGGGTTCTGGAAGCCCCTGAAAGGACGGAACAATTAATAGAGGTGAGAAAGTCTAGCTTGCCATGAATGGAACGTTGGTTTTTACATGGTGTGTTTCTCAGACACTCAGAAGTGCTTGCATCGCTGAGGAAAAAGATTTCTCGTTTCAGAATGACATAGAAATATGCTATGCTCAATACAAACACCCTTCTGCTCAAAGGATATCGCATTTGTGCTTTTGTTTACTTAGGTCAAAGCAATTTAGAATTGGTAGTATTGAAATGCTATTTTATATTAAAATGACTATTGGTATATCCATACTGATGACGCGTTCAACTCATTTATATACCAATAAAGCCTTTGATAAGTGGAGAAGAATATTATAGAGCACGGCGAATGATAATCGAGTCTTAACAAGACTGCAACTCTATTTGTTACGGGCTGATAAATTTTGTTTGCAAAACAGGTGAAATATAAGGTGGTTGCAATGCAAGATGAATCTGGATGTGAGTTGATTAAAACAACGCCAGATATTTGCAATATGGCCACTACTGGAGTGGCTGGCACGCAGAATTGTGGCGAAACGACCGTGAAGGCAGAGTACGGTCCTGAGTTGCAGTATTTGTACGAAGATTACTCGAAATTATCGGGTTTAAACCGACGATCTGCGCCACTAGCATGGCACCAGTACCATACTATACATGTGAGAGCGTTGCAAGTGCCAATATTATCCACCACCTCAATGGTAAGGCCTGATAACCATATCTTATTTCTATATGTGAATGACTTCAGGATCTAATGGCAATCTTCTTTATTTTCCGGGTAGCATATGTATCTTATTGTCTTTTTATGGTATAGTTATACGGATGTTTGATGAAAATACGTTTTAAAATTGCACAATCTTAATAATTGCGTGTCTACGCCTAAGAAAATATAGTAAAGTAGGAAGCGAAGTAGGAAGTGCAAAATTTAATACTATGTAAATATACCAAGTTTATAACGAATCTACTGGGTCCTTCCTACTTTATAATTACAATTCTTCTGATATTCAAAACTTTTTGATACGACATAATATTAGAAAGAAGACTTAAAGACAGGTCGAATCTTTAATTCATTTGATGACGTATGTTGATCTAATTTTTCTTTTCTAACAGAATATAAGTAATCGTTATAGAAAACTATAAAATCTAACAATTAGGGCATACGAAGCAGACACAATGTGATTCCGTCGTATTCGACAACCGATGAATATTAAAGTAGGCCTATAATATAGCGAAAGGCGAGGAATGTCTTATTGTTTACGACTAAAAATATAAAATTTTACACTTTGTGGTTCAGCCTATTTTTCAATATTTTAATAATAATATAAAGATTAAACTATTATTCTCAAAAGGTAGTCCAGAAATAGAGCTGATTAAGTGTGAGCAAAAGTGATATTACCCAATTATACTTTTAACAGAGAAATATAAATTTTCCGTTCTTGATTTCTTCATAATTTTGTAGAATTCCGGAACGAAGTAACATTTAAATTTGGACAATTTATTTATAACAACGAATTTGAAAACAAATAGCTAATCAAGAACTTTCATATAAGTGCTTATTTTGGTCCAAGAATAAGAAAATTGCATCGCGCTTTTTCAGTTGTGATTGGTATTATTTGTCATTTTTTACCTTACAGGCATCTTATATTTATTATTTAGACCAATTTTTCTTATTTAGTAATAGCTAGGACTTCGCTAAGTTGTATTCAGCTTGCTGTTTTGCGGGGCAATTGGCGCTTCTTAAATTAGCTCAAATTGAGTTTGAGCTCTTAGCGAAATGGGACAACTCTACGGGGAATCAGAAATAGATGTAGCATCTTTTTTGCTCTCAGACGCAGATTGAAGTTAATCATTGGGAAATCGTAAAGTTTTATCACTTCAAAGGTGCGGAACCCTTGATTCCCATAGTAGTGTAGTCTGGATGACTAATGCTCATTTTTTTCGGTGCATTGCCGCGCTAACCATAACGAACAAGTACGCTTCCACGCTTATTAGATCTTAGCATGGATAAAAATTATTACCAGAAATTAATAATTACGAAAATAAGAAACTTTTTTTAAGGGGAATAGCTGCTGTATAGTTGCTGTGCCGTTTCACAGAAGTGCTGAAAAAGCTCTAACTAAGTCTAAGAACGCCCACCTCGGTTAGACTCCTTGTGGGGAGGCAAGTCCTTGATGCTCTATCTAAAAAAGGGATGATTTTGTAGATTTGTTGACATATAAAAAAAACAGAGTGCTAAAATTAAGCATAATAAAACATTTATTCTAAATTTAGCGCTAAATTAAGCAAGATTTCCATGTTGACAATAGTACTAACATTAAAAGAATTATGCCATACGGCTCAGCAGTTTTTGTACATGAAATAAGATATTTTTTTCTGAAAACTTTCAGACACCGGAATCTAACACTCATGTAGTTACTGTGGCATCAGCCCCTGCAGTACCATCGATTGAACAGACAGCCTGCACAGAACTCGTTGCTAAAAATCTTCCGACACATATTGTCACCCAGGAGTAACTCAACTCCTAAGAAACACGTCACAAAAACTACTGAATTAGCTGTTTAAAAGATAAGACGTGTATCTAAACGAAGCATTTATTGGACTGTATATATGGAGACACGATATCCAAGTACGAAACGGCGCAACACATACGTGGCATTTTAAGAAGGGACCTATCCTATTCCATAGAATGCGAGGGATTTGAAAAAAAAAAACAGTTTCTGCTAAAACGATTTCGTCTAAATATTTAATGCAAAATGAGAGTGTATTTTTCGTAGGAAATTCCTTATAGAAGGTAAACGCATTTAACATTCAAGCGAGACGTCTTAAACGCAAACCAACTTTCACTTCCTAAAAAAGTCTACAGTGATATATAAGATAGGTCCCGTCACAAAATACGATGACTCGATCTTGCCGTTCTCTAATGCGATCGATTCACTTAGCTAACTCCAGTGGTTCTCAATGGCAGTTGAACAAATGTGACAACGTCTTAATTAAGCCACATACAAAATTTGCTTTGAATGTATTTGAGGATCTTCTAATTGTTAGCATAGCTCGTTCCACAGGTCCCAGATTCCAGCATTTGAGCCATTCAAAAACCAATTATACACATTAGTTTTGATTTTGGATAAAAATTTCATGTACAATTGGCATAAAAATTTTAGTAATAGAATTGTAGCATAAAACAAAAAAATCCACTGAACATTACGTTATTAATATATTTTATATAAGTAAATTACACTAAAATTGCCTTTTGGTGTGATCTCATTACCGCCGAATCGACCAGAATAGGTATTCGTCATATTTCTAAGCCAGATATTGAAAAATCAAGAGGAGCGGGCCGCACGCATTTGCCGCGCGCGTAAACCAATTCAGAAACAAGATATTCAATGGCTTACACTCTCATCGTGTCAAAACGCGGATTTTTATTCTTCAATATTTTTCCTTTTGATCTCCTAGAAGTAGTTATTATTTGGGATGAAGTGATTGCATGGTTCTGGAATCCCTGGGAAAGGAACACTGTGAACTGACAAAATGGGGAATACTGATGAAATTTTCGATGCAGATGGCGTTGTAGTAATAGCGCCACTTCGTGTACAGATAGTTGGCGTATCATATTACGATATCAGCATGGATCATAATGCGTGAAAAGATGATTATAGGCCAAAACGTTTTATTCAAGTTAATCGGTATAGGTTAACAATCTGAAGTGAGAACAGGCCCTATTTCGTAAGCTGAATGTTCAAAGAGCATGTGCGCCAATCGATGCAGATTTGTTTGTCGCCCAAAACCGGTATACTGTAGGAAATTCACCTTGCAGTCTGTAATGTGAAACGATTTTAAAAAAAAAATCAGTTTAAAAGGTTTTATATTCGAATCAATTTTGCAGATATAGCTTTGATAATGTATTCTACAGAAAAAGATAAACCAAAAGCACAGAACAGTATTGTTCCTTCTCATTCTCGTAATGAAGTTCACGAAACGCAATCCGCATGCCTTCTATCATCTCAAGTGCAAGGATATCAACTAAATAGCGACGTTATTAAGAAAATATTCCGAACGGTCTTAACGGCGTTGAGTAGGGTTCGTCCTCACGAACAGGCAATGGACGTGAGTATGGTTTGCTAGACATAATGTTGTGACATGAGCTTGTTATGTAATATCATTTAGTAGTAATATCATAGGTGTGTGTAGTAATATTGAGTAAATGCTTCGGGAGTACAGGATACATCTAGGTTAATAAAAATTTCATGTAGAATTTCGATAACATGTTATTATCATCCTAAATATCAATGACATTTGCATGAAGGTTTAGAATTTCGTGTTCTTAAAGAATGAAGCCAGTATCATAACAATGTACGTGCTCACGCGAAATTTGTTTACAAGTTAAATAGTGTTAAAGGTGAAAGGAATCTCGTATTTTATAAATAGCAGTCGTAAGGTATCTCGTAAAATCGTCTTCTTAGTTGTGACTGCCGAAATCTTGCCACAAGATTGATAGATACATCCTTCTGACATAGCCAAGATGCTGCCACCCTGTAAGCAGTTATTAAAAACAATGATCATCGTCTAGCATCGTTGGCACAGAAATCCGACCTGTATATAAAAAGACTAATCACACATTGAGCAACATCGTTTTAGATACTGAGCTGTATAATACCTTTCTACTAACTGTACTTTTTTGATCAGTTGCGTATTCGACCTATATGCGCTAGATGTGTAGAGAATGATTCAGAGAATGCATCGCTGCGGTGAAATCTAGTAAGCATATATTTTAATGTTTGATTTGCAAAGCATTTAATATGGACCATGTTACTAGATGACACATTCAACTGTCAGCTGGATACTTGAATTGAATGAATAGGGTACATGAAAGACTTTTGAAGCCCCACCAAATCAAAAGATACAGGTCGAAACTAGAGGGAGTATAATAAGTCAAGTTTCTGCTAACTTTTCGGTACAAGAAATAAGACCAGCATGGAATGGCGTGGTTTTTTATTTGTTTACTTTAAAGAGGTCTATCGGTAGTACGACATGCTTCGGAAACCATGACGTTTCAACTAAAATTTATTATGGTCAGTTCGGCACAACTCCTACGGAAATCGACTTATAGATGTTATAATATCGGACGTTGACCGCTGGTTTTACCTTTTACCAGCATTGTATCTTCAAGTTGATTTCAGATACCGTGTTCTGTTGTATTATGGGCCTCCAAGGAACTTCCAAATTCGTTATACCGTACTCCATATTTTTGATCAACCCATCGCATTTTTAATTTTTCAGAATTGAAGTTTCCTAGAATAGCTATAGATATAACTCAGCTTTTTTCCGCGCGGGGACCAGTCTAAATATTGTAAGTCACGAGTTCAAACTGTGGTTTATGACTTAATTTATATTGTTTCACTCATTTACCAGTTTGATAAAATATTGCTGGCGTTCAAGACAATATATATGCTACAACATGAAGCAAAGGCGTTATACACGCCTTAGCTTCATGTTGGATTGCCAATCGATGCGTGATTGAGTTGTAAGATCCGTTTCTCGACATCTACTGGATATTTTCAAAAGGGACACGCGCGTTGAATGTGTTTAGAAGATCGGAGTTCCATTAACTATATTGTGATATACATGATCTTGTCATAACCTGTAATAATACTTAAACTCAGTGTTTATTATCAATATGAATAAAGGTGCTTTGTATTCATTAGTTGGCTTTGTTTCTTAAATGTTGTTGATTTCGATCAGCAGACGGACCTTATTAGCTTCTTTATTAGCAATCAATTTCTGTCATGGAACGCATGCCGATTAATCGAACGTAAGTCTGACGAATGTTACCACAGAAGCTATCATTTGAGTTTGTCCGAGAATTATAACCTATTTTGTAGTAAGTTCCATTACTGCAATGTTGGTTGTAATTAGAAGACGCTAGAATAGAACTTTACAGCTACTTGAAAACCCGAAAATAACATGACACGTAGACGAAAAAAAAAAAGTTATTAAACAAAAAAAACTAGCATGAAGTTTAAGGCAATTACTTTTAACTACATGACGCGTGTTTTATAATTTTTTTTTGGTATAATAATTTTTTTTTTGGATAATTTTGGTATCGGTATTCGAAATGAGTATGTTTAGTGTAAAGATTCCATTTTTTATTATTTATTTTCTACTTAGTTATAAGCTTTCAAATGACGCCTACAGTTTGAGACCAATAGATATTAATGTATTGTAGGTGTAATCATAACGTGTGCTGTTTAAACCAACCCAGGATCAGATAGCTATGATAATTGCTTAATTCACTTTCTTTTAACTAGGTTCGTGTGCCAGCCCTTAGTGGTGACTTCATTCACTTAATGGTTATGTTCAAAGAGCGGCGAAATCTAATTGATAAGTGCGTGACTCAGACGTAGTAACTCTCATTTATATTGCAGCTCTTATCTGAGAAGACTAAGAAAAACAAGTTCCCAATAATGGCCTACGCATTGAAAAATGCGTAATGCATTGAGGAGGCTCGATGAGTAAATTGCTGAGTCTATTATGCATCAATGCTATTATAGTACGTTGTAAATCATCACTAAAGCGTAATGGCAAAACTATAATTAATTTTCGAACTTGAGTCTCGATATAATGGATAACTTACGCACTTTCTAACGAGTTGTATAGAATTAATGCGCAGATTTTATTTATTTTATTTAGTATTCTTTCCGCTAAAGATAAAATTTTTCGATGTCAGTACTAGCACATTGGGCCACCTTGACGTATAAGCATCAGAAGAACATCCAACTTCTTATTGGCATTGGGCAAAACGAGCATCCTCGGAGTTCCAGTTTTCCCTGTATGATTGTCGAATTAAATTTAAATTAAGGAAACTCTAGCGAGCAACTTTCGGTGTAGTTGTCTGATATGTCATATATAACATAGAAGGTGATTACTTTGTAAACTTCAGAAAAAATTGCATCGTTACTGTCGCAATAGAACTTTACATTGAAAGCGATGCAACTAAAAATTTTTCACCTACAGAAAAAAACATATTTGTAATTTCTTTTTTCACGTAAAAGGACATTCTCTAGAGTAACACCTTTTTTGACGCGTAGAAAACTATCTTGGCATATATGTATAATCATTAGCTATTTCATTAAACATTTCCGGAGTAAAAATTACTGTTTTATTATAACACAATTTTATCAGCAAAGGTTATTTTCAAAAATGCAGTGGTGCACTGTGGACTACATACGAAGCATGTAGACTGTCATATAATTCTAGAACTAATATGTCAGTTGGAACATTTAGCTGAGTTATTTAGATAACCTAGGCCAACAGAATTCATAGTCAAATTAATGAAAAACCTGAACCTACACATCTTGATGAGAAAGGGCATTCGTTTTTGCAAGAACCCGTAGCTAGCAGACGGAATAATCAAAACAGTAATGGCCGCATCCAGTCGCCGTCAGCTGGGGAGCTCAGGGATGGGCAACGGAGGATGGGCTGGTATTGCTGTTTGTTATTGTTGTTTGATAACAGTTGCACCACCCTTCCAGCAGAAACAACTCGTACCGATTGAACAGTAGGGGTGGCTGACTTCGCGCAGTAGTTGAGTAGCGGATAGACCGAAGCTATCGGAGAGCGGCTATCAGTGGAACGTGTTAAATTTTAGTGCGTACCATCGCGTAACACACAGTAATGGCCTCTCCAATGGTGAGTTACCATAAGTGTGATTATATGTTTTTGCGTGCTGACACATCATAAACGAGTCAACGACATGTGGGCAAAAATCGCGCCGGTCTCTATCATCAGGGTATCGTGTGAGAAGGAAAGCTCACTTCGAAGAGGTTTAGGTACAGTGTACTGGTAATGTCGACTCCACAGCGAGTGTCGCTGGTTTTCGCAGCTGTTCGAACCGCGCCATGTGACATGAATAAACCCTTCGCTTTGTCACGTTTTGATATGCTGACTATGTTTATGAACATCGGTCAGAGTGTGGTGTTTTTCGACACTAGGCGACAAAGTTGTATCTACTGTTTTGTCTTAGAACTTCCTGTCCTCTTAATCTCATTTTCTGATCAAGTGAAAACAGAGCGCTGTTCGTGGGCTATGTGTCAGACCCAAATAGGTTTCTAAATCAGAGATGAGATAGGACAGTCGTTAATTACAGGTTTCACAAAAACTTGAAATTTACGACTGTCCTAAACAGAGCGGTAACCGTACATAGGGGTGACTTCGTTGACACTGACCGGAGTATACGGCATATTCGTTTACTTAAACCTTAATTTTTTAATAATAATCGCAGGACTTTTTTCATCAACAGATTCAACTTTCGAATTGAGAGTTCAAAAAAAAATTCTATGTTTCCATTTATTGCTTTTTAAAGGGATTCATGAGGCCTCAGTATCTAATGGCTCACACTGATGCAGTGTTTAATTTCAAGAGTTACTATATCAAAAATACAATCAGGAATGATACGTGATAATAATTTGATGTGTTGCTGAGATTCAGGTGCTTAGCCAGCAACCGCAGTTTCGCAAGGCCTCGCCTATTTTAAAAAACACCCATGCTTTCCACAAACATAAATATAGTATAATTTCGTGTATAGGTTCGTGAACAGAATAATTTTGAAATAAAACTTTAGAAGCATTTGAGGTTTAAATTTGCTAGGTATGCCAGATTTGAACTAATGACGCATGAAGCAATATTTAGCTCTATAGGTATCTGCTATAAAAGCGTAAAAGTGGACACATTTAGGCACATTAAGTAGGTCCCTGGGATGATCCAGCAGTGATATGTTTGCCTGCTAAACGTGGTTATCTAGGCCTGAAACCACATTCAACACATTTTGTTTCGTGCCTCGAAGGCACGGCTCCGCAAGACATAAAACCTAAAGTAGTTCTTTTGAGACATCAGATACGCCATATTTAGTATAAGCTAGAACTACTGTTCTGTGTTTCCCTGTATAACCGTACCTGTCGATTTCGCAATTTCCTTTAAATTCATCATCTACCATTTCCTTTAGGATATAAACTAACTGTAGAGTTTCTAGTTTTTAGTTTAAGTGATATGGATACATTGACATGCTCATACAAGGAACTAAAATAACACATGAGTTTGTCTGGGGCATACGAAACTACGAGTTATGATTTAATATCGCAATCCAAAATTAATTCAAGCACAAATTTAGTCGTTCTCATCAAATAGCCACGCTGTATATGCGTGACGTATTAGAAAATTAGATTGTTTACTTTAGACTAAACACTTGACAGTAACGAATTCTTTTGTTTAAAACAGCTATCGTAATGATTGCAGGCCAAATCCTATCTGGCAGTGCCACGCCAGATACTTTACTATGCCACTGTACTAACAGTTTCACCTTATCAAGCCCACAGTTATGTTACGTGTTACACTGAGTTCATAAGTTAAGACATTTTTAGCTGACGCACACCTTATTGCCTAAGTTTACTTCGATCACAGCCGTTCTCCACATTTTCAGCTAGATTGTCAGGTCGAAGTCCTGCTATTTTCTACTCGGCCCTATTAGTTGTTGCTTGCGCAGGTAGCAGCTACATAGTACGTTCATTCAAGGCAGATTCGCCTAATCCTTCGACCAACTGTCAACAACGAAACAAAAGAAATGTCAGGTTTTGCCTGAACGCCTGAACATTATGCTTTGCTACAAACCAATTGCTATATTTAAGTCAAGCAGAATACGCGACTTACTCTATCTGTGAACTATCTATCTTCCTTCTAGCAGGAGAACACAATTTACTCTGGCCCTTTCGAATGATGCACTTTAATATTTTAGCATCGGCTAACATGACATCAGAGTTCCAGCGCTAGGGACGCGTTGTTCTGCTATGTTCAGCAGGTTTACAACTGCCTATGTTATCCATTAACGGGATCAAAATGATATGACTTATAATGTTAGAAAGGTCTCAGCAGGAAAAATTTTTGAAAACGTCATTTAATAAACAAAGCCTAAGAACATAGCTCGCGCAAGTACTGCAAATCAAGGCAAAAGTCATAACGGCGCCTATGACCAAATTTTTGGATGTATAGTACCAATAAAATTATACCTTACATACCGGTGTAACATCTAAAACAATACTAGAAGATGCTGCAGTCAAACCGAAAACCAAACGAATTACAGTACCGCTTTGAATCAAATTTTGCACCACCCAATATTCTCGTTTTCTTTGAACCGCTTATCTTTAAAGCTATCACTTGAAATCCACAATGTTACATTACAAGAGCTAATGGAAACAGAAAAATTCCGAGATCTTCCTCCCAAGATTTAAAAATTTCGCCAATAATCCATTAAAGTGGAACTTGTATTGGGTTAAACCACTGTATGCAAAAATATTCTCGTGGAACTTCTATTAGGTCTATATTAGGTCTATATTTTCGATTTTATTAATCATCCATGTAGATTTTCCTCAACGTAAGGCCGGAGCTAGTCATATATTATCTATGAATATTGATTGCTGACGTTCACTAGTTAATTTAAATATACCCACAGTTCTCTTCAGTCCAAGAAGCTCCCAGATACGGACCGTACATTACTTGTAATGTTTCGAATCGAAGTTCGAAATGTACAATATATCTCACACAACGTTACGGAGTGGTAACGCTTTGCGTCATTGCGAGCAAGCCGTCACGAATATTTTACGAGAAAGACTTTTGGCAATATGAAAATATATATCGCCTAATCTCGTACTGCTCCCTTTTTCTGTTATACTTTTTTGTTCAGAAATTCTTGCAGTCAGATGCCTCACCTAAGTTCTAGTCCTCAATAGATGTGTTTTTCAGCAGCTTTATTTAAAACACATTGCCACATGCACTCATTTCTTTCATACATTAGAATACGTTTTTTTACGCTTGACACGTTAGTAAAATAGGTGACTAACTGCGGGCTTGCCCAACTTTAAACTACGAAGTAGTTCTATTAGAAAGAGTAATAGGAACAACGTTAGCCCTCGTACAGTTCGGACTAACAAATTTATTTATTAAAAAACCTCAAGGGAAATACATAGCTGTAAGATTTTTACCTTCTTACAGAGGTTTGGTTAGTCCACATGTAACCCAAAAACCGTAACTATGCAGCAGGTTCATTTGTTAGGCCACGGAGGTGTTTACAACGAGAGCTTTGTTACGTTGTGGCTTCATAGAATAGAATATAAAAAAAAATAGCATTGCTATCTTTATCTTATACATAACGGCTGTGTTAGATACCGTTCTCACGGAAGAGCTAATCAATAACGAATGGATCTCCCTCTCGAATCAATTTGTTCTCAAGTACCGACCTATGGTGATATCTTGAAGTTATTGTGACGGCTGTGTAATTTTGCTGAGAATGAGTACAGCCGAAGGTACCAGGCTGAGTTCCTTCAACGTTCGGGTCATATCTTCCTCGGTAAATATCTGAAAGTGGAGCAAATAGTTTATTAAAAGGACGTATCGAAACTCATCATTATCCCGTTATCACCAGGTGCTATCGCATTTTCGGTAACGGTAAACACTGTTTACAAACCCGGCGGATATCCATCGAAGAAATTCCTGTAGCATGTTCTATACGTAGTCTGAATTAAAACAAGCGCAGACAGTCGTCATAGTTAATCACATTCGTACAATTGTAATTTTACAAATAGTATTACTATTGAAGTCGTGTTAAGCCCACCTTCTTTGGAAACGATGTCATTAGCTGGAAGGGTACATCGCCGTCTAAGCGATTCGTCATGATGTAACACCGGACTGCCGCTAGCTGTTCGCAGCTCTTGAACGTCTGAGTTAAGGTTTGACCATTGGTGAGCCTAAAAACGCAAGTGAAAAACGGATTTACCCAGTGCCAATAATTGAAGTTCATTCTACCGAGTGTCACCTAACTACCTACTGGGTTAAGTATTAGATCCACCACTAGCGATTTCTTACGTAATTTAGATGTATATGATGATAATTAAGTTCTGGGATTCCTAAACGGACAAAACACTAATGATTGAGTAGTGTAGGAAAGACCAGATTCCATGCGCAAGGAATGTGTCCCTCAGAAAAACGTCACAATATGAGATTTATAACTAAAACAATATCTTTTCCATTCACCGGATATGTATACGGCATTCATTGTACTCTTTCGCGGGTCCGGTAGTTGCCGCGGGCTTAGGAGTAGCTGGCATAACAGGAATGTTCTGAGCTGCTCCCCCGGTCGCGGGCTGTTGTAGTTTTTTACGACGTTCCTCCTTATCCCGCTCAATTTCTTCGAGAATTTTTCTTCGTGCGGCGGCTCCTTCTTGTTTTTCACGTCGCCGAGCCTCAGCTTCTCGTTTTATTTCATCTTCCTGCTCAGAAAGGGCCAATAGACGCCTATAATCAGATGCGGGCATTATATTCAACTTCGGTATATAATCACGACCTGAGCCCTCGAACGTAGTCTGGGTGACGTCAAGCTTCTATAACTGCACAAGTTAGATGGGGTTCCTTTAATCAATCAAAATGTAATTTATATTTTGCATCGAGTTATTGGCTAAGAGCAGTTATTTGACAAAGCACAGCATGAAAGTAACCTCCGTTTTCTTTAGTTATGCTTTCCACTCACCAACAATACCGACCTTGAACTTCTGCCTGAGTTCGACGATTTCTCGTCCTTGTGCTCTGCGAAGCCGCTCCCTTTCGTGCTCCTCTTGGCGCTCTTTCTCCAGACGAATTAACCGGTTTGCTTTGATTCGAGCCTCCAGAGCGTCTTTTGCAGCTTTCTGTGAGTCTCATATGACGGAATAAATGTGAAACCAGACCAATTACTGAACTCGACCATCATATGAGCACCCTTATGAGCAAATGACACTTACGACTTTCTCTGCAAAGAACCACTCTAAGACACTGCCATTGAAGAAAAAGGTACAAACACTAACCTATTACCGTGACGAACGTCTATATTCGGTTTTATGATGATAACAAAGCCTCTAAATCCTCTATATACCTCAAGTAATACGTGTCGGGTCGGCATTGATCTCACTCGAAAGCTGGGATTTGATAGCAGTAGATCTTAAATCTTGAAAAGCATGTCTTGAGACTTACAGCGCCTCAAAGATAGGTTATTGAAAATATTCGCTATATTTTATAATGTTATCATGATAAAGGCACAACTGCTACTTAGGTCCATAAATCAAAATGCGTGGTTGAAAGATACAACCAAAAAATGGTTCTGGTCGATCAACATGAAGAAAGTTGACGAAATTATGACAAAAGTTGAGCCACCGGTACGTTAGCCGCTATAAAATCGCCAGGGAACTGTGCAGCTCACCATCAAACAGTTTTAATAATTTAAGACGGCTATAAAAAGAAACTCGGATGCTTGTGTGCCAAATGAATTGACGCGAAAGAATTTAGTCGATCGTATTTCCATACATAAACTTAAAAACGCAAATAAATCGAGCCTTTTTTAAGATCGTTGATCAAGGGTCATAAAAAAATTGAGCACATAGGTATAGACGAAAAGGATGTGCTCACAAATCATTTATAGAGCTGAACGACTGATACTAAGAAAGATGATGCTATATGTTTGTTGGGACTGAAACAGAGCTAAAGGTCGAGGAAACCCAAAAGGTGCAAAAAGTCGCAGACATCACCCGATCACTTCATCTAGCATGAAGAGATCGGATAATAATTGATCTTTGCTTAAATCTCGAAAATGACGCACTGTTTTTAGCCATGACGAGTCTTTCATCTTCTTCTACAACTAATTGAGAGCTTTTTTGGACTATCACAAATGGTGAATGGACACATGCTCTATATGACACAAAGCCCATTAAAATTTACTCGGATTAGATATTCTTATCAAACGTATTTGCGGCCAGTTCCCGTTTGTATCCCAGGAGCTTTTTAAATCATTATTCACCTCGTATGCTTATGAAATAATACTCACAAGTTCCTCTGGGGTCTTTGGTTTAATCGCCTCCTGAGATTCCGAGAAATTTGTATGTCCACTTTTCGACGCATGCCACACAAGAGCATCCTCATTTGGAAACAGCTTGCCGCAATCGTCACATTTCATAGAACGCGCTAGAAACGTACCCATATGTATCATGTATTTATAGTTAGTTATTGGTGTTCTATGCACTAATAATAATAATTTGATTAAATAATTCTGTATTTCTAATTATCCGTTTTATCCTCGTGTATACTCGAGACCTTATTTAAAAAAACAAAATATATTCAAATACTTTTTTTACGTTACATTTACTTGATAGTCCACGGCCTTTTTTTCAGTCAGTTGAGGAAGTAAACAAACCGGTAAAATAGGTCATGTCACATTTTAACATGGCACTGTCCTAATCGTACCAGTACTACTCGGGATATAAGCCATACGTAAGTGTTCGTAGCTACTTTGCTAAACTTTGCTTACCCTCTTGGCCCTGCACAGTTCGTTGATCCTCGGGAACCGGCCCTTCGTCCGCAGTACTTAACTCTGCTTGTGCTAAAAATTTAATCCAATATATACATAAAAGTCCACCTTATAATACCAGCATACATCCTTTTAAAGAATGTAAAAGTCTAGCCCAGCGCGAACGACCGGACGTCGTAATATTTGCCTAAATAGTACATCAGTCAATGTCTTTTGTAACAACACAATTAAGTTAGAGCAATCTGGAAGCTGTTTCAAAGGTATCGAGAGAAACTAGCTTGAATTCTGACGATTTCGTAAACATGGCATCCCGAAAAACGTGTTTTCGATTTTAACCACGTATTATCTATTGATTTACTTCAGCCATATTTCTACGCAGTGCACAGCAAACCGATGTGGAGCGAAAATGCTCATCAGCTGAAAAATAAAGGTTTTTATTGGCTTACTGATGAGCCCAGTGGCTTCGATGTTCAACTATTAATTCACAAGTAGCCATATACACACCGGGTCCTGCCGACTCCGTCTTCAAGTTACTCGAAGGACCTGGTTGCTGTCTTTTTTCATCTTCATTGTGAGCCAAAATCCATTCCATAGCCTGCTCGAGAGAAGATCCACCCGTTTCCCTCATAGCCATTTCGACCTTAATCGCGTCGAAACCCATCTCCTTCAACTGATCAGCAATCGTCATATTTTACTGAAACTGCGGTTAATTGTGCCCACGTTAAACTCGATAGTACTTCATTAGTACTCTATATAAACCTGACCTAGACACCAAATCGGAACTTCTATGTCATTAGGGTTTAGATTACAAAGCAATCTGATGAATTAGCGGTGGCGTTTCGATGTGAAAGAACAACATACTTAAAGGCAAAACAAATTGCTCTATTGTGAAAGAGTAACAAGATGCAGATAAGAACCTTAATTAAAGATATTCTGATAATTAGTCTGAACATGTGATTAGTCCGTAGCAAACAAACTTCTTACTCTGTAAAAAATATAATAAAATAAGAGAATATTCTAGATTCTTTTACTTCATTAGCAGTCAATACACGTCTACCTCGTATTAACAATCCATCGTAATTATCTGTCAAATGCGCTATAATTCAATGGCATTCGCTTATTCCTTCAATAAACAATGCTACCTATATTAAAAAAAATTAGAAGCAACTAAAGTTTGCATCCACAAACAGGCCCTGCGTACTGCAAAAACTTGATTGTGCCGAATTGAAACATACACTATGCTTCCATAAAGTCGATCGGAAATTAAATTACGACAATAAAATATCTGAAAATCATGCACCTGCTTATTCAGTTTCGTCTCCGATTAGCGTCCTTGCCGATTGCCGGCAAAACTGATCCGTTTGTTTGGTGTTGCGTGCGAGCAGAGGCACAGCATTCAAGGTAAGGCAATTACGACAACTAAACGCAAGATTTCTGTTTGCCGGTCTACAACAAGGAAATAGAGTCCATACACACTACACGGTTGCAAACAACTGCGGCCCGAATGTTTTCATCAGCGTGTCCGTGAATTAAACTAGAGGGTGTGTGGGAAATAGAAGGCGCGTGAGAACGAGGCTGACCGAGCCTTTAATGATACAAAAAATTACTGAGGGTTTTTGTTTTTGGCAAGATTCTTTTAACACAATTCATCGTAAGAATATCAAGTTAGCATCTTCTGAAAACGAACGGCGAAGTCTGACCATTATAATAATAATACAGTATCAGTCTGTTTCGTTATTCTATTTCGAGCTTTTGCTTTTCACTAGAGTTCAATTGGCGCCGCAGTACTATTTGCTGATAGGGTTAGAAAATGTTGTAGAGCGTTCGCGTCTCAGAAGTACAACGTGGACACGAAACCATATTAGCTCATAATCATCGAGCTTGCATGAGCGCACTTAATTTTGTACGAATAGATAAAAGCTGTAATACTTAGCAAGCTGCCGGTGTAATGAGCCGACGAGAGTGGTAGCTGAAGTACACGTAGGTCCTCATGTATATAAGGTGCGAATTTCGTCTAAATACCACCTTGGAAAAGAAGGCGAATAAATAACAGGCTGAGAGTCTGTGCTAGCTCGTCAAAAATATAGGTAAATCGCAAAACTGCTTTGTTTTTCCAATGTGATATCAGCAAATACGTTGAGCAGTGAGGAACTGGCGGCAAAGTAATGAGAGGGATTGTGAGACGGGCTGCCGCAAAAGCTTTTTCCTTTTTTAAGGAGCCACCACTCCTAATTAAACTTTTGTTCTCCTTTATATTAGACACATAGAGATACACGGTACTACTAATTCATGAACCTGCTTTTTCTTGAAAATTTCCTTCTTAAGTCAGAAGCTTTCGATCTTCAGGAAATTTACCTCAGTTTAAAGGCTAAACTAAAACTTGTAAAAATGAACGTTAATAAATAAACTCGAAGACAAAAGTAGGAGGGTCGTCGGTAGCAGAAGAATAAAAACGAAGAGATCTTTCGGAGAAGGGGCTATTATGTTCCAATTAAATAAGCATGATTATTTAATTCGCAGTGCAATAAAATTACATTCAATGCGTCTTTTTCAGCTACAACCAGACTAAAGAATAACACGAAGACAAAATACGAGGCAGCATCTGTTCGAACATTTTTCTTCACGCACGGGATCATTAAATATGAAAGACAAAAATATTCATTATGACGGAAAACTTACTCGCAATTCGAGCAGCTGTAAGACAGTACTTGTATATATGCTATTTAAACTTGGTATGCGGTCGCTGATGCATACCGATTACTTTTAATCGTACGAATAGGACCACGCACCATATAACATAATTTTGATTGATTAAAAATAAATTGATACAAACCACTGATTCTCATGTAAAACTGAGAGAAAACTGGAAAAAAAAGTCGCTTCTATCGCTCTCACTAAAGCATAAATGAACTTTTCAAAGTAATATTGTAATGAATGTACAGGTGACAAACCGACCTTAAGCGAATTTCATCTAACGCATATAAATAACGATAACGTTTCCGGCACAGTCACAGCTGTTGCTATGCCAACTTCTGCGAGAGGGGGTAAAATACCACATAAATGTAAATGTGTGAGTAATGTGCCCCTTTTGTACCTCACCATCGAAACATCCGTTTTAATCTATCAATTTGGGTTTTTCCGTGCTATATATCGCATATTAACGCTTGTGCTCCTGTACTTATTTGTATGACAGCAGGCACTTGGCTCCTTGTTTGACGGGGCTAGCAATTTCCCTAATGATATTGTTTGTGAATCGAACGATAACTTTGGGGTAAAGTTTACAGATCACAACAAAGTATGCGAGATATCGCGTTTGATTTCCGAAATCATGCACGAAATTTCTAAGGGTAGCTTAATTTTGCATAATTTTAGCACGCTAGATAAATGTGTGACAGTTTTCTATACATAGGCTGTCGTTCGAAAAATAGTGTGAAGTTCTGACGGTAATGTATATCCTCGTAAGTGCCGTAAGAATCTTTTAATTTGCGGAATAATTAGTTTAATTTAGTATCAGAATGTAATTTTTAAACCACAAATGTACGGATGTACAAGCTTGATTCAAACCGTTGGCAAGGCTCGAAAACCTTCGTTAGCACGTATTACCACAGCTGCAAACATAAACCAGAGATATGTACTTTCCTTTATGCTCATTTCAAATAAAATGAAGGAACGAAGAGTTAGGATTGGGTGGGCCAACTGCCATTTCACTTTTCTCTTTCAGTTTGTGTACAGATGAAAATTCGACTATCAAGGGATAAGCAGAGCAGGGTTTGCGGTTTACGATGGTCGAAAGCTATAGTATAGAACAGCATTTGTTTTTTTGTACACACCTACTATCGAAATACAAAAAGATACTTTCTTTGCAAATGTCCCGCAACGTATAGACAACACGTCTCGTTGACGGAACTAACATTAAGGCAATTGATCGAAAAGTTCGAGGAGATTGGGGTTAAAGAGACGACAAACTAGACGAACAAGGCACAGGATCGCTACAATACGGAACAATATACGTAGTGATCCAACGGCCTCAATGCGACATCGTGTCCAACAACTTGCCCTATCCGGGACAACTCTGCGATGCACTTTGAAGCAAGAGTTGCATCCTTATCCTCTGTGCAGATTAGTGATTAAAAATTTCACGAAACGGGTCGAATGATGCAAGCGACCCCTGGAAGCTTGTTTAACAGACATTAGCCCCCTAGGCTCCAGTTCCATTCCAGAATCACTGGAATAAGACGCAAGCTTCGGCTTGGTCTTCATTAAGCTTTCTAAATTAAGCTTTCTAATGTGCTCAACAATGCAAAACGGGGTATATCATTCTTTTTCTGCAAGCTACTGGTAGAGCTTGTCATCGGGCTAGATGCGTATTTTGGTTTCTCAACAGCTGGTTAGCCCAACAGCTAGGACGGTGTGGGACGAATTTTTCTGCTAATTAAGGAAAAGGGGCTACAAAAATCAATGTTTAGGGCGTTTACAACACCGAGTATAACGAATCCATATAATACCGCTAAATCATTCTATTGTTTCATCTATAGGCATAAGTACGTGTTGCGTTTTTGTATTTTAGGCGACCACACCAGAACCGCCATACGGCATTCAGGAGGTCCCGTTTCCGGAGGAGGTGGAATCGGTCATGAATGATGTACGCTTTGGTGTTGAGGAAATTTCACTGTCGAAAAAGTTCGCGGTAACGCCAATCAGCGCGCATCTGAACATTATCACAAAGGAAGATCGCACACTATTCGTGCTCATGTCACCCCAGGGATTCCGTATTATAGGTGAGTTTATTAGTTGACTCGTCCCGGCATACAATCTATAGCACTCTAGTTGTTTCCCCAGGCTTATTTCAGGTTTTTGTCATATTATTATGGATATCTGACAGTTTTTTTTGTTGGAATTTATTCACTAGAAGTTACTTACATTTGGATTTTAACATCTCTCTATTGGTGAAATGTTTGTTACCGTGGTGATGACAAAAGCCTCGTTTTTCTATTGCGTGTGTCAGACCAAATATCACTAATTTATTAGAACTTGGACCAAATATTCCAAGTGAATAAAATTTCATTAAAAAAATAGTCTTTTCTACTTGATAGAGACCTACCACTAGCGATGCTTGGAAGGTACCATTATCAAAACATCGGACAAGCCAGCACCATTTGAACGTTTCCCCGTGGATGACTCTCGAGTGCTAAGAATCCTTTCTAGCTTCTGGCTCTTGATTCTTAGCGCACTGTCAAGGGAGAAGCCATGGTATGCGAGCACGCGACCTCATAGCTGCATGTGTTCCAGCGTTGGCAATATCATAACGAATTTTTCATTAACTACAACTGCTTTCGTCGTCAATTACTTTATATAATTTAGTCAAACAGAAAATTTCCAAATGAACTCAGTGTTCTTCATTGATACGGTTCTAACATTTTTCAATATTCTTGTCATTGTCAGGTGATGCTCGCGACACATCAAATATTGAAAATGGTGCTGTTTACGAAACAATTCAGGCACTGCTTGATCATGAAAGTCCGGAGTATCGAAGACGCTTTTCCGAAGCTCTGGCGGAAAGGCTCAAAGCTATAGCCGATGAAGAACACTCGTAGATAACTAAAGCATAGCCATATGCTTGTGGCCGTAAAAAAAACAGAAACGTGAAAAACATTAGGACTTCGAAGATCTCTAACCTTACCAAATAACGTTTTTGGTAAAATGCTCTTTATGCGTGATATATATATATATATATATATATATATATATATATATGATGCGTACGCTATGCAGACTACGTTATGTGAAATGAAAAGTGCCATGTTTGCGTATGTGATGCCTATCAAATAAATAGATTTCGAGAAGAATTTCTCTCGTAAGGAGGACCACAATAGTAACACAGCAACACGCTAAAGGGGTATACGTGCACATCATAACGGGTACTTTCGCATTTGCCAACGTACTATAATGAACCCCGTACTGAGTGCCGTACATGGGGGAACCATTGATGCTAGGAGAATTCTAATGATGTTGTACATTACCATTTCTATTGTCAGCAAATGCCACAAAAAGCTTACCAAATAACACGTGAATCAAAGCTAGTCATTGTTTGAAGAAGTTCGCGAGAGGACAGTGAACGCAATGATAACTGGCAATAGGGTGACGTTGTATCACTAAAGTTCTCCCACTATTGGCAGTTCCGTGCGTGCTACTCTAGTAAGATTTATTAAAATCATTATTTATCAAATGCTTGATTATCGTAAGGGTATTTCAGGTTTACGATGTTGAATTATATATACATATATATTACAAAAATGCTATAAGAGTCTAGTCATCGTATAGTAAAGTTTAGGACACTGAGAAGATGCTTTGGCAAGAATAAGAGCCCACAGCACTACAGTAACAAACAAAGAGTAGTAGTAAATACAAATAAGTTATATAGTAACCGTTTGCAGGTTTGCACCAGGTTGTTTACAATAGCAGATATCATGAACGAATCAGAGAAACAGTTGCCGTAACGAGTACTACGACATATTTTGTGGTACTGCTCCGATCATTAAAATATAAGATAGAACCAGACGTGTGGAGCCCAAATCTAAATAAAGCTGAAGGTCATAAAGTGATAAAACCCAAAACGATAGGCACTCAAATTTAATCACGGAATCAAAATATAAGGAAAGCGAACGGATATAAAACAACGCAGCAAAACAAGGCAAGAAATACGCAACAAAGTTTACTGGAATCCATATACATCTCGCCTCCTTTTCTGATGTAACCAATTTTTTACTAGAAAACCAAGATCAACTTGCTGAATGGGTAAGTAACATCGGAAATGAAATAAACCTGAAGGAATAAAAACTAACCTTTAATGAGAACCTGTGCATAATTTAACTTTATTTCAAACAATAGTAACTTTGAAAGCAACGACATTATATAAGCATCGTCATCGTATTTGTAGATCTGTGTGTCATTACATATATTCTGTTTATATAATGATAGAATCTCATGGTTGATGGTATATCGCGATAATAAATGTTCAGGCTGAAAGCATGCAATAGCCATCTGGTTTAAATAAAAGTAAATGCATAGTGGAACACTTCTGCGTTCGATCAGATAATAATAGAGCCACTTCAGTAGGGAATAATAAGTTGTGATAAAATTCATGAGTGCACTGCACGCGATTCCTGGAAGAGCACATAAATAAGGTAAGAGGGTAATGTTGTCAGGCATTCTGGACCTGTGCAGGGATTTTTGCAAAAATTGTCGCATGTAAGTCGCCACCGATATGCGGCGCCATTTATAAATGAAATCTGTTAATTAATGTCGTTTCATTAAAAGAAAATCAACATGTCCTTAGATGTGGTACAGTCGCATCGACGTTAGCAAAAATTATGACGCGTCGTTGAGATTCTGCGGAGCATGGTATACTTATTCAATAAAGAACTATGCTATTTGATTAGATTTAAATGTAAAATATATAGTGATTCGGACTAGTTTGTATATCGGAACACTCATAAAATTAACGCCTATAATAGCAGTATTGACATAGTCTAATGTCAGCTTCCTATTCCTTAGTCGCTAAAATTCTATTTATTAGAAACAGCGAAGTTGTTATATAGTTGATGGATATTCCTTGTTATACGGTACCCTAAGATGTCGAACGATTAAAACTTTTATATATATATATATATATATATATATATATAGGGTGTCTTTAAAAATGTATACGCAGTTTGAATAATTATATTTTCAACTCTTGTTCATGTATAAGTAATATTCACATTGCGGAATAATTTACACAACGTTAACTATTCCTCCAACTAAAGATGTTGAAAATCATTACTGTTCTGGTCGGTGGCTATCAATGCATAAACATTTAACAAGATCAAATTTGGCTGTTCTATACTTTTGTTTCGGCATTTTTCCGATATTGAGTTTATTTTCAAGGCACTTCGACAAGAAGAAAAGTCCACTGGCGTTGGATCTGAGAACAAGCAGGGTCCTTATTCAACCTAGTATTTTCTGGAAGATTCGCATCAATATATGCTCTTAGATGACGATGATAGTGTGCAGGTACTCAGTTAGAAATGAGATTTGCCTATTTTATTAAAGTCCTGCCGAATACATAGAAAGTTAGACTATTACAGTTACTATACTTCCAAAAAAGTACTGGTCTAATCAAGGTACAATGTATACGTTTTTGAAGCACCATGCGTATAAATTACAAACACCATCGACATAATGGCTTTATCACAAATGACAAGTGCTTCCGTGGTTTGCGTATAGAAAGCATATAGCACTGGGTAAAATTTGCGTGAACAAATGCTTAAATGAAACAGGAGTTAAAAATTCATTTTATCGTCAACAACGACAACAGCTTGATGGTCTTCATATATCCATTTAACCTCAGCTATATGAAATAATCAATGTCTAACTTTTTTGTGCAATTGTACTCAAAACTGTATACAGCTATGTCCATTATATTTATAGGTTCGATTGACAGACTACTACAGTTTCCGCTCAAAAACCACTATCTTAAAACATTGCTCTGTAGTAAATCTTTAGTTTTACCAGATTTGGCCGCAAGTTCACTGATGCATATGTCGTTGATGAACGTGTGTAAAACTGTAGATGAGAATAAAATTTTTTTTGTTATAGACCCCTTGGAGAAAATAACCATACAGCCTGTGAACATTAAGCTTGCACAAAATGTTTCCTCGTCGTTTGCTATACTCATCCTGCTGTGCGTCCTTACGATCAAAACTTTGACCTTTATTCGCCTTCTGCATTTTGGTTGCCTCCATAATCCTGATGACCATCTGCGTAACTCAGCTAAAAATTGTAGATGTTACTTTCCGCCAAACAGATAAAATGCACCCCATCGCCGATGGATAAAAGACGCCAACTAACTATTCCGACTAATTCAATCTGTTCACTCGTACTATTACACACGGAGTCGGTCCTATCTAGCGTTTACTGGACACACACACACACACAGTTTTAAACACAGTTTTAAGTTGACTGCGTCTAGCCATGTTTTACGTGAAGTCACAGGTTCACAGGATTTAGGCACGGCAAGAAATCGAACGGTGTTTCACGTAAATGGAGTACATGAGGGTATGTACCAACAGGGTCGGTTTTCATAATCTCTGGAATCTTATTAGCGACTGTTTCGTTAAAATTAATTTTTCAATAGCTCTTCATGGTGATTTAAGGGCGCATTCGGTTAGGAAATCAATGTTCATTTAATTGAATGCATTACGTACTTCAGGAAAATAACTGCAATATACATTCGCTACCCTCTAAATATAATGTGATCTAATTGTATGTTGTGACTGCATTTTTAACCCTAGTACATCAAATTACTTTTGACGTATATGTGAGGAACGGTATCAATAAAATGCTGAGATCTCGTGGCGATTTTTTTGACCCAAGCAAAAGATGCAACCCAAATCATGTGGAATCATCATAAATTCCCGTGTGAATAAACGTATGTTGAACACGTGACCGTGTCGTGCCCCGTTCTGACATTAGGCGGTTGAAAGGAGGTGCTTTATCAGACATCCGCACGAGCGCAGAGTTATGTATAACAACTCAACTTCTAGCTAAAGTATCAACTGTACTTGATACACCTGTGTAATTGAATAACATTTACCTTACTTTGAAATTGAAAACCAATAATAATACATTTTATATTCCATTGAAAATATATAGCAAGTTCACTAATTTGTCTCGGACCTCATTTATGCCGAAAAATACAGCTTTTCAATGAATGATTTTGTGTCTAAACCTACTTCATATAATTCTACAATAAAGAGTAATGCCGTTGGCATTGCGGGGATTCCTTTGGATAAACCGCAGTAATAAGCTAACGTTTTTCAGACCTGCAAATATAAAGCTGTCACGACATATCCATCTATTTATTTATTAATATTAACATCAAACCTTTGTAAAAAGATATTTAGATAATGACTAAATTGCTTTCTCTGTACATAAACTAAAAAGAGGGAGTGCTTCATCTGGTTCGAAACGTTCCGAAATAGAAGCGGCAATTAAGTATTTTTAATTGTTGTGCTAAATTTTTTTGTGAACGTAATTGATTCAAAAACCGTGGACAAGAAGGATCTTCATGAATGCAATTCATTGCATTAACATCCAATATTCACTTACATGAAATCTTGCATGAGGTAAAATTACAAACTATGAGAAACTAACTAGTCTGTCTACAGAATCCATGAGCCGTCCCTTGCAAGCAGGTCTTTGAAGGTGGATTTGTCTTGGTGCGTTTGATGGCCCTGAAAAGAGCCGTTTGAACAACTATAACCTTTACGTGAATCTACTTCAATAAAGTATATTTGGCGACAGCCTTTGTAGCCTCGAACACGGCACACTTTGCCAGCTCACCAGGTAGTAGCAACCTGATGGCGGTCGGCACCTCCCTCGAGGTGATGGTCGGCCTATCCTTGTAATAAGACAGATGGAAACCTTCAACAGCGATCCTCTCGAAGAATTTGCGAAAGCATTCATGATCAACATGGCCTTCGACGAAATATCCGTATCAGAGCGGATTTGCCTGAGTATCTCGTAGATGCGGATGGTAAACGACTCTTTCCTTCGACGTCCCTTGCTCTTTTTGTCCGAAAACCGGACGTCTTTTGGAGTCTTTTTGGTTTTTCCAGGTACTTTTCTACATTTTTTCTGGTATTTCCAGATATTTTCCTATAAGTTAGATCTGTTTTGCCATAAGAAATTAACATCGAAGATACTTGGCAACTATTCTAGTTTATGGGGGTCGATAGCGGCATTCGTGACACTGACGTGTGCATTACGCAGTAGAAAGGGGGGCGCGACTGATCCGTAATGAGCTTGCGGTACGAATGTGGCAAGAGTGAGTCGGCTAATTGACCCAAACCGTTTCGTTATAAAGTGACGGTTCTCATTTTGTTTCATTTAATTACTATAACTACGCTTGAATACCATTAGCACCACGATCACGTAATGTATTGTCGCGAAAAAGACGGTAAGGCCAATTCCGACTCTAAATCGAAGCCGTCGTGAGCCGATCTTCACTTTCCCGTAGGCCATATCTATCGACTACTGCGTTAGAAAAAGGCCTTTAAAAAACACTATGCCTTACAATATTAGCGTTACTTTACAAGTAACTATATTTTAGAGAGATGAAAAGTGCACCTTCAGTCTCAAAAAGGTTCAGTCCTGTTTACAAGGGTTGCAGAAGGTGTGACCGAAATCTCTAGTGGGGAGTCTCCTGGTGAGGGAACCTTGTTTAACGCCTATTTCAATGATACGCTACACCATTAAAACATCTTACAGACAAGAAGTACAGTGATACCACTTTGATCAAAGGTAACGGTCTATCACGTTAATAAAAAGAACTCATATAATTCGGCAAAAAATCATTGTAATTAAAGTCAAATCTAATGTTTTTTGATTACTACATATAATGTGTATTGCTATACAGGAGAGCAACGTATGTAAAATCATATAGACAAAGTCGAGTACGAATTCGTGAGTGTAAACACACTTCAGTTCATCTGCTCAACAAAATTTGTGGGATAAATATGTTTCAATGGCAAGGTTAAAACCAGCGATCCATGGCTTTTTCAACCAAAGACTTAGGGTCCTAGCCATCGCTTAATTTTTCTGAAAATACGGCAAAAATACAAAAGGTATTTACCTGAACACAAATAACACAAGGCCTAAAGTTCTATTTTTCATTTAAGAGCCTTGCCAATCTAAAACATTTTCAAATGTTAACGACAAATAGAGGTTTTATTCCATCAAAGAAAATAGTTCTTTAAAACATTGAAAAAAAGTTGGCGGAAATGTATTGATCAGCCACTGGATATATACCGTTCGTCTTTTACAAACGCTACTTTAGAAATGAAGCAAATCTGAACATTATGAAAAATACCTCCCTCAGTGCACCTGAAATTTTCCCTTGCATAGCCAATTTACGTATTTCTAAGTCTATTAAGTTTTTACATAGTACTTATTTCTCGGTACAAAAATTAAAAACAAACCTCTATGTTTAAGGAAGCTGCTGCGAACAGAAAGCATGCGGTTTATGATGCTGAGATTGCCTCAGAACATGGATCATTAGTATACTGTATTTCAAACCTTTGATACTACTTAGAAAAGCTTTTCATGTTGGACGTTCGGTCAATCTGTAGATGGTCGCGCAGTTCATTTGCATAACGTTTTTTAAGATACAAAGTTTAGTTGCGCCAACATAGGCCAAATCACAAAAACATTGTTCCCATTGGTTGGTAAACCGGAACAAATGCCTAGAAACGGTATTCCCATTAAATGACACAGTGTCCTATCCACTTTCGCATTTATCGTATATTACATACGAGTTTGTAGAAATACAATTCTGGAAGTTATGTCGCATCATATACTTCATGTAAGTATATAAGCTTAATACATTTATGCAGATCAGCTAGACAAAAAGGGTAACGAAACCAGGATGCTGGGCGCTGTAAGGTAGTTTTCAATATCTAAGTACAAAAACGAGATAGCTTAATAAAATAACATAGCGTGTGTTTGCTGGTAGCTTTGAAAAGGGTTGTTTGTTCATTGGTGAATTCATTTTGTTTAAGCACAAAAACCGTAGAGTGTACGTCTTCGCCTTTTCAGGACACAAACCACGTCAACGGACGTCACGGTCTTTTCTTGGCGTGCTCTTTATACGTGATCGCGTCTCAGATGGAGTCCTCGAGAAACACCTTACGTACGTCCCGCCTCTTCTCGTGGATCGGGTTAAATACGGTTGACACCACAACTACGCGTCAGACAACAGATAGCATGCTTGATGATTTTCTGGATGTTCTTTCGGAGAACTTTGCGATGACGCTTGGCACCACCCTCTTCAAGGTTCTTGCCTCCCTTGCCGCGGCTACACATATTAATTCATGCGCAAAATTAAACGTATGAAAGATGCTAGCAAGATACTGGCTGCGTCTTATATACTGCGGCAAGACACCATACATTGCAGCATCGCAGAGGGCTAAAGAACCAATCGGAATGCTGCACCGAGCAAGCTGCCTCTCTCATTGGTCGAATTTATGCAGTAAGAGCGCGCGCAGACTAGTTACAAAGAAAAATGACAACATTAGTTAAAATGCGCTTTTTTATGTAATTCATCAATTATATCTACTTTTTTCATCAATTCATCAATTATATATACAGATGCACGCAACCAATAATAATTTAATAATAACCATTTTCGACCATTTCCGCTTATTTATGTAATCATTGTGATTTGTTTTTTAAATGCGTTCCTATAGTTCATTGCGGTTAGCGTACATGTGCTCCTGTTTGGCGTTCCGCGAGGGGACGCCCCACATAGGTATTACCCTTCCTTTAAAAAGAGTAGACACGTATCGCATCAATTTTATTTGTCGTTCTGCCGAAAAGTAGAACAGTTTGTGAGCTGTGGCGCGATCAAAGCAGCTCTTCGCAAGTCTACCGGGGAAGAGGCTGTGTGAAAACAGTTGGCCACCTGGACTATGCGCAAATCGGTACCTGCTACCTGTCGGTAGTATAAAAAGGTCTCATCGTTACAGATCAGGTACTGTTTTCCTGTATGAAACTCGAAGTTACCAGAAATCGACAGGGACACTATCTCGCAGACTTTCGTTTCGACAAGTGGTCTAGAAAATCGACCAGGATTTTAAGACGGATTTGCGTTTCTAAAGCTCAGAAGCTTTGGCTCTACATGGAGCATCGGGAGCTTCTTAGTAGGTCCTTTTGAGTGTACTAAATCAATCTATGCTACGCGTGTCACGATTATGCCCAAAGATATCCAACTGCATGTAGAATTCGTGGAAAATGCTCGAATTCAATATGGAACTAGATAGAGATAACGGCCTATTTAAAGTCTGTTAAAAAATATCGAACACTTCCAGTTTAGTCTCAGAATAATATTCTTTGATTATTTTTGTAATTGGACGAAAGGTTTTGGTTATTTGAATACTAACGTGCGCTTTGAATGTTACGAAAATATTATTTGACAAATACCTGGTATTATATTATCTAGCAGTGTGTTTACCAGTAGGATTAATGCAGTATGAAATATGACAGTATATGGGCACACCCTTTTATTAAAGGTCATGTTCCATCTGAAGATAACGTTAAAACTGATCATTTAATGGTAAGGAATAAACTTCTACACATTTATTTTAATAACTTAAAGCTCATCTAAAAAAGAGCAAGATATATATGGATACTCTACGTTGATCTGGTATGGTTTGGCTAGTATTTATTGATCTATCGGTTTGGCTCATAGCATTTTATAGCACTAAAAAGTTTTCTGGTGTAGATTTAATTATAATCTAGTATTTAGCAATGTATAATTTCCAGGTGGTCGAGATCGCGTATGATGTCTCATGTAAATACGTACGGACAATATAATGACCACTTAAGTCCTAAACTGTGCTGGAAACTATACAAGAGATGAATTCGGTAATCTCAAGGATCGTCGTTCATCGGACAGAGCATTGCAGTAGAGCATGAAATAGTTTTCCTGAAACAATATGTCATACAAATTCGAACGTTTAAGTAAACTCGAAAATGGAAGGACTCATTGTCATACATAATAATGTTAATAATAAGATCATTTTATTAAGCTATGCCCATTTAAAAAACGATAATCGACATAAACAGTTGACTGACTTGTGAAACTTTGAGCTAGATAAATTCGACCTGCTACTAATCAAACCGTTTTCGTTGTATGCACAATAAATAGCGAACCTTTTGAAAAATCTTTAACCGAGCTAGTTAATTCCGATTTAAAAATTACCCTATAAAATAGTGTTACTATAGAAAAAGCAATTAAAGGATCCATCCAAAACCAAAATACATACTTAAGTTAAAACGGTCTGCCTCAGAGATCACATAGGTATTTCTTTAAGCTGGTAAAATGGCAATCTAAATACATTTTGGCAGATGCTTACTCCATTGTCATTATTATCTTTATGATAAAGGTGCTAAACATTCAGTTAAATACAAGATGGCTATATAAAAGTTTACATAAGCGATCTTCGTTAGGATGCAACACTGCCTGGAGACACCGATATACGGCTTTGAAAGAGATCTAGCTTGAGAAGGTAGTTTACTTTTTTTAACGCGAAAGCGCTCATTTATCAATCTGAACAGCAGGGGTACGACAGACTGCGGCATACAAATAATTATGTGAATGTTTCCCGTCGTTTAAAATCGATGTCTATCGAAACCAAACAGAGAATACAAATAAGACACGAATACAGTTTCGGCAGTGTGTTAAAACGTCTTTATTGCCGATTTATCTTAAGCAGAGAACAGACTCAAAGCTAACCTTGTTTATTCAAACTAGTTATTAGCCATAACTATTTCTAACGCAACAAAATCCAACTCAGGTAAGGTACTGCAATCAAAGTATAGTAAGAGAGTAGAATAGCATTGAGTATTGTAACGCATACAAATGGCATATTGTGAGGCTGGTTTTGGGACGCACACTTGAACTTGTACAGTCATGTAAAAACTAGTAACTTTACTACTCATAATGATACGTCTATTTTTAGCTGTAAACGATATTGCTGCTGCTGCTACATGTGGAAACTTGCCTTAACTAGCCGGTTGAATGCAAACGCGCAGATCTGGAAACGCCAACAGGAACTAGATCGGTGTCGAGGACATTACTAATTGGCAGAAAAAGCCCGAAATCACCACCAAGATCCTATCAGCCCTTTCAGCTTCTATGCTATTCAAGTCGTTCTGATACGCACTCTAGATTAGCACACCGGTTATTCAGTTATCGGCGTTCGTTAATACGCCTGATATGTATTAGTTGACTTCATATTGTCGCCCAGCAAGATATAAAGATGATATTTAGATGTGTTCTATCCGGCGTATTATAACATTAAACAGACAAACCTTTTTCGAGCTCTAGGTATTCCTTGGCACTGATAGAATATTTTTACTAAGTAGTTTATTGTAACGAAGAAACGTTTATCAAAGTCAAACGCGTTTCGAGTTACATAACACAAGCTCACACTTCAGCTTGCGCAGTAACCGTTAACAGAAGTGTGTACGCGCTTAGTACATTGCGAATGGCATGATTATTGTAAATATGCCACTAACTAAATCTGAAATAGATCTTGTTAACCACATGGATACAATCCGCATGTGCAAAATGGGTGACAATGAGATTCAAGTTGGCAACGTCAGTAAATCTTTGGCAGTGGCAAAGCTTCGGTACATTCGATAACTCCTGGTTTTCAAAAAAACCCGCGCAGTTGGCTTTTAACTCTCATCGACGTGAAACCAGCCAATGGGAACAGTTCTTTGATGAAGTTTTTCTGTGATTGGTCGGTCAATTTCAAACGGTGGCTGTCAGTACAGGCGGTGCCTTGTGAAGCTATAAAAGACCAACTAAAGACAGAGATCGCATCGTTTGTGAGTGCGTTGCTGGATTTGGTGTTCACAATAACCATTTGCAAAGTGCGACTATGTCTGGACGCGGTAAGGGTGGAAAGGGCCTTGGCAAGGGAGGCGCCAAGCGTCATCGTAAGGTTCTTCGTGATAACATCCAGGGAATCACCAAGCCGGCCATCCGTCGTCTAGCGCGTCGTGGTGGTGTCAAACGTATTTCCGGCCTGATCTACGAGGAAACCCGAGGAGTGCTCAAAGTGTTCCTGGAAAACGTTATCCGTGACGCTGTTACCTACACCGAGCACGCCAAGAGAAAGACAGTTACCGCCATGGATGTTGTATATGCTCTCAAACGGCAAGGCCGCACTCTGTACGGATTTGGTGGTTAGGTCAACACCACTTGTATTTGTTGTGCTGATCGAACAGCACAACATGGCCCGATTGAGGGCTGACAAGGTAGCAGATAAAAGCCGCTCTTGTAAGCAGCTGTCGAAACCTCTACAAACTTAAAGTTGTATTGTACCGTGATGCAGTGACTGAAATTCATCGTGCACTGACGGAATTGTTAATATGTATTATAATATTCGCTAATTTACGAAAAACAATCTTAGCTTTAATTGATTGGAAACTGCGGTACGGGAACTTTGTATGCGCACTATAAAAAAAAATGAAATAAAACTCAAACGATGTTCAGACTAGTAAAGGGATCGACCACGTTGAAACGTCGCAACGCCGTTAGGGATACGCAAGTTCCGACAACAACGCCACAATGAAACACTTTCTTATTGTGAGGTGACATGTATACATCATGAGAATAAAACTTTATCGTACTAAAGGAGGTAAATTGTCTTCAAGCCATAGTAGCTTATTTTAGTGTAATATGATAATACATTGGTAGCCTCATATACTGAGAGTCGAACTATAATGAAGAATTGATGTATAGTCTGATATATTTTTATTGATAGCAATAGCAATGTAGGAACCACGCATCTGTATTTTTAGCTGGAGGCCATGTTTACCTTTGTTGTGTTGTTGTATAACAATAGCTCCTAACGCGGTGTGTGATATATAAGATAGGTGAGTGGGTAGATTGCACTCCATAAATACACAAGGAAGACAAAAAGAGCAGGCGAACGTCAGCAGCTAACGGGCGCAGATAAACAGATGGTTGATTTTTATGGTACGGAAAGACAAAAGTAAAAAAGTAAGCAGCTTTGCTGATAATCGCGGCAAATTGCGAACTGCAGCTTTGCTGGTAATCGCGGCCAATTGCGAACTGGTTTACGGTGGAGCTGAAGGGGATGTTAAACCTGAATGGATCCTTGAATGCGATGCTACGCAACTAAGCCTGGCACGATACCAGGTCAGGCAAGCTTTATTTTAGGTACTCAACAACGTGGCCTACCTGTCTATTGTTGGTGGGCTTAATTAAAGAAGCTACAGTATGTTTTAGAAATTGCGAAAACTGTTGACGATTTAACGAAGTCTTAAAGGTTTCATACAGATTATTCTTTGTTCTCTAAATACATACACATTTACTATAAGGTTGCCTTACGTGCTATATATGTATATTTGGTGAGCTGCACAAAGAAAGCATTTCTTGACATTTACCGACCTGATTTTGTAAACTATTCAATTATGGCTTAAGTAGTTCTCCTTAAGGTTTTTCTTAGCCATTTTTTAGTTGCAAGCAGCCATGATGTCGCTGTACCGTCTCTGATCTCGTGCTTTCAACTGAGGCGTTTGTTGAATGTTTTTTTTTTTGAACATGAGGTTCTTGCAATACTGAACAATTGATTTAACATCGGGACCCTATGCAATACACACGCATTAAAACCAATACCTATATATTGCACAATTTGTGTAAATAGAGGAAGTTACAATATGACAGGGAAACAGATTTAGATTTATGAAAGTCCGAAAGTAACTGTGGGTCTGGTAGTATTAAGAAAACCATTTGAAAGACTTTCCTTTGCGGAATGCTGCTGAAAACTTACTTATTTGGGCATTGTTTGGGTAGCTCTTAAATTACAGCTTGCAACGCCCTTCAAAAAAAAAAACTAACATGTAATTACACTCTTCCTACTGTGAAGTTATCAAAATTATTAACGAACTTAAAAGAACAGAGCACGACAATCAGTACGCTATTTTACTGAAGCTACAGTCTAGTGGCACACAAAATAACATAGCCTTCTACAATCTTGTCAGTGTCTGTGAAAACGGGAAGATTACAGGAAACGTATCAATGATACTGTATTTTTACTTAAAATTATACTTACGAATGCAAAAAGTTTTGCACGTGCAAACGCAGGAACTGCTTAACTCCATTTACTTATCGGTTTATGTAGTTATCGTATATATACATATATATATATACGTTGTTTTTCTACTTATCAATAAAGGTACTAAGAAAGCAGTCAATCATAATCATAATCATTAGCTGAATCTGTAAATGTTATCACCGTTAGCTGAATATGGAAATTTTATAGTATTCAGCATTCGCATCGAAATAAAACTGTCTGGTTATCACGTAACACCTATAAAGCAAAGGCGAGTGTAAACGCGGCCTGATATTCTAAAACGTATCAATTGTCAAGCATCTTGTTATTTTTGTGTAATATGTATTATTATACGAAAATATATAAAACTTCGTATGGTTTTTATACCGAAGAAAGATATTTTTTTTAATATTACTTATTCAAATGTGAAAGAAGTACTTTAATACTGTTGAAATGTGATCGAAATATAGTTTTTTAATAATACGAATTTTATATATAACGTTTTGCGATAAACACTTAAACTCTGTTCTTTGGCACGAAACTTGTTCACACAAAAAACGCGTTGCCAAACCCTGCGGCTAATATAAGGTCTGATTAAGTTATTTTGCTTTATACTTTTTTTTATTTTGCATACGCTATCCTGTATCCTGTTAATTGGCTAAATAGATAAGTTCAATACTATTTTAAATAGTATAATTAGTTCATTCAAAAATTGATCATGAAGTTCGAAAAACAAAGCAGGTAGTTACAATTAGGTATTAGCGTTTTTGTCATTAGAAGTTTGATGATCAAAAATATGTGAAACACAATTTACGATTTTCATCCTTACTTTATGCCGTTTCAGTATTATGAACAATTCAAAAAAGAAGAGTTTCTAAGCATCTGTTGCATGTTTCTAGCAATTGGTTGGAAAAAGTATGTAGGATATTTCAAATTTCGCGCGTTTATTTTTTGGCGCCGGGCAGACGGTTTTTGCTGATATCAACCGGTACCATTATTGATGTGACCACGTAATCTGTCAATCTTCATAAAGTGAAGTTAGAGAAGAATACAAACAAATTAGTGTATGTTTCACATAGACCCGTACAAGGGCGTTTTTTTATTATTCGTTCTTTTTTTTTTATTATTATTTGTTCTTTTGTAATTTATTGATAATATTGAGAAAATTCAATGTTTAATTTTTCGATCCAGTCTTCTGTATCTTTCTTATCATGGTTATACAACTTCGTACAGTTCATATGAAAACGCGTCAAACGTCCTGAATTACCAGCAGAGACAAAGATGATAATGGGCACTGATCCTCGTAAAAATAAAGGGAGTACCAATGTCCTCTGGAAAGTTCCTCCGGTAGCTCGCCAAACGACAGGCGCGGTTTTGGTCACGGGAAGCAGTGGTTGTTTGGGACAGCATGTGGTCAAACTCCTCCAGGAGTACGATAACGATTGTCAATATATTTTCCTTTTTGATCTCGTTCCTTATGTAAACAATCTAAATCACTCCACTAAAAAGCCAATGAAAGAAATATGTGGAAGCCTGACAAACCTGCAAACGGTTCGCGAGGCTTGTAAAGGTGTCGATTGTGTAATTCATTGTGGGGCGCTAATTGACATTTCGCTTTTTCCGAATGAAAAAGCGTTAGAAGAAGTGAACGTTAAAGGAACGCGCAATATAATTGAGTCCTGCATTCATGAGAGTGTCCCATACCTTGTGTTTGCGTCTACGACGGATACTGTAGTCTCATCAAATCACATCATTTATGGAACTGAAAATACAACGTTTGTGCCCAAAAACTTCCTCATGGGACCATATGCTAAAAGCAAACATCACGCCGAGCAGTTGGTGCTTCAAGCCAACAACCTGCCGCTGGCAGACGGAAGCGCGAAACTCCTTACCTGTGTCCTCCGGCCAACGACATTTTACGGTGAACAAGATAAACATTTTATAACTCGGATTATGACTATTGCCAAGCTTTACGGAAATTCGAAGATCCAGAAAGTCAGAAGTACTGATGAACGGCTACAAACAACGTACGTTGGAAATATCGCGTACGCGCATGTTATTGCAAAAAACGCTCTACAAAAAAATGCCGACTGTGCTGGTGAAATCTATTACATAACGGATGACACCCCTCTCGAGGATCTGTACACTTCGATCAAGCCGTACGTCGAGGCGCAAGGCAGCATTCGAGTGAGCGACTCGATCATTCCGTATCTGTTAGTGATCCTTATCATGAACATTAGTGCTTTTGTCCTCAGACTGATTCGGCCGATTTATCAGGTCGGCGAGTACTTCCCGACGCCGGCTGCCGTTAGGTATGCCTGTACAACGGTTTTCTTCAACCGACAAAAGGCTGTTTTACGACTAAAATATTGTCCGTACTATACACACGAAATGAGCCATAAGAATTCACTCGGTTATTATAAGCATGTCAAAGTGTAATTCATCGTCTGCTTATTGTAACTGTCTAAAACCAGTAGATATCGCAATGTGCCTGAAACGAAGACGACGGACAAATGTTTTCTATTTCTAATAAAGTGTATTTAGCAAATTTATAACATCCGAAATTTAGCAATTCACGATTACTCGATAGATAATTTTAGTACATTGGGTGTTTCGGAGAAATTGCAATTTTTTTTTTTACAAAATCGCAAACCAGCATACAGTGGATGAATACTATGCAATTTTACGTATATTCATGTAAATGGTAGGTCGAAGGTAGTATGGTTTTTCTTCGTATAATTATCATAATCGTCGAGCACACAATGATCTTCGATATGCTAGCTCTGTAAATCTTGGCTTTTCTTAATACCTTGCGAGATCTAGTTACTATTAAACTACTCCAACCTTACTAGTACATTTTTTCAATGGACCTCAATGTATACTTCACGAAACTAGTTAGAGCACAATTTTGCTAAGTATTTTTGGTTTAAATCGAGTGCGAAGAACATTCTGCATTATTGTCAGCACGAAACGCGATTTAAGTGATTTTTACTGGAATGAGCTCGAACACTTATTTTCCAAGTCCTTGACCTTTGTAAGAGACACAGATGCCTCTGAGGCAATTGTTCACCCATAAAAAGTGTCGTACATCGCCTGATCTTGCGAGCATAATTAATGTTGTTTGACAAATCGCTTGCGACGCAAAATTACCGATCATAATATTTTATGTCAGTGAAAATGTACGTATATAAATTACATTCCCATAGATGTGATTAATTATTATTTTGATTTTGAATGTGACAAATTCTGAATGTCTCATTCATATAATCGGTCCTTTTACGACAGTATAGGTGTGGACGTTAATTAATACTTTGAGAGCTTTACTGTTGTCATTATCAATCACTGTATACTGCCAAATGTGCAATACACTGAACGTGCAATACACAACGGTCTTCACGGGCCCTGTAACTTTATTGTGCTATCAGGTTTACATACATATATACACATGTGCACGGCAGCCACTGGATATTCATGAAAATTTCAATAAATTGATTTTGTACCACCATGTACTTCACATCAATAGATGCTACAATTCTTCAATTTCTAGGTTCATACCGTAGTTGAATAGTTGCCTTATGTTTATGATCTCAAATTGTGCCATTTTGACTACCAGGCATGCGATGCCATTACGACCTTGGATTTGTTTTGTCAAGGTGATCCTGTACTTCACGTACTTGTCAACAAGCTGTCTCTTTTGTGTGCATAGCACTCCCGTTTAGGATGCGGTAGTTCGCCTATAGCACACCACGTTTTTAAATTCTTAGTCTATCTCTTTCTTCTCTGCTTTTGCCGAGACGAGATGTGCATATATGTTCTGTAAATACATATATCATGGAGGTTACTTGTGATTTAAAAATGGGAACGCCTCAACTGTCACACCTTCGTGCATCGACTTATGTAGGGTTTCCGTCTTATGCGATCTATCCAGCATATACCATTTACGACAACATTAGATTACCCAATAAAAAATCGCACCTAACGTGTGGGGTTTTCCATTAGTCCACAGCGTTAAAACACCTTAGGCTCACGTTTCTTCCCCAAAATCTAACTGAGATTGCAATCGAAATTTATTAATAAGTGTAAAGATATTGTTGTGTGTCAGTGTTTCCCTGAGGATTGATGTGGAGGAGTTAGAACTGAACTTAGAAGACTGCGGTGCTTCCTCTTTGTTCTCCTTTACGATGAACTCAGAAGAGCGGCAGCAAGTACGAATAACACAACATTTATGTACTTTTCAAGTGTTATTCGAAAGTGCAAATGCTAGCTTGAATTTCACTCCTAAACCCAGGAGAACAATCTCGTATGGTAGAATTAGAGTCCAACAGAACCAACTCGCCCTGATCTGACTTCGTTTTAACTGACCACAACTAAGCGATGCCAGTTCTGTTAGCAACGACATTATATTTCGTATACACTTCATACTATAATTTGCTTAAGTTTTTACGTAGCTTTCTTTAGTTATATCTATAGGATGGAATTTAACCGTATCCTATATTTGCAAGTGCCGATTATCTCTAAACCGGCTTCAGCGGTTTTCATTAGCTTTATTGGTAAAACAGAAGTACTTTGTTTGAGGAAGTGATACGTAATACTGATGCACGGGCAAGTGCAAGCGATGCATAAGATGACATTTGTCCGTATAAATGGCAACGGAATATTTGTTATGTCGGCTGGCATTGAATAGGTATGTCAATAGTAAATATAGCAATAGTCATCCCGTTCCAGTACTGCATTTAGAACAGTAAAAAAAATGAAATAGTATCCTAGCTACCCCATTGGCCTCGTCTGAGTACCCATACTTATGTATGTCGTCCGGTCAATGACGCTCATACAAATGACGTCTCTATGTTATATTGCTTAATATATTAATTTTATGATTGTCATGTTCGTCGAGCAGAAGCATATGTTTCACCTTTCAGTAATATGACAAGCATCTTCAGATTTAGCAATATTGTCATATCGCGTTGGACGGACTTCACCAATATGAGCCCACGATGGTTCGAATAGCACCCGAAAAAAAAACAGTTATTTCCATAACTACCAAAGTTTATAGGATTGTTCTGGTAGGGACGAATTTTAGTAAATTTAATTTAAGTAATACTCTAACATGTACAAGCTGTACTTTAGCTTTCTCCATCCAAATTCAAAGTATATAGAGAAGAAAAATTATCTAAATGCGTCCCCTGTACTTACTACTGCTTATTTTTGGTTCTTGTAGTTACTTTATTTAAGGCCGCATCGTGTTTTAGAGTTAGAAAAATCATTTACATGGACTCGCATTTAAATATGGAGTTTCACGTATCTACGTACCATGAATTAGTGAAGCCTCTAAATATCGTACTGGATTAATTAATATAACATAAACATATGAATCTACGTCTATGTATATATAAGCGCAGGGCAAAGTAGCTCTAAAGCGCTCGTTCCTGCTCGGCGACGACAGAGCTAAGCCAGTCGGCTTCATTTTGGTGGTAGCGGTAGAAAGGCTAGCGATATCGAAACGTTAGCGACCCGATCGGTCGAATTCCTCGGTGATCCGACGACGTCACGGGAATCGACCGAAATGTGGATAGAACAATTTGATCGCCTAGGTAAAGATTACTGCTGGCGCTTGACCGACAAGATGATACCAAAAGCGGAACAGTACTTACAAGTAACGTCTATCGAAAAAAAAAAAAAAGTAGAATATACAAGCGTTTTCCTTCTTTAGAAGACAAGCATGAAATTAAACGCACTGGGTGCTAGAGAATCTAGTATGGCAAGCGTGATAAGCAAGGCAAGAAAACACAGAAACAGCTTCTTGTTTGAAGCTCAAACTAGTCTGTACAGAGCAAATGTTTTCACGTGTAAAATGCCGTACTTGTGTATATGAACTACAGATTAATATACATTGAAGGATGATTACAAGTCTGACCTCTGCATAGCTTCGTGTCGCGTGAAAGCATATAATCGCAAGCTTAGTCGCAATTAAGCCTGTCAAGTGATTTACTATAGCTGTTCCCAATTACGAGTTTGTAATGAAAGATTCTCGAAGACTATCGTTTTCGTCAAATTAACTTTATAAGGCAAACCGGTAAAAGAATGGCCGTTTTATATTTCGGAATCAGCAGGTATAATTTGACAAACAGAACTCTCCTAACGTTAAGTTTGCGTCTATTGAAGCATCGTAAGGCTTTTTCGGACCAATTACGCCTTATTCTGACAGCGAACCTGTAAATTTTAGCATGACGTGCAACCGAAATGGCTTTCTACCGGTCCTTCGTATGTATTTCGTTATTGACATTAATCGATCTATAAATCGAAGGATTTGATGGTTAGCAGTATCATACCACATATAAGATCAAAAAAAGTTACCGCACGTTTTAAACAACCGTGAACCAAAAATTACTGAAATCCTTGTCGTTTTTACTCCAATAGCTTCTTGTGGCGCAATAACTGAAAAATAAACATACATTAGATCGAACTGTCTAATAGTTTTTCTCGCACAATCTTTCTTAAAGCGGAAAATTACAGTCAATTATCACATCTTGTTTTTCGACACGAATAAGTATGAGACCGTTCCAATTTGACCGCAAAGAACACGAAACCGCTCTCAGCAATTTCATTTCGACTATTGACTCGTTCTTTCCATCCATTGTAGCATTACCCTCTCCAGTTTATGCTTTAAGATCGCCCTACCCATCTACCATAAATACTGTAGAATTATTGATAATTATGCACTATGATCGTAGCGCTGTCGGTGTTTAGCAGTTGAGCTCGAGTTCATAGTCAGCATGGGTCCCAGCACCTCGAATAAAGCGGCCAAGAAAACAGGTAAAGCTCAAAAACCTGTGCGGTCGTCGGACAAAAAGACTAAAAAACGACGGAGGAAGGAGTCGTTCTCTATCTACATCTACAAGGTTCTAAAGCAGGTACATCCAGATACCGGAATATCATCAAAGGCAATGTCCATCATGAACTCCTTCGTAAACGACATTTTCGAAAGGATAGCTGCAGAAGCATCACGTCTTTCCCACTACAATAAAAGGTCGACCATTACTTCCCGAGAGGTTCAGACCGCGGTTCGCCTGCTGCTGCCAGGAGAATTAGCTAAGCACGCGGTTTCGGAAGGTACCAAAGCGGTCACGAAATACACTGCTTCTAAGTGAAGTCCGTTAACGATCAACAATGGTTGCAACGGTCAATGCTTGCCTTCTGATTATTCGAACCATGAAGGGTGGCAATGGAGGGAGGTTTTCTTTTAGGTATGATAAGTTAAGTATGAAGAGAAATGAGTGGCCGCAACTTGCGTGCTGCCTCCAAATAAATTGCATCGTTTCGCTATAAATGTGTTACATACTTTGGACGGTTTCATCGTTGCACCAACTGGTGAGGTTGGTTATGGGGTATACGGCCGTCCGTGCGAGTATTTTGATATTTAGTAGGAACCTTAGCTGCGTCATTTGATTTTTGCGCCTAAGAAGTTAAGTATATAAGTGTGACAATAAAGAACGAGCATCGTAGTCGTGGAGTATGTTTATTCGTGATACTCGACTCGTTCGTGAAACAAACACGAAAATGCAACAACAGATGCACTAAATGAGAATGCATGCATGATCCGGACATATATTCCAGTCGTGCATGATCCGGACATATATTCCAGCCGCACCGAAATAGTAGTACTTAACTGTCGCTTTGCTCTTTTACTTAATTAACCTTAGCACTGTTAAGTACCTAATTTGGCACTTAATTAACCTTAGCACTGTTAAGTACCTAATTTGGCGTGCACTTACACAAAAGCTCACTCGTATTTTGTCACAATATGATACAAAATGACTTTATTTCAGCTCCACGTATAGTTACTTATAGTTACAGTCCCAATCACACTACTTTCATAACTTAATACTAGCGCTCACGTAGGGGTATTAAGTATGTATGCTGTATAATAAAAGGATATATAACTAAGTGTGTGTGTGTGTGTTACAAGGTCACAGAATAAGTGGGCGATTCATTCACAACATCACAATTAAGTTTCGTTCCTATTTTATGATGAGCGTCATCGCCAGCGTTACTGTCATTACCATCAGTTACCGTTATCATATGAAAGCCATTATTTGCTGAATTCGCTGCTTCAACATCACAATTAAGTTTCGTTCCTATTTTATGATGAGCGTCATCGCCAGCGTTACCATCATTACCATCAGTTACCGTTATCATATGAAAGCCATTATTTGCTGAATTCGCTGGTCGAAAAGATTATTTTACGTGCGTCATTGTTTTGGGACCTGTTCACACTCGCACAGTGTCGCGTCGTGTCGAATCGATGTGTAGAAGTAGTGATATGCTAAACTTTTTGTCTAACGAAATCGCCGCACCGTATCGTCAAATACGAAAACACCTGACAGAACCGCAATTAATAGGCAATAATATCACACGTTAATATTTTAACCACCCAATGGGGACGGTCACTATATCGTCCTATGAACTGATTGTATCCAGCTTTTTAGGTAATACAATGGGTGTGAAAGGTAACTTTACAGAGAGTACACATTCGGCTCGCAGATCTAACTTTGTTGAAGTTTTTTTTCTTTGACGTAGTTTACGGAGGGTTGGTTCCGAACAGAGCTGTGCTTTTATCCTGTCTTTGAGTTGAATTGCCATCCGGCTGTTTATGCTTGCGCCTTTTCGGTCTTCTTGGGCAGTAGCACGGCTTGGATGTTAGGAAGTACACCGCCCTGTGCGATTGTGACGCCGGATAGCAGCTTGTTCAGCTCTTCGTCATTGCGAATGGCCAGCTGTAAATGCCTGGGAATGATACGGGTTTTTTTATTGTCACGGGCCGCATTTCCCGCCAGCTCGAGAACTTCGGCAGCTAGATACTCTAACACTGCCGCGAGGTACACGGGCGCACCGGCTCCAACGCGTTCGGCGTAGTTGCCTTTACGGAGTAGACGATGGATACGGCCCACAGGAAACTGTAGTCCCGCGCGGGAAGACCTCGTCTTCGCCTTGGTCTTCGACTTTCCTCCTTTTCCGCGTCCAGACATGTTGATATCGCTTAGCGTGTAATCGTCAATTAACCTCCAACAAGCACCTCACAGGACTGGTATTACAATGATTTTGCAACTCAGCGGCTTTATAAGGGGCGCACGTTGGCTAGATGCGGCGAACCGTCCTCTCCAATGTGGCGCTGCGAGCGCTTTGGGACGCCATCGCTAATTGGTGCATTGACTTCCTCTCTTCGTAGCCCTTTCCATGTTGGCTCCCGAATTGGCTTGAGAAGCCGCCATAAATAGAAAGACACCCATGACGACGCTTAATCTTGCCGGTGTTGTGCGTGCGTAGTGTACAGTCGGCCGAACGTTTTGTCGAAAAATAGAAAAAATGCCACCCGCCCCGTCTGGTAAGGCGGTCAAGAAGGCCGGTAAGGCCCAGAAAAATGTTCGTGCTTCGGATAAAAAAAAGAAGAAGCGCAGGAGGAAGGAGTCTTTCTCGATCTACATTTACAAAGTGCTTAAGCAGGTCCACCCGGACACCGGCATCTCATCCAAGGCGATGTCGATCATGAATTCGTTCGTGAACGATATCTTCGAAAGGATCGCTGCCGAAGCGTCCCGCCTCTCACACTACAACAAAAGGTCGACCATCACGTCGAGGGAGGTCCAGACCGCCGTCAGGCTGCTGCTTCCTGGTGAGCTGGCCAAGCACGCCGTTTCCGAGGGGACCAAAGCGGTCACCAAGTACACTTCGTCCAAGTAAATACTCGGTCGTCGTAGGATCGTCGAGAAATCAAGAAATCTTGATGCTGATGAAACAACTGCAAGCTATACTATGGCTCTGTTATGAGGCCATACCAGACTCGTAAAACAGACCGACCTTACGTAAGCCGTATTGTTCGCGAATTTGTGTAAAGTTATTATAACCTGTATATATATATACCTATATATCGAGTGCGAGTATAAGGAGACGTATTTGCCCTGCGTTTGTGAATTTGTAGTAAGCTTCCTGAGGGAGTTTGTATCCGAGGTAAAATAACCCGCGGGTTTTGGATATTACTGTCATTGGTTCGGTGTCGTTCTTGAGCGCATGGGAACAACCCGGCCAGTTAGACAGAAAACCAAATAAATGACTTCATATAAATTACTTAAAAATTTTAACGTGAATGGCGGTTCTGTGAGAAATAAATTTATGATATTGATGTATGACAATATTTCTGGTCTGGAAGTTTGGCGGATATGGTAGAAATTAAACGATGCATAAGACAAAAACCCTTTGTAAGAATGTAAATAAAAAAAAAGACCCCCCTCGTATGAGGCAAAAGACGTATGCAATTGTTTTCATTTCTATCTTATACTATTAGCCGACTTCTGTATTTTTCCTACTACATTTATTCAGATTTTTTATTTCGAGTTTCGACTGGCTCCATGAAAGGTGAAATTTACAAAGAACTACTAAAGGTGTTTTCGTAATTAACGTACAAAATTTTTTAAGACACCACTGTTAATGAACGGGAAATACGTTAATAATAAATGTATTAATAAGTCCAAGCCTTTCACTCCAAATGAGCAAAATATACCCAAAATAAATTGGATTCAATAAATATATTAATAAATCCAAGCCTTTTACTCCAAAGGAGCAAAATATACCCAAAATAAACCGGATTCAATAAATATACTAATAATAAGTCCAAGCCTTTTACTCCAAACGAACAAAATATACCCAAAATAAATTGGATTCAATAAATATATTAACAAGTCGAGACCTTTTACTCCAAAGGAGCAAAGTATACCAAAATAAACTGGATTCAGTAAAACTTCAACTGGGTTTTTGAGTCATTATCGTCATCAAGGATTTCCAAGTCCAAGGCGGGCTTTTCGTAACGTTATTGTTTTCTCATCACACAAGTTTATATGCCGCAATGCTTTTTACTGTTCCGCTGTAAATATAGGACAGCGGAGAGCGTTAGTCAACGAAACATTGAATTCTCTGTGAAAAAAAAAACTGATATAGAACACAAGGATGCGTAACGTGGCATTCGTTTATTAGAAAAGCGTAAGCAGAGTAACTGCTACCTACCACACAGAATTACTCCGAATAGGACAACAGCGATAAACGAATACTTTGGTTTTGTTACTTGCCGTGTTCTTGACTAAAAGACAAACGATCAGTTCGATCTGAATCATTGTTCGTTTACTTTCGATTACACGGGCTGTGCGGTGGCGTATGATCTGCAGTTCGAAGTCTATTTAACGAAAGCTGTCGACTCCTGTTGTAACACTTAATTAAAGGTAATGCTAAGAGCATGGTTATAATTATCAAGAACAGCCGAAATTATCTTTTATTTATTATACTATATATCTAGCTTCTCGACTTTGTCTCCAGCTATTTATGACATACAAATCCATATAGCTCAAACATGTACTTGATGTTATAGTTAATATAAATTTGATATGTAATAAGGATTAATAAGCTATGAGGTGTATTTTCGCTAAATAAGTTTGTTACCTACGCATTTTTCTCTATAAGCCATTGGCTATCGAGAGTCGACATCGTGGCCTAAATTCAAAATCCTGATAGTATGTAAAGTGAATTTCTATTCAGGTTGCGCAATTTCGCTTTTAATTTTGCTCTCGCTCCTCTAGGTCTGTTTTGATATACTTTATACCTCGATGCATTTGTCTCTGTTTCTTGTAAACGATGAAGCCTAATATTGGGATTCAAAAGGCACATAACCATGACACGTGGGTTCCAGCAGACAACGTCTCTAGAACGCAGCTCAACACTCGCATATAATTACAAAAAATCACTCCCTCAAATGATTAAGTGTAATCGGTGCTGGAAAATAAGTAAAGTGAAAATGAATAAATTCGGTATTCATCTATATTCATTACTGCGGTAGATATTTTCCTATGAACGCTACGTACGTTTTGCTTAATCTAATTTCATATTACTAAATAGCTACAGTTAATGTATGTTGATTTAATAATATTTGATTCTTTATTGATACTAGTCAGAGTAATTACGGTGTATAATCGAACAGCGTTTGTATCGCATACCTGCTATGAATAGACATACTTTGACCTCGGTATTTATTAAGACGTTTTTCTAAACTGTGTTATAGTGTTCTTTTTACTATGTTTACAGCTGCACTCCGTAGGATGCAACACCGCCTGCATTATAAAAGTACCTAAATTTAGTATAGTTTGGTGCCCATCATATTTGTCAGTAGAAACCGTTCGGGTCTAAACCAACAGAAAAACGCAAGTCTATGAGAATGCGTTATCAACCGCAATAATCTTAAATCTAGTAGAATATTTTCATTGTGAACTTTCCAGATACGTTTTATTTTGCCTTGAATTGCTGCCTCATCCCGGAATCTTTTAAAATTACAGTGCAGCACCCTTAAGCTGATCCATATTGTTACAAGTAAATAGATCGCAGTCCCATTTTGTGGGATAACTTATAAGCGATCTGGAAAATTGATAGGCGAACAGGTGTCAGTGTATGGCCATGTCAGTGGCACCTTTACTAGAAATTTCAGCCTGCTTGTTGGCATCTGAGGACGGCGTAGAGGTCCGTTTCTCAGGATAGCCACCTCGTTTCCAAGCCAGCAAAGATAGGGCGCCAGTAAATGACTGCAAGGCGCTTGGTAGCATATCAGTCAATGCTACAAGAGAGGCGGCTTCAGGTATCATGCCGGCAGCGGCGAGTGAGTCTACCGTACTCTCAGCGACGGCCTGTAGGATAAGACATAGAATCATGTTAGAACCTATTTAGGTTATAGCAGTGATATTAGCCACCCAAGTAAATGTTTCAATTTTTATGTTCTTCAACTACTGCTTCCTACTTATTTATTTTGCTAAGCAAAATTCCAGGTACTTTTTATGTGACAGAAAACTATACCAAAAAAAGTAAAATCGGCATTCACCTCGAAATCGGGTTTTTGGACGAGTCGATCCAAAAGACCGGCATAATGCGGACCATCTACGAAATCAGGAGTAAGGCCTAGTTTCAGTAAACGATCTCGCATTCCATCGGTAATTTCCTGAAATTTCAAGCACTGTACAGCTACTATTCTCCAGCGGTATCCAAACTTAGAAAAAGCGATACATAGCTTGCGAAATCGCGGTTTCAAAAATGGCCACGTCATTTGTGTTGCAGACTTTTCTTTAGGAAAATTTATATTGTCAAATGCTAATAGACATGCTAATGTTACAATATGGTTACGTGGTATAGAAGGTGTAAATATAGCTCATAAAATTTCTTTAATTATGCGCCATCAGCTCAATAATAACAGGCAACTGCGGTAAACCATACTTTTATATTAGAGCAAACTTAGCACATATATATAAACAACAGTATTGTTCACGTACCCCAGGTTTAAGGTCGTGCACAATATCCAGTGCCCTGCTATGACATTCGGTCTCGTCCGATTCTAGCAGGAAGAGGGCTTTCTCCGTAGGTGTTAATCTATCTGCCCATGCATGCTCCAGTTGGTAAATGTCGTCGATGGTGAAAGGGTGGTATTTTCGCGCAATTTCAACCAAATTTAGGAAGGTCGCACCTGACGCCGAGGCCAAGCTGGGCATTTTTAACAGCAGTGATAACCAAGGCGACAGGACGCTGCAAAGGCAACAAAATTGAGGTATACTGGATACTTTGGCCCAGTACATTTTGTACTCAAGTATCGATCTACCGAATCTAGGGAATTACTTTCGTTCTCTTCTTCCTATACCTTGAGATAATATTTCTTGCATTAAGTAATTGACTAATAACTATGTACGTGAATAAGTTATGCTAATTAAAATTATATCAAAATCGAACTGTTTTACACACCATTCGTCAAAGGCTGGCCAGTATTGGAGAAGACTTGCGAGCGTGTCAAACTGTTCAGAATTCTCAGCGGCATCGAGCAGCCTTGAAAACAGTGCTAGACGACCTCCAGCGCTCGCGGTCTCTTCGGATTCCACGCTGATATCTGACCATTGTTCTTGCAGTAGAGCCAAGGTTTCGAGGTGAAGACGTATTGCCTCATCTTCTGGTTTAACCATACATACACACTCCTTGAGCAAGCGTAGAACCTCCAGTCGAGAAGACAGAGTTACCGCTACAGATGGTAGTGTTCACATAAGAATCATTTGAATGTAAGAGTAGTAATTTTATATATTATATATAATTATATAAAAGTTATATAATTAACGTATTTACGAGCTTATGGTAAACTTAAAAGCGTAGAATCACATTTTCGACATATACTTATATCAGTTTACATTTATAACGTTTATAACGCTGGGCGTTTAAATCTAAAACCATTTTTGTTTAAGTCAATCTGGTTAGTAAGCTTGATTGATCAGATGTACCTTTGTCAAGACAGAACGGCCGGACGAGTTCGACTACGGCCCGATCGAATGAATTTTTGTTGCTGCTAAGTTTGGCGCCTGTCTTTAAAAGTCGTCGCATAATTGAGATGGGTTTCCTTGTCTGAAATGCTAACTGAATAGGATCCCTTTTCGGTAGACTGCTATCATGATTTTGGTGGTTATCGGCGGTTACTGTTGCGGTTGAAGTGGCCTCCTTTACTAGTCTGTCCACAACAAGTCGCGTAGCTCTTAAGAAGATCTCAGAAGGGGAGTAATTGATAGCAGCTGACGGACAGATAGACAGCAAGCATTCGAGTAAACCTGGATCACACTCTTGGAGCGCGCAGTGCATCAGGAGCTCTTCCAACTGAAATTATATGTTTCATAGATGATTTATGTAACTAAATTGCCGAAGCCTAACTGTTAAATAGAGAAAGTAAGGAAACTAGGTCCGCTTTATTGGGCTAAATCTCCTATTCTGAATACTTCACTAATAGCGCCGTACAGCTAGCAATCATTAACACAGATAATCCTTTTCAAGTAACTTACTTTAATTTTCTCGCCAGCCGTCATCTCAAACATATCGACGTAAGCAGCCAGTCGAGGGTTCTCAGCTGTGTTAAGCAGTTCGTTGACGAAGCCATCCTCGATTTTCTGTAGATGCTGTAGGAACCCTGCAAGACGTGTCTGAAGCTCTTCCCAGCTGTTTATAGGGACTCGCTGATCAGACCGATCCGTACTGACGGTGACAGGCTCTGATGAACTGCGAGAAGGAGAGACCGGCCCAGCAGATGATTCAGCAGCTTTTTTGGCCATGCTTTTAGTGAAAGCCAAAAACGATTTGAGAATTTCAAGACGATAACCTCGATTCAACTAAGAATTCAAAAACAGGGCGCAACAACGAACATTATTTGTTATCTCCCGTAGAAGTGTAGTGAACTGGAAGTTCCTATTTTTGCCAGTCGACGTGCCTCTAAGCATTTTTATATTATCATAGTTCTTTTTCAAGTGCGCACAAAACGTTCGTATACTTACTTTGTAAGCGGCAACAAACGGGTCAAAACAAACACCTATAATAAAGTCGAGTACGTCGTCAGGATCCAGGTATCGGATGTGTTTAAGATGCTTTTTAAAGAGATCCTTAAGCTCCGTACGAGAACGATCACCGGCAGCGATGAACTCGTTTTTGAGATAAAGTTGCAGAACTGTTGAACGACTAATTGAATGTAGCAATGACTTGAATCGGCCGCACACTCTTATCACTTCGTCTATGTTCATCTCGTCAATTACCTCCAACAGACTTGCCCGTTGCTCCTCAGTATTGCTGCTAATTAGACGCTTGAAGTCAACACCTAAAAAACAAAAATAATATGTTTTGCGTATCTTTCACCTGTCCGTGAACCAAAATACTTATGACGGTAACGCACTATATAAATCTGTCAGCCGTTTGGTCTCTGCGATATCTGCGTATATATGTATTGATTTATCTACCTGATTGACCATCACGCTTACTACACTAATTATTATTAATAAAGCATTAGTGATTTCTACACCCTAAGAGACTGAAAAAGGGGATTGAAGAAAAATTGCTGAGAGAATGAAAGAAGAGAAGAAAGAATGAGCTATTTTGTTTGACGAGTACTATACCATCCAGCTTCTTGTTAACAGTTTCTAGAAGCATCATGTAGGCTTCAATTCGCTTTTTATCTGACTCTCGTTGGGAGCAGCTTAACAGTAGATGGTAATACACTTTTAAAACATCGTAGTTCGTTCCACGTAGAACTGGATAGATCTTCTGGCGTAATGTATGCCACAAAGCCGATTTGTCTTCCTTAAGGTGCTTTTCGATAATTTCCTCTTGAAGGCGTGCCTCAATTGCTGAAGGGTCAGTCGCAGAACGGAAAAGGTGCTCGAGATGGCCAAGGCACACGTCGAATTCAGGCACGTCATAATGACGAGCAAGATTCAAAGCTACGCGAAGTGTTTCCAAATCCTCGCATCTGGAACGAGTTCGTATAATAATAACAATGATAGACTGAAATAATAAACTCGAAATATTAGTGTCAAGATTAAAACTAACATGTATTATAATGACTTCTCATTAACATAGCCCATTGTATAGGGAAATTCATGCGCGACGGATAAAGGTTACTCAGAAAAATGTAATTCGAGATTATGCTTATCGCCATATAACGCTATAATAACTTACAACGCCATTCCAAGTATGGTATCTCGTTTGTACTGTTCATCGTGACCGAAACGCCCGACATCAACTGTCCCTCCACTTTGCTGCTGCACCAACTCTGCTCGGCACAGATCAGCCTCCAACTGATGGAATTTGCTTACTAGAACGCGCAGTGACTCCGTATCTTCCGAATGACACTCCAGTGATTCTATATGTTTAATAAGCTAACAAAAACAACGGAACAACAATGCAATTTTGACTGTACTGAAATTTAGTTCGTACAAATAATAATAATCCACTATCCGGGTTAACGCATGAAACGCATAACCATCACGGCAAAAACATGAAGAGTTCGAGTGGCCATTGTGCTTTATAGCGTATTGACCGGCCTTGTCTACTAAGCATAGCATATTTTCTACTTTTATCATTTCGAAATACTCTGCTAGTGGAATACATGCAAGATTAACACTGAGCGAAGCCTGTTTCTATAATTAGAGATGTTATTGAATCCATAATGATTTAAGTTTATATTATGAATTGTTTATGGCGACCAACCTCGTCTCTAGACATTTTCACGAACACATCGCCTTTGATGTGACCCTCCTGAGTTTCCCGACTGATTGTTGCAAGTGCAAACGTATATCCCCCTAGTTGAAGGCAGTGCCGAGTATAGGGCAACTGTTGCAAAAAAAGCTCCTCGGCACGCCGCACATCGCGCAGCTGCAACAAGTGTCCTAAAGCCAATAGAACATCGTCTGCGAGGTATTCGCTGGCTAACGAAAGTAGCACTACAAGAAAAATTGTTATTAATAAACAAATAATTCATTTAAAAATGAAACTAAATATCATTGTACTAGTGACAAATATCTGTGTCCATATATTTGATCTTCAAGTTCATAAAGTCGTCACCTTTTTCAGGGGCTGCTATCACACATACGATGTTCGTACATAAGACGACATAACCTGTAATATAATCTGGCGCTCGCAATGGGTCTAAGGACTTATTTACTTCTATAAAAAATGCTTATTCAGAAAATTTACGCCAGCTCACTGAGCATTCAAGATGATAGTCGCTATTGTTCTTACGCAAACTCCTTTACATTTTCAATTCATATATATATATATGTATATAGCAAACAAACGTAGGTACTTACTGTCATCGTTTATAGACATGACGGACTTCGTCCCATTGATCCGGTCATTAACTGCAGCGAAATGCATTACCGTAGCCAACTGAGGCAGCGAGTAAGTTCTACTGGAAATGCTGGACTCTTCAAAAATATCTTCGGTGTACTTGATGGCGTGGAAATCAGAACTTAACCGTGAATGTAAGGTTTCCTCGCCCCACAAACCAGAATAGAAAGCTGGTACGCTCCACTTCGTCAACGTTTCCCTAACAGGGATTTTTATTATCAGTATGTTTTTATTCTATTATATTGATAATCAGTACATTTGCTACTTCGCCTGAAAGCTACGTCACTACAAGATAAAAGTAAACCGCATCCATTTTAGGTAACATGTACGTATTTACCAAATTGGTTATTAGCATCGACAACGCCTCACGGCACGTGATGTAAGATAATCTCTATTAATTTTTTAGTAAGTTTTTCTGTTCAAGTTAATTGTGTTTCAATCGCCTTTACTAATGAGACAATCTACAATAATTAAACGCGACCTAGACACTAGCACGTACCTTTCTGTGTAAGCTTGTTTGTTATTTTTTAGTGTAGAGTCTTCTAGCGGGGAGTTAGAAGGTCCGACAACTTTCACAGCGCCTTTTACTGTTTGGGCTACAATGGGAATTACCTTCAAATTTGAATAATAATTATGATTTCCAATTAGATGATCACCAAGTCAAATAATGAATTCAAAATTACTAAGATAAATGCAACAAAGGAAACGTCATTCGGTGAAAATATTTTGTAGTGAGACAGGTCAGCGCTTTAAGCGATTGCGATTTGAATGCCTGGTTCAGAAATGTTTTAACGTGTAGTCTCTTTGTTACTTGTCACTGCACGAATACGCAAGTGTTACGTCTAATGCATTGTTTCGTGATTATCGTTACGTATGCTTCTTCACTGGTGTTCCGTCCTACAAAGATGTGATGTTCTTCATTGTTAAGGAAAAGCAATGAGCTACATACACTTGCACGAGTTAACCATTTTATATTAGATTTGTTTGTTCTTTATTAGACTCCTAACTCAGTAACATTTTACGTACCTTACTGACAAATTGCTTAGCGGTGTCGACGGCGTCCGCCGGGAATGAAGAAAGGGAAATCTCTTGTCGTGAGTTATATTTCTGCTCCAGCGAATGATAATATTGCTGCTGACGAAAAACCAAGTGGCCTATTTAGAGCACATACGTATTTTTATAATATTTTTGGTATTGTTATTTCTGAAAAAGACATCCTTGAAAAGAAAATATATTTAATTAGCAGGCAACCCGCTTTTTCACGTCATATGCGAAACGACATATATATCGTTTAGCTTTTCGCACTCGATAAGCTATGTGAACATAATTTTATACACACCTGATGTTGTATATTGTTCTTCTGTTCGATAAGTTTATATAGATGTTGAGATGGAGCGTGAACCACACAGAAGTCAATCAGTTTTTGCCGTTCGTCGAATCTTTTTAAATCGTCACAGCTAGCTAGTCGAGCACACGCTTTCCAGCCTAGAGAGGAAACCAAAAGCACTCCCCCCCCTTAACGGAGAACTACATATATTTCCTTACACGCATTTAAAACAGATTGAAAGTAACTCTCTTGCATACATAACAGAGTGACAATAAACTCAGATAAATTTTCGTCCTAGACTTACTTGCCCGATAGTTCTATGCATGACAGCACACACATACATACAGTGACCATACATAAAACCTCTTACCAGAAGGAATCCGAATTTCCCAAAAGTTTATAGTTGTGAATATAACGAACAAGCTTATTGACAATTTTTTGTGTAGGAAAACTAATGTAATTGTACCTAGATTTCCGTCTACGATATGGATAGGGTTGACCTCATCAACCTTTTTCCACTAAACGAGTGTTTCTGCTTATTCCTTGACCAAATGTTTACCGCAGTCAGATGGTGAATCTTGCAGGACCTCTCTGCGCCGTCTTACGTAGGGGTTTAAATGGCTAGGTCGGTATTAGTTCCCGCGTGCTTTTGACACTTGTAAAGAGTCTGCGCGGGACAAGCCATTAGTGCAGTAGCTGGAGACATAACAGGAAATACCTACACTTTGATTTCTTGCAGACTGCAACAATTTAGCCTGTCATAGAATGCGTGTAGTGCACGAAAACCTTGACGTTCGGTCCATAAAGATTCAGTTAACTTAAGGGCATAAACCTTTACGTCTGCTGCATGGACCGAGAAGTAACTGGAGGGCTGTCGTAATCTTACAAATCTACTTCTCAAACGATCTGCATTTCTATCTGACCGTGTTAGCGATTAAACAACACTGCCGCAGATAAGCATACTAGATTCTTTATGCCATTTGTCAACAGTTATCGTATGGAGCTAAAGTAATTTTAGAAAAACAATAAGTATTATCGAGCTGCTTTTTTAATACTCGTTAATGGTTATCGTTATAGAGACACGGCAAAGTACTCTCTGTAGCCCACTAAAGTTTGACTTGAACAATCAGACCGCGCCACCTGCTGTGACGCATTTGGAATGCTTAGGTTATATATGAAGGAATTAACTGAACATAGAGTTTTCTGTAAGGCACTCGAATTGGACTATTTGTTCCAAAAAAATATATATCTGGGTTCTCTACCAGAGGAGACCTGAAGCCTTACAGGAAATTGTACGTTTCATTTTAAGCTGGTGAGGAAACTCTGAGGCAGTTGGCAGAGCGACACAATATTTGAGGCTAAACCAGTCATATATATACATAAAGTTTTTATTTACAAGTAAAGATGAAGAGTAGTATTTGATATCATTGAATTTTTAAAAGCTCACCACTAACGTGTTCCCCATGCACGATGCGTTGGCACAACGAAAGAGCAGTGTTAAGGTCGCCTTCTCGTTGGGCGATTTCAGCAACCATCGACAAAATGGTACCCACAGCCGTCGGACCCTCTTCCTTGTAGACACCAAGATACTGTGCCAGCTGGTTTATCTAAATTGTGGTAAACAACCGATCGCCCAATCAGCAGCAAATTATTAGTAGTTATTATCTGTAAGAATCTGTAAGTTTCCAGATTTTCTACCGGTGTATGAATTTATTAGGGCAATTTATAGAAACAACTGATCTAATCGTACTTAAATCTTATGTCCAAAATAGGTGCTGTATTAACCCGTTTAAATCAAGATAACACGATACTATAGTGGGTCAGTGCAAATAAAAAAAATAGGACTCGTTGCGTAATCTAGGTAACGGTCATAAAATTGTTCTGCATTATCAAATGGGGAAGTGTGGCTAACCTTATTGAAACTTCTATAGTTTGTCTTGTTGCAAACAAGAGCCTCCTGAATCAACTTCATCTTGTCAGCAGATCGTACTGAAAATAGGAAAACCTTGTTATAAGACATGTCCTATCAATAGATACAACAGAAACGATGCCAGCAGTTGAACAAAAATGTAGATTTTAACATAAAATTTCCAAAACCGCAAGAATAAAAATGCTTAGCGCACGTATTAATACAACTAGATATATTCTCGATATATGTAGAAAAAAAGCGAGAAAACTATCGTACAAAATAAAGTCTTATCTATATAGTCTGGTTGCATACCTAAAAAAGTTTGGATGGTTAGCTAATGTAGACTCGTAACACAAACGTACTATATATTGGAAGACTTTGTACGCCGAGTTTACTCAAAAGCGGAAGGGCTTGTATGAGGTCGAGTTCTTTCTGTACCTCACGCTTTATGTCTTCACCTAGATCCTTAAGGTCCGTATCACCTATTAAAGAGAGACAGGCCGTAGCTAGAGATACGCTGGGATCGTTGGAGGACGTTGCCGAATCGACGTAATCACATGCAGCGTGTAGGACCAGGCGATGCGAAATGGTAGGCGAAAGTCGATACGGAAACATCAAGGTGTCATCCGTTTGCTGCTGATGCTGCCTCCGCATGGCGTTTGTTCAGACAAGTTCAAATCAAGTCATGTGAATAGAAAAAATATTAATCGAGTACTAGACTAATAATCCTCCACAACCATCGTTCATATGACCACCTTATGGATTTCTGTTATATAAGATCAAAGGCAGCACAAGTATTAACTTGTCTATGGCTTTAAACAAACAAAAGCTAATTGGCTTGCTAGATGTGACAATCGTACCCATTATCCGATAAAAAAAAAAGTTCATCTTTTTCACTGTTCCCAACAGTGTAAAGTTCACAACGGTTTAACACGTTTACTACATAGTGAATAACACGGCCTCGATTTTGGAGTAGTAGTCGATCGTACTTACCTTGATACACTATTTTGAAACTTCACTTCCTTGCACTGCATCGCTGTTATATTTGCATTATTTTTTTTGGCATAAAGCGCCAGATACGAATTTTTTTATACCCATTTAGTGTAGCAACCAGATTTAATGATACTGCCCAAAAATCACATTACGTGCCACATTACGATAATATAAATTATCTACTTCATTATATGTTTGCTTGACTTTGATCTAAGTACGACGCTGCTATTAATATGTCTTCAAACTTACCTGAGCAGAAATTGTTGTTTTGATATTCATCAGACCTTTTGCAATATGTATGTTGTCGTGATTCGTTGAACTAAGGAGGGCCTGACACATTAGCTTTATTTCCCGAAGCCAAGGCAGCCATGTAAAAGTAAAAATCAAAACATATTGTACGTTTTTGTTTCAATAACAAAATTGATTACAATATTTCACATTTTCTCATGATTCGTTAATATGTACATAATTTGTCACCGGAAAAAAACGACAGGCGGAAATAAATAAAAAAAAGAAACGTCAATGTTACCAGCTACAACTCAGGCAATTCCACGATAATTACTTACCTCGAAACAACGATCCAAATCGAGAGCTGGCAAAACTTTTTTCAAAAAACCGTGACAGTTTTTAGCGACGCAAATCCAATCCTGATGATCAAGACAAGGTGATTTTTTTGATAGGCGGCGAAACATTTTCCCTAGAATATCATGTATTGCTTCACCGTCTTGTTCGATTTCGGCCACCTGAAGGAAGGCAGCCGTATAAAAAGCCATAAATGAATAATGTGGCCTTCTCTAGGATTAGTAGAGCATTTACATTCGTTTTGCTTTAGGAAAAAATTCCTTTACTGAGTGTTCATACTAAATGTGATTACTTCACCTGTGCTAAGTTTAATTCAGTTCCATACTCGCCAAAGAACTGAGCGGTATCAACTCGGTTGCTGAGTTTTCCAAGTCGATCATACAACGAGTTGATCTGATTCGTGGCAGACCTCGGACGAGTGGGCAACAGTGAAAGTAGTTTGTGACACAGTTGCAGTTGTTCGTGTTCACGGGACGCCTCAATGCACGCCAAAGCAATCTCCACCCGATGATCTGCACATCGAGACCGGTTTTACAAATCAAACCAGCTAACGAATAATTATCATCACTGAACCGTCATTACGTAGAAAATAGTAAAATATTGAAAAATTTTAAATGTAAATGAACTCCGTATACTAACCAAGATCTCCAATGACTGAGTGTGTAACGAATACACCATCCGCAGCTGTAAGGAAATCCCAAACCCTAAGTACCCTGTCCATATTGTGGGCTGCCTGCTCGGTCAGATGGCCTTTGAGAAGCTCTAGCTTTGCTCCCGGGCACGATCGCTCGCAGCGTTCAATGAATGGCAACAACCATTCACGAAAACACGTGCTATAAGATGAATCATTTGCCTGATTCACGTTAAACAAGACACAATTTGTCATATGCTAATTTTTTTAACGAAGCCTTTATATATACATAAATATGCGTAAGACTGAAAATAAATCACTTGTTTAGAGTCAATAGTCTACAAGCAAATGAGAAGGATCAAGAAATTAACATATTAATCTACACTCATGATAAAGGTAATTGTATTACATGAATAGCAGGTCCTATGCCGAGATAATCTATAGTAATTTATCCTATAGTGAGAAATACTAAATGAAGATGTGCACGACAGCTAATCATCTTTCGGTGTCATATTTACCACTACCTCACTGTTATTGGACGATCCAACCACAATAGATACATCCCATATACAAATCAACGCAAGGTACTGTATTGCGTAGGGCCCTATTTATAAGTTGGACAGACTCATTAAGGAAAAGAAGTTCAAATGTTTACCACACTGACCGGGTTCAGTTTCCCAAATGGCGTCGAGCTATATTTTCTTCTAATAAGCTATTAAATAAAAATAAGTTTGCTTCAATTCAAATAGAATATAAATTACATATTCAGTTTCCTCATTCTGTCGTAAATGAAACGACGTCATTTCTGTATGACTATCAATAAAAAAAAACAACTTTATGGGATATAAAGCGACAATAATCCTATAATCAAGGGTAGTCAAGTCATTTCAGTTGTACTAACATTAGCCATAATTAAGTGTAATTGTTCCGCAAAGCTTTTATTTTCAATATCACGAAGCGTCACAAATTCCATTCCGCAATCGAATGCCATCATCTGTAAGAAAAAAATAGTCGATACAACTATATCATTACAGATTATAAAATTTGAATCCAGCACATCTGATTGCATATTGCTTTCACTTGTTAACGATACCATAATAACAGACAAAATTAGTGAAAGGCCAGTGTTTATTTTTTCTCACAAATACCTTAACAGAGGTGAGGTTATCTTTCAGCTGGGTAAGCTGCTTTTCCAAGTCTCCTTTGGGGTGTAGCTTCTGACAAGCCAAACGGACAAGATCCAACGCATTTTCAGTAAGCATCGTAAACTCTTCAATCATTTTTGCCCGGCTTAGATACCTAAAATGATATGTAGAAATTCGATTAATTAGTTCCGTTACTAATAGTGCCTACCTATTCGACAAACAAACGAATACAAGCTAGTACGCAAGTGCGACCATTTTTAACGCGCCACGTGTGAAACATCACCAGAACGAAATGAAAAAAATTTCGATTAAATCGATGGTGCTAAAGTTAGTTTTTGCTGTTTTGAAGTATTAGCGCTTTCCGAAATCGAGGGTACATATGAAAAATTAAAGCAAATTCGACTTTGGTTTAGGTTCAAAAGTATATTAAGGAACTAAAAGAGGCACTCAAATCATTTATCAATGTCATTCTCACAAATTGTATGCTTTTTAGGTAAGACACGTCATACACCATTATACATTACAAGAAGTTGGGGCGGTCGAATTAAATGTTCCGACACACTACTTACCATTGAGAAACCATCTCATAATTTGGTTGTTTTCCTGGGGCACATTGCCATTGCACAGTTTCGGGATTCTCCTCGTAGAATTCGCGCTCCGTCGACTCCCATTCTTCTACGAAGGGACTAATTAGCAACGACGAATATCATTATGGACATCGTCGTATAAATCATAATTCCAAAAATCATTACCAGCAGGTAAGCATCTACTGTCCTAATTTACAATGACCTGATACTTAAGTAACTGAATAAAACAGGTAAGTGATAGTTTTAACTGCACTATATTGTGCTCTACTGAGACCAAAATTGTTAACTGCCTGAGCTTTGCAGACAAAATGAATGGCTATAACGCACTTACCAGGGAACGAGGTTCTCTGCCCAGTCAGGTTCCGAGCCACTATCACCTGGTTGCCATTTTCGAATCGAGTATGGAGGTTTGGAACTGGCGTATGGCAAGATCTGTAAATTGCATCGGCATTCGTTGCATTCTGCTGGCCTACACAATTCATATTTAAATGTTTTTATATTTCATTTAAAGTAAATAATATGATCAATGTGATGCATTTCAGCACAGCTACCTTGGCGTAAATATCAGGACTGATTGTTTCTGGAAATTGGGTAAGCAAGGGTAGCCAATGATGTGCCAGCTGATTACTGTATTGAATTAGTAGTTCGAAAACGGGATCAGCTTTGCCGTCTCGCGCATAGTGAATGGCAACCGACAGTACACTTTGCTCACGAAACCAGCCAAACTCAGTACTCGAAAACGTGTTGTTGAAAGACTGCGAACAATGTAAGACAGCATAAAAAGCAGTAGGTTAAATTACTCAGAATGGAACAGCCCGGTTAACATATGTAAATATTATAATCCATCTATGTTTAATGGCAGTACCGCATGTAAATTTAAAAGATTTAAACATGCTAACGCTTGTCTCTTCACTCAGTGACACCTGCTGCAAAGTATAAGGTATCATTGGCAAGGCTTAAAAGAATGACTCTTGATTCTTCTACCTGGAGGCTTATCTAAAATGACATAATGACACACCGCTCTTCGTAAATACGGCATTCCACATTAAATGCACGTTTGCGAATATTGTATCGTAGTATTAATACCTCGTATATTTTTAGGGCTTCTAGATAGATAAGCAGTTTCCTGCGGCACTCTAATATCCACTTCTGGTACTGGGTCAAACGTTCGGGTCGTAGAACGTCCCGAATGATCTTTTTTCTCATGGCCTCCTCTGCAGCGATGTCCTTATCCGCTATATCTTCGCGTTTAGTTCCGGCAACGAAAAACACATTGGTAATGCGAATGCCGTACAGAAACAACTCACGACAGGACACCGCCTGTGAATTTGGATTTAGTTGTTATAATTCGGTGTAATATATATATATATATATATATATATATATATATATTGGCGGTGAAGTCGTACTGCAAACACGTATAACATAACTAAAGGGTTTTTCTAATCGACAGGGGTAAGAGTTTGCAACAAGAAAGTCAAGAAAGAAATAAACAGCTTTTTAAACAGAGAGTACTGGAAAATGAGCTAGAAACTAAAAGCGAAAGGAGTCCTTGGACTCTATAAAAACTAATCCATATATCAGTGAAACCAAGTTGTTCAAAATAATTGTGACTGATGTTTTTAGACTCCAATCGAATTCGCCGCTGAATTGACTCACATCACTTGGTAATTGGTTCAAACATTCGTTAAGAACCCACTGGCGGTCGGAGACACGATGCAAGTAGGCGTCAATATTTGCTTTACACGGTTCCGCTCGATGCCATTGACGCTGGAATACGGGATCGGGATCGAGGTCGTAACGGGCCGCTAGTGACAGGGCTTCCTCGTATTCGCCATTTTCGATCTAAATAGGCATTCCATAAAAAGTATTAGAGGAGCTATAAATTTGGAGAAGCAGGCTACCTAAGCATTTGAGGGGAGATTATTTATCGATTTAAGGTTTAGGTAAGTTTTAAGCCTTACGAATTGGCCGACAGTACAAATCCCCAAACATTTTACTTTTAATTCAAAACCATTCAAAGTTCACACATTATCTCTTTCCTTTTCACGCTTACCATTGATTACAGTATGTAACTAATGGCTACACCTGATTCATATCTTTCAATTTTTCTTCTATACCTTAACAGAAAACAGTTCCGAAGGACTTGTAGCTTTCACACCGAGCAGGCGATAGATTTTGACCACTCGTCTAGGTTTTGCATCGTCCCCAAAGTCCATATCAGCCACATATTCCAATGTCCTTCGTAGAGGTCCAAATCCTAGCAACCAACGCACCCACGACGGACTTGTCGTAGTATTGGTAGAGTCTTCGTTATCCACATCTTCCTTCAGAAGGCTGTTCTCTAACTCTGAACCAATGAACGAGGAATTCGCTCGCGTTCTCGATAAGCCCATCTGCCATTCACACTGAAGTTGGAATCAAGCCAATTAGCAACAAATATTAAAAAACATTAAAACAAGTTAACGGAAACGATTAAGTGTCAAATAAAGTATGGTAACAAATATTAAATTAATTCTGATTAACTGTGAATATATAAGTGGTCGCCGAAAAACAGACTACGTGTTTAGACCTGAAACCGCCCTCCCTACTTTTTTGTTCTCAGAATAATAAGCAACCCTTCATATCCCTATTTTTGATCAAAGCAAAAAACTATCAACAGAAATGACAACAACAAAAGGCGCTACCTATCCTGTTGAAAACTAGGGGATCAGGTATCTCGCTTACAATAATTCATCTACTTTTTGACATGTCACTGCTTTTTCCGAAGTTATAAAACGTATTACAACTAAGCACTGCTTTAATTTACGAGAAGCGCATCTGTTTTGAAGGTATATAGAAAACGTCCTGCTAAATCCGTGGTAAATTATATGTCATTTGCTTTTTTGTATCATCCCTATAAGCACTGTAGACTGTTTACCTCTAATGTGAGAAATTCCTGCGTATCTATTGCAGCCAATCTAGGTGCCAATCCGAACCATTCAGGATTGTCGCCTAAAAGATTTCGTTTACTTTCTAATGACATGACGCATATTGACCCAGCCCTGAAAAGATAAGCATAATTGTATATATTTAGGGTTAGCGCCTACGATAAAAATAGCACAACAGATTTCGTATAGCACCAATTGGGTTAGGTTACGTTACACGGTCAATACGAGGTTCTTAGAAAACACATTATTATTTAACCCAACACTAACCTTCTCACTATAACAATAGTTTGTTCGTTCCACCATTGGACGGTTATTACGTCCCAAAATCCACGCGTCTTCTGGTGTAACTGACATTCGCTATCTGGCAGGTACGGGTTCGTAGTTTCAAAAGCTGGCAGCTCAAACGACTGCCACACCCGGGTGAGAATAAGGCCAGGCAGCGACCTGCATTACGTTAGAAAAGAAAACAATGGGAAATTAAAAAAAACACCCTTCCAGCACACTGAAACTTTGCCAGCGTTATCAATTATGTTAAATTTGGTCTTTTTTTTTTTCAACAAAATATTTATGTGGAGAATTAATTCCGCAGAGTCAGCCGGCATTATTGTTTTCGGCTGACTCTGAGTCTCATGTAATAGTACTAACGTGATGACGTAATTAACGTGGCCTGCCTATGCTAATGGTCGTCCTAGCACCCAGAACTATTTTTATGAGTAAAAAAATAAAATTGGTCCCTGTTGTAGGAAATACAAGATGCCCCCTACATAATAGCCAGCCTTCAAAGATTAGAAAAAACATGCACGGTTTTGCTTTTATTTGAGATATCAAATTAATTAATACAATTATGATACAATTTGTAGAATGGCTGGAGAATCTTATAGTGATTGTTATACTTTTTTTGTAATACTTGTTTTATATGTTAAATTAAATATTAATTTGAAAATGTTGAAGATGTTAGAGTTTATGGACAAATGAACATATCCATGCTTTTCTGCTTTTTGTATTTCGACACAGCTCGCTTGCCTGTACTGAGAAGCGGTGGAAGTACCTCTGTCGCATCTTTCGAATTCTGCTTCCCCCGCTTCACCCTTTTCGACTAATAATATCATATCGACCGCGATTAGGCTTAATGGGGGATCGGTTTAGTTAAGCCATGGGTCACGAAGACGTCATTACCTCAATAGTGATGATAATAATTGTAGATTTTCATCCTTTGATCCATTACAACGCTTTGCAACAAGCTTTTTGGTAACTGTATATGCGTAATAAGTGGCCAGCAAAATACCATGCTGTAGCGTAAAAAGACACTGCTTCTTTGTAGCAAATCTAACCTGCCCTTAAAATTATAAAGGTAACCTTGTACCAGGGAGAAGCATAAAGGTAGAAAATATTACCATAAAGATTCTAAATATTGATAACTTCTCGTTTATAGCAGACTATGTTGTTAATGATAAAAACTGCAGTAGTTTTTCTCTTGTCATTCATGATGTTTTATCAGTCATTAAAAAATATTGCTATATAAAACGATGTTTAAAAGTCGCTAGAAATAGATGAGCTTTTAATGGCTTTGTCCATAAAAATTAAAATATTATACCAGAGTGAAATGGTGCTTGACGAGTGAAGACAGAGTAGTTGTTTGCCCGATGGTGAAACAGCCAGGCAGAGCACAGCGTCTTCGCAACCGACTCGAAAATATGTAAGCATCGACGAAAAGATACCACCCTAGAGAAATAAATGGATAAATTCACCTATGAGTATAGATAGATAAAAACAGAAGGGAAAAACAAAATAAGCATTGCCATAAAATTCTCTGTATTCGTACTAACAAATTCTTGCTCAAGCTTAAACAAAACTATAACGATTTACAAAGACAGCAGTTTTTTTCCGATAAACTCTATTCTTACTCGTGTGGTGTCCTGATATATCGTAGCAAGCTTTTCCAGATAGGGCTTCTCAGATAAAAATTTCCAGGCACTCAGGCCTGCTTCCTCAGCTACCAATGTCGGATCGTTTACATCTGCATGGTCCATCTGTCGTAGACTACCTTCACCGATCAACAGTAAGGAGTACCTAGATGAGGACGAATGAAATTAACAAAGGAAAATAGCATTCATGATCTTGAAGAGAAATACGGTCCCATAGTAGAAGACACTGTTTTTGCAAATCGATGAACTGCCGATCAAAACATGCTTACTTACCCTGGATGATAAACGACGGAGCCAATAGATGATCCATTTCTTAAAGGGATGTCGAGGGTAAACGCCGGTGAATATGATTCGCTGTTTACGAGGTAGCTACGAACCTGGCCATTATAAGAGACCAGAACAAGCTCGTACGACCTAAATACACAACAATGAGATACACAAGCACAAAAAAACAACCTGAAAAGCTTGCCGCCGTAAGCCTACTATAAAAGTCGAATAGTAGCACCATAACCTGAAAATGTTATCATGATATAATAAAATAAACAGCGATTATAAAGCTGTACGAACGCTGTTCTCTCCGCCATAGGTTTTTTGTGACGGTTTTTTTAAACAGATCTACGTTTTCCTCTGTATTAATAATTCTATTGTCCTTCCTTACAAACGTATAGCTACATTAGTGCTGGTTTTACTAGATCGAATTAAAGAAAAATCATATAACTACCATTGGGTCCGTTTAGTGTTATCTGTCCGGGTCCAGAGCATGTCAACAAGTGCATGACCTCCGGCCGCACCTTCTAACGCGGCCAGTGGATTGTCATTTTCTAGACTATACTGTAACCCTCCCGCTAGATCAAACATTTCAACTCGTCCGGAGGGCGAGCCAACAGCTAATAGTGATGAGTCAGGAGACCATGACAAACAACGGAAGTGTGTCTCCGCTTCTGGGGTTACTGTTCGAAAAAAAAATGTTTAGCAGTTAGAAAAAATCATAGATAGTAGTATCTTTATAGTATCTAACAAATCTCTTAGATGAATTTCAGTTAATCATCGTTATATAACAGCGTTTCAAAAAATGGCAAAAGAATACAGATAAACTACCGAGTAATTGGCTCAGAGAAGCAAACATACTTATGAAGATGCAATTTAAGACGTGTTTCCACTATTTGGCAATTTGAACAAAGTAAACAGGTAGCTTATTTTCGTTCCATACAATTCAAGCGGATGATGCTTACAGTGGCAGGTAGCCACGACAAAGCTAAAAGCGGCTCTCTCTTTGCCACTGCTACGAATTTCGACTGTCTCATTATGCTTGAGAATGGCACAGAGCCGATGGTCTGCTGATAGACTTAGCTGCCAGGGGGGAAATGAGGATCTGTGCCAGAGAATTGGTGGACACACGGACGATGTTGGCGTGAACCAACTAATCAAACCGGAACCACGGCTGCCTAAAAGGTACCCATGATAATATGTTTATTACAAAAGGTATGTATATAAAACTAGTTATCAATTTTTTATTGAATTTTTCAGTTATCTCTGCTGAGCGGAAATCTCCGATTTCGATTACTATAAATTAATATATGCTCTTATCACTTTGCCACAGGGGAAAAGTACTAGGCTAAGTTATATTCGAGCTCAGTGTTAGACATTACTGTGCATATAAATAGTTACATCTCACCTTCAACTATTTCCGAAAAAAATTACATAAAAGGAATAACATAACTTAACATGCACAATTTGAAAAGTACTTACGTCTCCTTAACGAGTCATCACCATATCCGAATTTTGTCTGAAATAACGAGTAGTTTATGAAACGACACTTCCATCGTCGTTTTTATAGTCGTATAGTAATGGTACATATATAGTTAACAAGAATTTAGATAATGTACAATTTAGGGTATGTTTTAATGTATCACAGTACTTTGGATTACCATTAATCATTATAATATACGATTTTACGGTGCCTTATTAAAAATTAAAGTTAGCTTTTGTTCTTGTCGTCGTCTCAATTCTTTTACAGCGCCGCCATCTTTTTTTCTAGGGAGTACACCAGTAGTTTCCCCAACTGAGAATATCGAAATGATGGCTATGAGATCCAATGTATTTTTCTTGAGGCAGGAAGTAATACGATCACGTTGTTTAATTAATAATTGACACCAACTATCGGACTCGTATGCAGTGATGAAGATGCAACAAAGCCAAACAATAGTTACTACAGTTTTCAAATCATTAATCGATATTTATGAAGTTGAAGTAACAAGTCATACTTTATATTAAGAATTTCTCAATTATAACAAGAAAATATTTTATGTAATAATATCTGTCTATTTTTTTAAGATTTATAGATCACTATATGGTTTACTTGTTAGAACAGACTATATTCATGTCTGTTACTCAACTTTAGGCTACGTTCCGCTATATATCCGGCTAAATAATTTTGGATAATACATCTAGACACATCTAAGCAAATATTTTCACTCAAGGCGTCTTAGAAAGTGAAGAGTTGGTCATTAATATCAGTAGTGAAAATACTTTTTACTTGTAAGTAAAATAAAACATAATAGAGAACTAAATCATTTTTTTAGGAAATTGTCACTGCGACATTTTACCTGCTACTTGCATTTTAATGTAGTCATCTATTTTAAGTCGATATGACGCCGATGCCATATACAGCTTTATCTTTCACACAAAGTGCTTCCTTGAGGAAAGTTATGATGCCACAGCAATGTCGCAGAGTCATACCAGCCCGCTTATATGGCAAACAGACGATTTGTTTAAAAAGAATTATAAAAATTACATATATCCATGCAAATGTGTATAGTTACCGGAAAACCACTAAAAAATCTGGAGCATTTTGAAGGTGTCTACCGATGGAGTAGACCTGTAAAACAGACTGTATATTGATTCGCGACTGTTGGATTTAGTTTAAACAACCGTTCAATGCGAAGATTAGCATACTGAATATAGTTTGCATTAAACAACGCAGACCACTTACTGAGCATATTCGTCATTTCCGGAAAATAAATAGCTTTATTTGTAAGAACAAACTTCCTATTGTCAGCGTCTCGCCGCTGACACATTGACTACTTGATACCAACCTAGTCAACAAAGAAATAACAACAACGGGTTTTTTAAGCAATAAACTATTTTTTCGACTTTTTTTTATTTCAGATAAAAACGGGATACATTGAAAGCCGCCCTTAGTAAAGTTCTGACAAATATTTATATATAGGCGGAACATAAATGTAGCAAGTAGTCAACAGCTGACCGTGAACAACCCCGCGCAGCAAATACGACGAGAGTAACTATTACTCACCACAAGTTCAGGCTCCTGAACCCACTCAGAATATATGAACAGTTCATAAAGAATGTCTCGCTCCTCCAGGGTCTTATCAACTTCAGTTGACATTGTCAACAGTATCTTGAACTGCAAAACGTCACGGACGCAAGTTAGAAACAGCAACGCTGCCGCGAAACTTCGTTGTTCTGAATTACACATACAATGGTTTCTATAGGGAAACAGAACTGAACACACACCACCGCTTTTCGAACATTTCGGTTTATCAACTCAGGGTGTTTCGGGCTACGTCAACGTTGCACATATTTGTTTGTGTTTTGAAAGCAGCAATTCCGAGTGCAACAGTGTGCTGCGTTTTCGTCCGCTTTGAATCAGATGCGCGCTGGCGCTGGCGCTGGCAGTGGCCATCAGTCACATCTTCGGATAGCCCAAAAAGTAAATTAAAAACTGAGCATAAATCTGAAATGTAAAAAGATAAAGAGTTGCTGTGAAGTAATAATTAAATCTCCACTAAGCTTACCTGTCTTTTTACAATGTTTAAACCGCAAACGAACTTGGATATTTTGCTTACTTATTTGAAACAACAAAGATAGCATTGACTTTAGGCCTTGGAGTAAACGGTCCGTCTGATAATTGAATGCCGAAGTAAAAATAACTATAAATATATGCACCATTTTTATTGATCATAAGGTACGAATGATAAAAACTATTGCGATAGTTTGAACTGAATGATTGCTACTTTTCATTATATGTTCTCTTATCCATTTTATTCATATATCATCATAATTCTTTGTTTCAGAAAGTATAAAACTTGAAGAAAGTTGCTTTGACTATTAAAAAATGTGTATTAAATATAATCTTCTTATGCGGAGTGAGGATCGCATGTAGTACCTAGGTTTGACGCTGACCTGACGAGGATCAACGAATTCAACGTGGTATGGCCGATGGTTTGAAACCTGGTGTAGACAGTTGCTGGTAGCCAGCTGTATGAAGCAATGCTTAACGACAATGCCAAAAACATCTTTAAGCTGCAAAACTTATTTCTCTTTATTTGCATATATATATATATATATATATATATATATATATATATGTCTTCACCTAACAAGGAGTTACTATGTTGTAAGATTATTGTTCTTTATTCTTTGTCAAAAAAACAAGGTGAACATTGGTATCAAACGAAAGTTTAAATTTTTGTGGTGATTTATATACACTACAGTTTATATATACAACATACGTATATACAACACAAACAACGATTTTTGGAAAATTGTAGTGTGTAACTAACTCTTTGCCATGCCAACGTACTACGTAGGGTCAGAGAAAGCCTGCCCCTGGATCAAACTCACTAACAATCGAACTTTACTCATTTCAACTGATGACTTCTTCATTAATCTCACAATTGTTCTTGTCAAAAGAAATATAATAGTTTATTCTTTAATTAGTGTCTTCGCATACTTGTCTTGGAGCCGAGAAGCAGTTTTGACATTTCCCTGAATAGGTCGTATTTAATAAACGTCGATTATTATAAGATGGCACATTCGAGGTTGATTTCTTCGTCAGCTTTCAGTTTTGTTTAAACATTAGTAAAATATTTAGCATGACAGCATAGAACAAATCAACCTAAGTACCGCAGTCGCTTGATGAATGACAGAACTAATGAACTATTTTCTATATATTGTACGTAGCTACCATACGAGGACGCAGGTTAGCAATTGAATATACAAAAATACCAAACATGACCTAGTTAACTAGAATTCACTTGAACTGATTAATAATTAGTGTGTGTGTGTGAAACGTGGGTGCCCTGCGTGATAAAATTATCTACGTATATATGCGCTACTCGCGATAAATGGCAGAATTACATAAATTTGTTAACTAGTGACACGTAGGTTCAAGGCCTATGTCAAGGAAAAGCTGTTATCAACGATTGAGATTTAACTACGTTAGCCTTTTGCTCATAGAAATAAATGTTCTTCCGTTAGGTAACTGTTGCAGTGGAGAGTTGTCGGAATATTCCATTATTTTGTGTTTTGTTGGTTTGTTTCGATACAGTTTCGTTATCAGCCGTGTCACTTGTTAACTGTTGGATAGTCTGGACAACGTCTATTTTTTCATATTTAATAAGGTCATCGTCGTTATCGGAGCTCGAATCTGGTTCGCTGTCCTCTGTAATCGAGGCATTATCAGAATCACTAATAGTATCTGGCTGAGATGCTCGAACGACCGCTTCCATATTAGTGATCACCTGCAATTATGAAACGCTTCCTTTGCGATTATACTTCGACAATTATCACATTAACTAATTGCAACTATAGCTGAGACAACGTCCTTACATTTTTTGATCCTAACATTTTGTTTCGTCAACGAAGATTGCAATCGTAATTTTGACTGCACATTGCCAAAAATATACCTGCGCTTAGTCGTTACACTAACTGTAAAGACCTTAATTAATAGATTCAGTTGTCATATCATATCCTAAATAACAAAAAAAAAAAAGAAGCAAATGTTGACGATATTCTCCGTCGTTATCAGTGAAGTCAATAACAATTACCTTAATTTGATCTTCGGGCGCTAATATGAGGTTCATTTCAATAGCAATTCCTACATGGTTTTCATCAAGTTCAAAACACGCCTCGTTTTGGGAAGTATTCTCATTGTCAAATGTCCGGATAGAGGGACCCGTGGTGTCTTCTACTAGATTAGATGTCTCAGCCTGAACGGGTCTTATCCGTTGCATCAAAGTTTCGTTAGCCCTTTGCATTAACGGTAGAAAGCGTTGCGCATCCTGAAACCGTAAGATATAGACAATCTTGAGTGACTTAAAAACAAAAAAGACTTTTGAATAGAAAAGAAAGGCTATCTACAACAAAATACATACACTTCTACTACAATGAAAAATTATGTCCTTTCGAATGGGGTTAATTGATAAATGACTTAATCCAGTTTGTTGCATTTGACCCGTCTGACTTTCTTTATTACTATTTGAACTTGATCGTTGTCCATAAGCCCGCGGTTGTTAATTTTACTACCACTCTGTAGTCTGATTATTGGAAGATGGTAATTTTTTTAGGGATGCGCGACTTTTTGGCTCGTATTAAAAAACATTATGCTTTTTTATTCAACATTAACAAAGTTAAAACAAACGGAGCCAATACCTGAAGAACAGTCGAGTGAAGTCGTTCGATGTTTGGCTTAGTTTGACTGGCCAATAACCTTTCGAGGTGCCTTTCCTTTGATCGATGTTCTAAAGCCAACAGATCTTTCGAACGTTCCGGAGCCATTTTATGTTTCAGTGCTGTTCGCGCTATAGCTTAACTTTAGCGGCTTATCTCGCGTTTTCTCATTCGAAATGAACGAGCTACGTACAAGACATAGATTACTACATACAATAAAATATGATAAATGTTCTGACTCTTGCACGTCAGCGGCTAACCAATCACTTGAACAAGTGCTATCGTGCTCCGTGGAGGCTGCTGGTTTGTTTACAAACCAGCTAAACGGCCACTAAATGTCGAAACTTTGCCCGCCACAAATTCTAACTGAGTAGACATTTTTTTCAGCGGTATAGAATCCTACGCTTAGATTTTCCGCTGGTGTTCTTGTACGATTGATTTGCCTCGGTATTATCCTGAAGCCTCAGTACATGTTTTATCTAATGACCAATTACTGACCGAAATATATGTGCGAAAACACTTGGGGAATTGTAAAAGAGTATGCGTGTAGCGATATTGTTGCTTGAAATAATTTAGTTGACATTTTGTAGCTCCTTTGAAAAGGCAAGAACTATTTTTGGAAAGCTTGCGACTGTGAAGTCTACGTAGACGAAATGAAATATTTTCAGACTAATTGGACTAATGGCTTTCAAGACCGAGTTTTAATTGTAAAAAGCAGTTTCTTGAGTTTTGAATAGGCGATTGCGAACTGGATAACTTGTAGACTAAGCTTGCTGGAAATCAAAGGAAAAAGTTTCAGTATTCCTTTCATATATCAAGATTAAAATCGTTCTTCCAAGTTTAAGGCCTTAGTTATTCAAGGTGCTTAAAAGTTTAACATTCTAAAGCTCGAAAAAAGTATGTATTATAACTAACACTTACGGTCTTTCGCGTATGTGGCAAAGCGAGGAATTTCAAGAGTTTACTGAAGTTCAATCATTATGGATTTTCTTGAATACATTAATATTTAGAGATAGCTCAGAGCAGTTTTATTCTTCGGATGTATAATTACCATTTGTCAGCGTATGGACAGTTTGGAGCTTAAAGTTGCAGGTTTACCGGATGGTGTATCAAGAAGTGTGACCCATATTTACCTTCTACCTTCTATTCGTAAGCAGGAAATATGTAATGAGTTTTTGAGGCTTGTCATGGCATGAATAAAGTGTCCCATTAGGTTTGATTGCGCATTTCCTGGCCGCATCTTGGCCGTATTTAAGGCACGCTATGGATCGCCTATTCGTTATAAAAGTTCTGACTATCTGGCCTGTTTTTGCCTAAAATTCTAAGCTCTGGTCGATTACTTCTATTTCTTGTATTTATCCTAAACTTGAGATATTAGAGGTAAACATTAGCCCCTTCTTTTAGAATATTTCATTTTCTACTTGTAGAAAACTTTAGGTATCTTTTTGCTAGTTATTTAATAATCTTTGGAATACGTACTTTAGGACTTCTTACACTCCACCGAACTCTCTATTTGGACTGCTAAATTATGTGGTTTATTTGGCTGATTTTTCAAATCGAATACGATTATCTAGCCACTGCAGGTAGCTGGCGCATGAAATCAGATCAAAGAGCATTTGCTTCTTTTACTTTTAAAAAGACAATTCTTATTTGCAATTCTGAGGTCGGAGTACAAGGAATATTGTGGAGACAACAGAATCGACCGTTTGAAAGTCCAAAATATTCATAATCGACCATACTAGACATAAGGTTCACACAAAGGTAATTTCACGTAGCGCCGAGCACCGTTTTTGTATTGGATAATCAAGGCAGTAACCACGATGAAAGCACTAATATTGATCCTAATTATAGACGATATAACTTATGAAGCAATTTAACAGGGTCAATCATAGCAAGCTCAACTTTAAGATTGTGTGAGTGACCAGTCGGTAAGTGGACTAAACCCCATTTGAAAAAAAAAACATGTTTTACTGTAAGATTGATATCATCATACTCGACCAATACGCACCTGGGAAATCATCAGGGGTTTAAACTCGGACCGCTCTTCTTTTGATTATTTGGCGTAGAATCACACGAAAAAACAACTATCAGTTTGAAGTAGACGGAACAGGTTCTCTGTCCACTGATTACGTTTGCTGAATGTAGATGCCTAGTGTCATCTATAAAGCTAGACAAACAAAAAAAAAGATCGATATTCATGCTTTTGATTCCTAGATTCGGAGTGACGTATTTATATAAGTAATTTGGAACTACTCATTGGATAGAAACAGTTCTTAACGATATTATTACCCATACGTATCAAACAATACCCTGGTGCGAAACCAATATTGCCTCTAGGGCAGCTACACTTTGCGCAATGAAACAGTTTTTCTTAAACTTTTATTTCTCTCTATTTCGAGTCCTTAATGGTGTTCCCTAGTATGTAATTAACTGCATAGCGTGCTGGAATTTTTGTTCAAGAAAATTTTGTACACAAGAAGATTAGGAATCTTTTACTGAGAATAATTTAATAAGATAGCCATAGTCGTTGATTAGTTACAGCATCTTGAGTTAAACTGATACTTTTTGAGGTAGAAAGGATGCTCCGGTCCGCAATATGACATCGTCAACAGACCTCACGCTATCGAAAATCTATGCTCAACTAGGAAAATACCGAGTTTTATTGAGTATGGGTCGTCTTGACTGGGCACGGTTCGGATCGATATAAAAAAAGTGTCGGTAGGTTTAGTCTTAAACATGTATATTTTGTATTACGCATGTAGGCAAATAGTACAACCCTGATATTTGTAAATTCGCAGAGAGGTGACTATAAATGTAATAATCCATACACATTATTTATTTGTCTGTAGGGAAATAAATTAGAATAGTCCTGACAGAAAAAAAATTCCTAAAAAGATTCTTAAAAATTGAGATCTTCTCAGAGCACTTCCCCCTCGGTATGGATATCAAAAAGCTAAGAATTTAACAGTATATAAAAGGTATCACAATAGGTTTCTGCTGTTTCAATATCTATTATAAGACGATGCTGAGTGATTCCTAGCAGGATAATTGCATTATTCAGTCCCCAAAAACAAATAAAAAAAAAGCAAAGAAGCTCAGTGTCTTAATCGGTTATGGAAAGATTCGCTGAATGACGAAGTGAACACGTTCCGAACAAGCTCATTTTATAGGAACTTCGGAGAAGCATCAGAAGAAGACTATGTACTTTCAACTTCTTTTCGACAAAATTATCTTCTGGTGCTGTGCGCAGAACCATGTGCAATCGCGTAAATTGTCTAAATGATTGTTTGATGCTGCTGCATGTACTTTACATGTGCCTAAATGCTCCAAATGTTTTGTTTTGTTAGAGACTGTCAGCGAAAATTCATAGCAATACACATACTTAAGCCCGGAAGCTTCAAATATGTACGGAAATATTCAAAATCTTTCCTAGAGTTTTAGATAGCGTCATTGGATTGAATGAATAATTCGTCCAAGCGCTTTTCGAAAGTAGGATTATAGCTTAAAACATCATATCTTATTGTTTAAATCATGACAATCAAATTTCGTTTCGCGGTCATCTCCAATAATATATAACCCATGAGTTCCAATACGAATGAGATGTCTTCAGATACATCACTTACAAATGATAGATTGTCATCAGTGACTAATATCAAACGTTTTCTTATACAGATTTGGACTATTTACTTGTGAAAAAAAATTGGCGTCGGTATACATTTGGCTATAGCCCTCCGCCACTGTAAACCGGCTGTACGGATATTCATTTCCTTGCGCAAAATGAACGGTATGAATGGTCTAAGTATCAGCAGCATCGCAACACCCTTTCTCCGTTCTCCGGGGCCCCTCATTTGACGCCATTGGATGGGACGTGATGCCAACAAGGCATACTGCATAGTAGCGGCGCGTATCGATGTCGAAAAGCCAAGCAGTGAGCGCGCTTCGAATGCATTTAAAGAGCTAGAGAATAAAAGTAGCGTCTTAAAGTGGTCACAAAGAGGAACGCTCGATTTGATTTTCTAAACTTGACTGAATTTTCTTCGATCACGTGATAGTCCTATTGGGAAGACATGGGCTATCATCTTCACCGCGTTCTTTCAGGTATCGGCTGCATTCATTATATTTTTCATGCCTTTTTGAGCGTCGGTGCGTCTTTGCGGTAGTGTTGTTAGCAGCGGTCCGAGTGTTACGATGTCAGTGGAACAAAGATCGCTATAGAATTAGCGCGAGGCATCTACATACAGTTGAAATTTTATGACTACAACTTGCGATGTTCGTATGCTGTGAACTATTCGAATGAGCAGCAATGGCGAAGCTGCAGAAACATGGATCCTACATGACAATGACCCAACTGTCCGTATTACTTGTATTTTTTTTTTCTATATTCCTGTTAGAAGGAGTAAAATGTACTTTAAGTGGGTAATCATTCATCTACGGGTTAAAATTCGCTATTCTTTTACTTTTATTAGGCTATGAACGAAGTAAACGGGATACGAGATTATGTACAAACGATTGTCTCTCTACATGTTATGTGATTACATCGATTTGGTAGTGGCCTATTCATTTATACTGCGCGTCATCTCCAAAACGAGATCCTCGAAGTGAGTTTATTGTCAATTTATCCCCTTTTGCCGTAGAAATGGCTTCATTATTTGACAGTCTCTTCATTTATCTGCGTCACCGCGTCAACTGTTATTAACTGCCCACTAATCAGCCCCGACCAAAGCTAGACCTACAATGAAAGGGTCGTGAGTGACTGCCATAAAGAATGCGCCATTCGTTTAGCGTAGAACTCCCTCTGCCAATGTGGCAACCTGTGCGTCACCACAACGGCTGTTAACATGTAGCAGCGCTTCTAGTGTAAGCATAAATGTTGCTATCATCTTACAGAAAGTGAGTAAAAAAAGTAAAGCTGGTCCTGCTGTAGGAAGCCAGCTAGACAAAGCGGACAAGACGAGAAGAAACGGCGAGGGCTATCGCTGCTGGCGGCGAGGCGGTGCATGAAAGGGCAGCCTCGGGGGTTCCAACTCATCCACATACCCGCTCCATTTGACAGTAGGAAGCAGCTACTGAGTTGCAGTGCCGCCTGCCAATTTCACCCTCGCCCATCGGAAGTGTTCTCCGCGCGCAAACCTTCAGTTGATCAGTGCATAGTGCAGTTCAAAAAGCCACGCGCTGGGTGGAGTACTTACCAGTGATGCTATCGCCGAATGCTAGATCAGCCGGTAGAACAGCGGCTGTGTGGATGGCTGAATATTGACAACGCAATGATCGGGCCCGATTTATTTGGTACTCCTTTATTTGGTCTTAGCAGGCAATCAATTGGGAGTTGTGAGAGTTCGTGTAGCATGATGTGACACTGTTTATGTGGACTTTTCCATAAGCTTCTTCCTTATATTTTTGTTCGGATTGAAAAGAAACAAATCGACAAGAGCCGGTGGATAAGTGATAATGATTATATCTAGATACGCCGAAAAGTCAAAATTATTCGTAGCGCTAATTATTACTTGAAGAGTACTAAGCGGCGCCCGTTAGTTTAATAACGTATGCCTACAGCTTTGTGACCAATGTATGAGTGAATTCAGGACGGAACGTACTTAATTGCCATATAAGGACCAGGTTCTACTGAGCACTCCGAATTGTTCTCTAAAAGGTTCATGTACTCATTCAAGACCTTACTTAGAATGTTTGCAAGTTTGCCCTCTCAACGTTAGAAAGAACCTGTGAATTACGTATGTATACTAGACTAGTTATCCGAGCTTCCATCTTCACTGCGATTCACAGTACCTCCAAGTGCAGTTCAACCATTCCTACCATTAGCATTAAGCTGGAGACTCGATCAGCAACGAGTATCCAGGAGTAATAGACGAGATAGTGGAAATAATGTGATGTCGCTTTGATACTAACAACCTCCTAAGCGGCTCCTTCCCTCCCTAATGCCCGTACTCCTCCGTATGCCCGAGCTCCGTTTAACACATGGCTACTCGAGTGACAAACTGTCCGGCTAGAGCGTTGTTGGTGCTCCTGCTGGGCGTTATGGTGGCTGTTCTATCAAAGGGGGTGTTCTGCCTTCCAACTTCTCGTCCTCAGGGACTGCCGCTCGGTGACCTAGTACGCAGGCAACCCGGATCATCACTGGACACCGGTGAAACTATACATGGTACAGTAACCTTAGAACAACAGCAGCGGCGAATGGAGCAAAAACAGGACATAGTCGTAAGTTGTTTTTAAATCTTTACTGTTTTACTTCAAAAGAGCTTACTGGTACTCCATAGCTGAACAGTGCAATTAACGAGTAGGCGGTGTGCATCTGATAAAATCGACAGAATTGATTGTCATTTTTTGCCCTCTAAGTTCCGACTCTCCATAAATGGCTAGTTTTGCAAGAACATGACCAACTACTATGCTGGACCAACAGTGGTTCTAAACCCACCATTTGCTGTGTGCATATTTTATATTAGCATGCTCATAGAACGACATGCAAACGGGCCGTAAAGGTAAGCGGTTCAACTTTCGAAACATCTACGAAGGCATAAAGATAAGTTAATATGTTTACATATTAAGTCTATCTTTACGGATAGGAGCTGTCGAAACAATACGTTGCGCGACCTGTCTCTTTCATGCGGGGCTGCTAGCTGTAAAATTTATTTTTACGAATTTTCTTTGGTGAACATCAGTAGTAATGTCAAAGATTTAAGCCTAGAACTTATTGCTTTGAATCTCTCCAAACGAAATCACCCTTTCCTGGGTATATTATAAAAAAAATAAATCAATATAATTGGTATTTTTAACTTAAGGATGAGGACTATTTATATTTTAATATGAAGAAGATTATCGTCAATTAACAATTGTTGCAAGGCTGTATAGGAAAAAAGAGTGATGTCAAGATTCACTTTCACGCAGTCTTTGCAGGCTTTAACTGTCTACTTGAGATAGCAATTAGTATTCTCAGAAAAATGCCCGGACAAAAGTTCGACACGACAAGACAGCAGACTACGATACGGCTCTCTTAAAAAGTCAGTCTGGTTTTATGACCGATAACGAATAAAAGTTGTCATTAAAAATGGCCTCTGTACTGTAAGCTCTACGGAAGTTCACGTTCGAGTTTTATGTGTTTCTTAGAGAAAAGTAAAAGGTGGTAGAGCGGAAGCTGGACGCCATGCATTGGGTCGCCTTTATTAATAAATCCCGTTCCTGGACTCCACAATTCAATGAACCGGCATCTTCGATTGCCCATTCTTCCAGATCTAGAAAATGGCTGAAAGTCGAATATCTAACAACAAAGAGACTGTAGAGCTGGCAAAGTAATGTTGGCAGCAGTATCCGTTTCTTTTTAGGTCGAAACGTGCAACAGATGGTGTAAAGACACTGTATAGAGTTTTAAACAATAATTTATGTTATAAAATTAACCAAGTGAGGAGTGTAACGCGAAGACGCTGAGCCTATCTATCTAGCCAGCAATCTGTTAGAAAACGATACGACAAAAAACGTATAAATGCGTTCGAACGAAGAAGCGCTTCAGTCGTTGAGGAGATCTATTTGTAGATATGATGGAATGAGAAATTCCAGTCAGCTCTGTCTTCTCCACCGGAGACTTTTGATTTTTGGAGGTTACAAATCTCACAGAGCCCTTCGTTCACCATAAGGCACGGAGCTGGGGAAACATCAGAACCGTGCTACAATCATAATTGCATAATGCAAACATAATTTAAAATCTTTGCAGGACGGTTTAGTTACCTTGAACAATATCTCAATCATCCTTTAAACCAACCACCTGAGCCAAGTCTAAGCAGCTACATAACCTGATAACACTAGAATAGAATCGCCCCAATGCGAAGTATAAAAATATACATTTACTACGAACAGCATTCACGAAAGTAACCTGTAGGTTTCGACGGTTTACGTCGGGTATCACCGTTAGACGGCTGGTTCCCAGCACGAAATGGTCTATGCCGTGGTTCGAACCTAGACCACAAGATGTCCCTAATATTAGTATAAGAATACGTTACCCACTAAGCTATCACGGGGACAAAGGTTAACCTAAGCTCTCACAGCGATGCCCCTATTTCCTTGCAAGAATTTTGCGTTTAAGCCGTTTTAAAAACTACTAAGTTTCGTAAAGCGACAAAACTTTCACGTCAAGGTAACTCAAGTAAGACAAGTTTCTCCAGAAAGATGCTCTAGAATAATCTACATAAATATTATTATTTATGTTATTATTTTTGTTATTTATATTACTAATAACATTTGGTAGTCTATGTATTTGTCGATAATCCGACTTAATGTGCAAATGTTTATCCTAATTATAATAAAATTAATTACCTGGTCAAGTAATCAATAATAATCGACCCCCTGAGTGCTTTTAGTATAAGATTATGTCTGTTATTAACAGCAATGGTCTTTCAGGAAACTACATGTTTACATGATTGCAATGGTTTTCCAGCAAATCAATCTTCAATGACAGAGAGATAATTTCCATAGCAGTGATTTCCCTAGGAAAACAAACATTGTTTGACAATTAATTTATTAAGAAATTATACACGCAAAAGTCATTTCTCCCTATTTGAAAGAACGATGCCAGCGGACACTGGTATGATTGAATAAAGGCGATGCGCAATATTTCGTTCCCAGAAAAGCGTCTTGTGTACTTTTCGGTAGCTGACCTATTCAACAATGTCTCGCATAGAATGCATCCATCGCAGATTGTAAAGTTGCTTCATTAGGTCCACTATAATGAGATCGTTGTCCCTAGTCTAGTAATTCAAATGTAAAAAACATAACTGCCTACGCTTATGGTGGTGGCCTTTATTGATATACTTCTAGGTATTTATCTGCTGTAGTAATATGTGTATTATGTATCATAAGTGATCTTACATGGCTCATATCGTAATCAGAAATGACCGGATTAGGGAAACATGATCATACAACCCATATGAGAATTTAAAAGCTATTCACGGCTTTTCAATACCGACAGATCTATCATTATATCCGTCCTGTAACTAATGGCTTGTTCGCTTATCGATCTCCATAGGTTCTAGTGCTTCTGACAAAAGCAATGGCTTTTCGAAGTTATGGTACATGCATTTTGTAAAGCTAAGAAGAAAGATGGGTTTTGTATTAAAGCATTGTCAATAAAATGTTTTTGATAGCCATACAGGCGATCATACTGACGTAGTTTATTCGGTTTAATGCCTAGTATGCCCGAAATAGCCAGGCTACATAGGACCATGGTAACACCGTTTGAAATATTTGCACTTTTCTTTTTTCGTAAAATATGGCGACCCCACGGCCTGCCCTTAACATAGTATAATAATGTAGTAAATATTTACTTTGGCAGCTGCGTCGTATATAGACGTCAACTAGTCTTACAGGTATTATACTATATGCGTTCATTCATCATTTATATATATCCAAGATATGATTAAGAAGCTGAAAAAATGTTTTTAAGCTAGTTAAAAGTTCGTCTGTTACAAATGTTGATGAGAAATTTGTGGTCCTTATTATAACTACAGGGGACGGGCAAGAAACATTGGCACTAGGACTTCTACTGAATGAAATGCTTGTGTTATGTCGCAGTGAAGCAACGTTTTTAAATGGCCGATTTGTCATACGGTCCTCGTCGATATACAGGGTGGTGTACTCAAATTACTAAAGGGCTGATTCTCCTAACGGACATGCATTCATTCGCTACTCGAGTTAGCAGAAGAAAGTTAGGTCTTTTCAGAATAAAACAACAAACTTCTCATGGCGAATAGCGGTGTGTTGTCTTTAGTTTTTGAACGCAGATTAGCTACTAGCTAGGGTTCGGAAGTTCGTGAAAATGACGCAGAGAAAAACTTTTTGACACGCGTAGGGTTTATGCGGTAAAAATATACAACCCTTTTCAACAGTCTACTTAAACTTTAGTAGTTAGTCTGAAGACTTTTTTGCTACATTTAACTTTGTGCGTATTTGGAGCCCTCGTATTTTTGGAAATTTAATTTTTGACTGTTAAACTGTGGTTTAGGTACCGATTTAAGGGTGTCATCGCGGTAGCTATATTGAATAGTTTAGCTATCTTGGTTATCTTGAATGAACGCGACCGTGAGGAATAACACGTCCAGCACTAGTTTACACGGTAAAAATAATGCTTTTTTTATTTTAGGGAATTTTAAAATAGGGATTATTTTAGGATAATGGAAATCTTAGCAGGTATATGTATATACTGAGCGAAAACTCTTAACTCGGTGTAAAAAAATCCTGACCCTGCTTACGAAGTGTCTACCATTATGTCATCGTTAATAATTAACACATTCAAGTGGTGTGCATTTATCCCGATGGTCGGTTAATTCTGGTCAAGTTCGTATCCAAAACTGCATTTGTTGGGACCGAAACCAATGTTTTCATTTTTACGGTACTGCTGTTAAACAGAAAATGGATTTTATGAAACCGATTTATAGAATTATCCCTAGCCATTTCTAACGAGATTCGTTCGCCAGATGTATTGCACATGGCGTTTTCCAGTCATCGAGAGGAATACGGTAGGTGAATTGACAATGTCTCTATAAAACTCTTGCAAAGATATGCGCCGATAAAGAATATATTTACACTTACTGTATAGCTTTACTTAAGTGGCCTACAGATAGTTGTCTTAAGGCAAAGTGCTTAGATGAAACTGTTTGTACCGCTACAGATCAAGACATAATACAGCTCGTACAGGTGTTCCCTAACGGCTCCGCGTTCCCAGTTCGGATAAACGTTGGCGCGTACGTAAATAGAAACTATGAGAGTCACACGTATTTTGAATGGAGGTGACGAATGAACATCCTAACACATCTGCTACAATTCAGCGTAATTTTCAATGCTTTTCAAAAGGTTGTATACAATCAAATGGCCAAACATATTTTGTTCGTGTGAAATAGCAGCGAAATTCGGAGTTAGTCATCGATTTCACCTTTCAAAATTAGGAGTTCACTCGACAAGAAGACGTCTTGTGTGATTATAAATGTTATTTCAACGTGTGAGCATGTAATACGCTTATGCCTTCCAACAAGGACGCATCCTTCCATGACGAATGTTCGATGTTCCAGGCTGGACCTGGCGATATGCGCCAATTTATTGCAATAGCAGCTAAAACATTCACGAGTAACTAACTGCTAGAAGAAAATAGCAGACGAAAGGTTACAGGCCAACGGACGCGATTCTTAAATGATAAGAAAGTACACCTATATTTCACT